AGTAAACACCCTGTAAAACGAATGGCCGCGTTTCCGTAAACATCAAGTTGAGATTAACTCCGAGGCTGGTTGATTCTCCTCATCTCATTCCACGAACGGAATTAGACAGAGGAACGGGATGGTCTCGCGATTAACTGCGCGACCGCCGTTTACCAGTCCATGATGGGAAAAGTTACGAGAGAGAGAGAGGACGCGTAGTAAATTAACACCGTGGAGAATAAATAAACCTGGTGTACGCGGTTGGTTCCGGGTGGCTTCTTCCACGGAAGGATGACGAGTAGCGCGAGAATCCGGAGACCAGGGGGAAAGTGACCGATGAATCACTCTCTAGGTAGCCCCTGCTGATGATGATGACGATTCGCGGCCTTTGGAAGGATACGTGTCCAGAATGTCGGGTCGAACCTGGAAAAAATGCAGGCCAGAAGAGGGATCCAGGAGCCTGTATGAAGTTAGCCCCCCATTTGTCAAATTTTAAAATTCTAAAAGTTGTTCCAGGTTGTTCTAGACTTGCTCTAAATTGTTCCAGAATATTAAATTTTTACAATAAAAATTTTCGAAAAATGCAAAAAAATGCAAAAAAAGTGTCTTTTTCCAAGAGTAAAGTGTCCTTTAAAAATTTGTTCTAGCAAAAATGAGAGTTGTTCTGGGTTGTTACATTAATTATTAGCTTAAATATTATTATATTATATAATATTTTGATGTTCATAAGATGATAATGATAGCTGTAGACGTAAAAATACTGTTTGAGCACTCGATACTATTTTTTAAGTATATCTTTAAATTTTTTGTTTGTAGAATTAATACTTTGAAACAATGTTTGGACCAACTAGAACAATATGGAACAACCTTTAAAAGTTTGACTTTTGAAATTGGGGTGCTACGTCAAAAAATCGTTTTTTTTTATTTTCCGCGAAAATTTTTATTATAAAAATTATTATTATTATTTTTATTATAAAAATTTATTATAAAAATTTAATATTCTGGAATAATTTAGAGCAAGTCTAGAACAACCTGGAACAACTTTTAGAATTTTAAAATTTGACAAATGGGGGGCTAACTTCATGCAGGTGATCCAGGACCTGGGCATGGCTAATGATCTCCTCGAGTAATTGTCCGGTCAGCCTGATAATGATGGTGCGAATAATTCGCAACGAGCAATTAAGCGCGAGTCATCGCCGGCTTTAATGAAAGGCAGATAAAAGTGCAGAGGGTGTCGCGCTTATTAACACCTACTCGCTTCGTGGACCGAGTATCGCTTACAATTCTTTGCCACGATATCGACGATGGTAGACATGTTTGCGGGTAAACAATGATAATTCATGTCTACGCGTAGGCGATATCTAAAAAAAAATATATATATATAGGGTGATTCGATAAAGACGAGATACAATCAACGGATAGAAATAATCCCATGAATTTTCGTAAAAGTTTGTTTCTTAAAACAGTTCGCTTTGATAAGATGAAATAAGAGTATCTCTTTTTGGAAAAAGATAGAAAATAAAAAATATAAAAGAAACCTCTCTCTTTCTCTCTCTTTCTTTACTTCAAAGCCATTCACTTTACAGGATGGTTTATTGAAATCTTGTCAAAAGATCCTCTTCTCTTTTTTCTTTATTCAAGGTTCGAGATAAAGAGAATTTTTTTGGAGATTTTTTTTAGGATGCAATTTCTTAAAATAAGTTCCTTTGTGCGCGTTTTCATTCATAGGAAGGAAAGAATCACTCGAGTTTCACCGCTAAATTTGGAAATGTTTTGTACGTTAGAAAGGCTTTATGGTACACTTTGGGGTTTCAAGAAATCTTATACGTTATTTTAAATTTTAGAAACTTAAAAATAATAATTGTAAATTATTATATCTACGGAAAAGCAAGAGGAATGTTTCTCAAATTTTAAATTAAAAATCGATCGAGATGGAAAAGAAATTTGTAGGAATTTATGGGATTATTTTTAGCCTATGGAATTATTTTAATCTTTACTCCTACGTAAGATCGTCTCCATCGAAACACCCTGTATATATAAATAAAGCAAATCAATCAACTCGTATATAAAAAAAAAATTGCTTTATTGCGGGCAGAAGTCCAATTATATTAATAAAGATAGCGTTATCAATATTTTTTTCGTATTTTAAAGAGATACGGCAACGTGACGTGTTTTTTATGTACGAAAGATTATATAACGAGGTGCAAGTCTCTCTCTCTCTCTCTCTCTCTCTCTCTCTCTCTCTCTCTCTCTCTCTCTCTCTTTCTCTCTCTCTCTCTCTCTCTCTCTCTCAACAGTTTGCAATTTATTCAAGAGAAAGTTCACGTGGCGAGGAGAAGAAACAATGCTGCTACATGTATAGAGTATATCGAGGAGGAGAGGCGTGTAAACATCGTTTTACAGCTTACGAGACAATTGTGATGCTGCCATTTGCATGCACTTGCGCTCCTATTGATAAGAGGTTAAATAACTTTGCTCCGTTTTGATATCACTCGACAGATTACGCGTCCCTTCAACATAGGGGCTATTCGACTATTGTGTTGAGACATCATACACATATTTGCTTGTTGACGAATAGCAGTGACGGGAAATAAAAAAATATTCTTCATGTCACAATAAGCACTTTTGGATTTTAACAGATCCTTCAATTTTTTATTTTTACTGATTTATTTTTCAAGTTTTAACACACACTTATATATTTTTTTAACATACATTTATTTGTTTATTATTTTTAAATAGGTTTAATTAAAATGATTAAAATAAAAATAATTTAAATAATTTAAAAAATTAAAAGGTAAAAAATAATTTAAATAAATAAAAATCTAAAAAAATCTGTTGGAATAAAAAATTAAAAAATTTGTTTTAAATAGGATTATATATTTATAATAAAATAAATAGGATAAATAGGAAATATATATTTATAATTGATCTATCGATTTGATATTATAATTTAAATCGAGTATAATTTTTTTATTGGATGCATCCGGATAGATAAGATTGTATCTTATCGCAGAAATAAAGGAAGTGTTTTAGAACAATAGTTTGTATCTTGTAAGTGAATTATTTCAAAGTAGGAAAGTCCACAATACGATAACAATAGCATTATTCCACGTAATCTGACTTGTTAAGAATCTTAAATTTAATCAGATATGACAGCTGTAATATGTTTACTATTATTTATAATATTTTAATTGAAGATTAAAATATCGGTTTCTCAAACACTGATACGAATTAAGCAAGCATTAAAAGCGCGAATAAAATGAACCAAGTGTTACTCAATCAGTGCAATAATTCGCGTTTAAGTAATATTAATCCATTGTATTTGATTGCTTTTAAATTCCAAGATTTTAAAAATAAGAATCTTCTGAGAGGATAAGATTGCACAGACACACGCCATTAGCATAATAAAATGTAACAAAATATACATGTGCGATTTCTACTCTTGCAGACAATTCTTTATCCCAAAAGGGAGAGATTTAAAAACATCCAATCACAGTGCATCTTCTCGCCCCAATCTCTCAATAATTTAATTCTAGCTCTAGAGAGAGCCCAGCAAACACCAAGTAACATTTATATAATTGTTAATTGTAATTTTCCACTCAACAATATGACTGCAACATGTTATATGACATGTTATATTGAGTGAGAAATTAAAACTAACAATCATACAACTGTTATTTGGTGTTTGCTGGGAGATATGAAAATACGAGATTTTTTTCTGACATCCTTCGAGGTCTGAATTTTTTCGTCGATTCAATTTCTCGGAAATGGCTGGCGCGGCTCGTTTTGCGAGCGAGAGAATCGGTCGGGGCTCTCGGTTTCAGAACCACCGGTCGGACAATAAAACGTTAGCCAGGCCGCATGCGTATGAAACGCGGAGAAACGTGCTAACCAAAGTGCGAGAGGACCGAGAGACCGAGCGAGAAAGGGAGAGCGTGGAGGTAGAAGACGCCGGTGAGAGGCGAACCCCGGAAAAGTGTGTGCGTGCGCGCACACACAGCACACACACATGTATATGTGCATATACGGATCTCTCTCTCCCTTGCCCTCCTCGCTCTCCATTTCGCTCGCATGCTGAACGTGACGTCATCGATCGGACATTCCATCGAGCTTCACGTGCCATTCGTATTCCTTCTCGCGCTATCGCGAGAGAATTCCTGGAATGCTCCTCGGTGTCGGCGGAAACAATGCTCCCCGGAACAATTAGGTCGCATGAACAGAACGGAAAGTGAACGCTTTCGCTTTTATTTAGCATATCGAGAGACATCGAGGAGAGAAAAGTGCGCGATTGAAGCTAAGGCACCTTTGCTTCTGCGTATTTTTACCTCGAAAGATGGAAATCAAAGAAGGGATGGAGCTATAGTTTGATTAATTAATTAATCGGACGGAAATTTAATTTAATTTAATTTTTATTATTTTATAAATTATAATGAATTATAATAAATTTAGGATATCGTGAGACCATCGAGGAGTGAAAAGTGCGCGATTGAAGTTAAGGCACCTTTGCTTCTGCGTATTTTTACCTCGAAAGATGGAAATCAAAGAAGAGATGGAGCTATAGTTTGATCAACTAATTAATCAGACGGGAATTTAATTTAATTTAATTTTTATTATTTTATAAATTATAATAAATTTAGCACATCGTGCGTGAGACATCGAGGAGCGAAAAGTGCGCGATTGAAGTTAAGGCACCTTTGCTTCTGCGTATTTTTACCTCGAAAGATGGAAATCAAAGAAGGGATGGAGCTATAATTTCATTAATTAATTAATCGGACGGAAATTTAATTTAATTTAATTTTTATTATTTTATAAATTATAATAAATTATAATAAATATATTTAATAAATAATATATTTATAAAATATATAATAAATTTATTTAAGAAAATATGCCTCGAGAAAGGATGAAGAAAATTAAAAACTTGCGTCAATTTATAGATTTTATAAATATTAATAATGTTTCTTTTTTTTGCGTGATCAATTTAAGTCGTAATTTAAAATTATTTTTTTTCTCTTTTACAGACATACTCTGGCCTCTTCTGCGTCGTGGTAAACCCCTACAAGAGACTGCCGATATACACAGAAAAGATCATGGAAAGGTACAAAGGCATCAAGAGACACGAGGTGCCGCCGCACGTCTTTGCCATTACTGATACGGCTTATCGTTCCATGTTGCAAGGTAATTAGAACTTTCTATGAACCGCTTATCATAAGCCATGATGTATTATTAGCCGGTATATTAAAATTTAATAGTCGAGAAGATAATTTCAAACCGACAAAGTGCAGCTTGTGTGCTTAAATTGCGTTAATATAAAATATATTATATAAATATATATAATAATATATAAAATATATTTGTTTAAAATTAATTAAAAACTTATTTTAAAAATATATAAATATATTAATAAACTATAAATATAATATTTATATTTATAATATATTATAAATATATATTTCTTCATTTGCGTTTACATGAAGATTAATTTTCAATTATTCCAATCTTGTTGCAAGAAGGAAGAAAAATTGCAAATTATCAAATAATCCTTTGCCTAATTTTTTTCCAAATGATATATTTTTCAAGTTTTGCTTTCCCATATAATTATTATTATTCAACTTGATACATTACATTGTAAACAAAGTGGGACTATATATTCTGGAGCATTAAATATATTTTATCTCAATTATATATTTTTTTATATATGCATATATTTATTTATATTGTTACAATTAAAATTAATAAATTTTAATATATTGCAATTTATGTATTATATTTATTTATATTTATATTATATTTATTTTATTATGAATTATATTACATTTATATTATATTTATATTTTATTTATATTTATATTAATATTATATATATTTATATATATTTAATATATATTTTCTGTAGAGAATACAGAGAGATCCTATAAATAACCGCGTTGTTATTTGCAGATCGGGAGGACCAGTCGATTTTGTGTACCGGCGAGTCTGGCGCCGGGAAGACCGAAAACACGAAAAAAGTGATTCAATATTTGGCTTATGTAGCCGCGTCGAAACCCAAGTCTAACGCGGTAAGTCGCAACTCTCGTCGCACGCTCGTCGATTAACGCTCGGTGAATCCATTGTTTGTACGCATTTCACGCACACGCGTCCGCTCGGCTCGAGGAGATGCGTATATACGCGAATGAAGATGAATTGAGCCGCAGCCATCGAGGGGAAAATCACATTTAACCTCCCGATATACTTCATTAGAGGAAACACGAGCGCTTCTCTCCATCTCCCTGGGAGCCTCTCCAAGAAACCTTCGTTTCCTGAGAAAAAAAAACTTGTTAACTTGACTACCATTCAGCTAAATTATTATTCTTTTAATTCAAATATTTAACTATTTAAATCAAATAATACATATTAAATCTAACATGACATCTATTTAACTTAGATATTTAAATATTTGAATTTAAAAAATAATGATTTAGTTAAAATTTGGTTAAATTAACAACTTCTTTTTCTCAGCGCACGAAATTTAGCTGGATTTTTCAACGATGTGTTTCTTTAATATTTAAATTGATGGAAATATTCGACACATATATAGGCTATTGGGAGACGTTGTAATTATTAAAGAAAAGCAGGATGAGCATGCGATGAGCATAATTTGAGCAGGTGTAGCTCGAGTAATATGGTATTTATTAGCTTAGTTTCTTTAATAAATACCCTCTTGTTTATCGCGTTTCTCTCCATCTTTTTCGTCTTGAAATGATAGTAATCGCGCGCAACGATCGAAAGATTGCAGTTATCCTGCGCAATTATGTTTACATATAAATGTTTACTTGCAAGCATAAGACTAGTGGCCAATAGCAGACAATATCGACAAGAAACTACTGCAGATGATACGCTACTCGGTGAATAGGTTTAACCATAGAGGCGTGGAACGATCGTGATTACGTACGATTATAATGCTCGGCCATGAACGTGTTTAGTCAATTATTTGGCGCATTCTTTCGTCGTCTCTTTGCATCAATACATCCAAACATGCTTATTTCCTAGAGTTGAACCGAAGCGAAAGATCAGCTTGCATAGTTAATATGATCAACAGACGCCTTTTTAACCCGAGAAATCTCGACACTCGAAGCTGATATTTTAATCAATACTTTCAACATTCACGATCCAGTCTATTCTAGCAATGTAAAAAATGGTGGATGCTTTTAGTAATTTTTTAAAATATTTAAAATATTTTTAAAAATATTTTTTATTGATTTTCAAAAAAGTACATTATGCATATTTAGCTTTGTTCGTTCAATTTCTTTGTTCAAAATGATGAAAAAGATTGCTTTAGAGTAGACTGGGTCCTTAACAATCATTATTATTTTTATATTACAGAGGAAATGATATTGCTATACAAAATCATTGACTGTTTCGAATGTTGGGTGACTGTCATAGATCGTTGAGTTCACCTCGATTTATAGGTAAAATGTTTGTTACAAAGACTTTATAGCCGGATGACCACATTGGCTCGTCATGCACGATTAGAATACAAACTATCAGCGTTGAAATCGTCGAAATTTCACGCGATGGAGTCATCGTTGCTCACCGCAATCGCGTCAGCCTTTCCAAAGCTCGGAAAACCTCCTCCGCTGCCGCTGTCGCCGGAAGTGTAACCTCAATATCCGAATCGTGACGTCCTTTCTGCGCGATATCACAAATTCCATATCCGTCATTGACGAAATTTCTCTCAATCTACGGAGAAAGATAGGCAGCTTAAACGAAGCTTACTAAGATTCCTCGCACCATTGGATTTTACTTCATCAAAAAAAGTTTCCAAAAATTATTTTTCTCAAATTTTTATTAATATTTTATTAAATAGATCAATTTTTATCAAGTAAATTAATTTTTATTATTTTTTATCAAATAGATGTTTTATTAAATAGAGCTATTCTTACCATGAAACTTTTGTATCAAAAAAAGTTTCCAAAAATTATTTTTCTCAAATTTTTATTAATATTTTATTAAATAGATCAATTTTTATCAAGTAAATTAATTTTTATTATTTTTTATTAAATAGATATTTTATTAAATAGAGCTATTCTTACCATGAAACTTTTGTATCAAAAAAAGTTTCCAAAAATTATTTTTCTCAAATTTTTATTAATATTTTATTAAATAGATCAATTTTTATCAAGTAAATTAATTTTTATTATTTTTTATCAAATAGATGTTTTATTAAATAGAGCTATTCTTACCATGAAACTTTTGTATAAAACATCTTTTCATATCTCGAATAATTTTGGAGACCTATCAAGAAAAGCAAAAAGCTTTTAAATGTCATCTATCTCGTAGATTATAATAATTATTTTTTAAGAAAAATTCAAATGTTGCAATCGAAGAATCTCAATCGTAAATGCCTTCTTATGAATTCTCCTGACATAAATAATGAATGAACATCATTTGGAGAGACGCAAGGAGCGCTCGAGAATTTTTTAAATATTGATTAAGGTATTGAGAATTTTTTAAATATTTATCAAGGATTGACTCGTGTGTGCACACATACACACACGAGATCGTCGAGAGCCTCTGGCAGGTCCGTATATATACAGTGGCCCCTTTGTTCTCGCGCGTTTCGCCGGGATACTTGAAGAAGTATATAATCCGAACCATCTCGCGAAGCGCAACGTTATTAATAAATCGAGAAAAGATGCGAGGAACGGCTGTATTTTTTTCTGAATCGCAAATTACCCCGAGGTTTGAGCGTAGAAGGCGAATAAAAAAGGATGTACGGCCGTAAGTTCCACTTGATAACATCCATTTCTCACTCCAGTGTCTGCTTCACATTCTATCCGGTTCGCGAATCCCCATGGCTGTTTTTATAAATTTTACAGATCATATGGCTATTTCGGCGCTCATGAGACGGCTAAAAATTTAAGAAGTAATCGCGACCACATGTCGAACGTAAACAGTCATTCAGAGAGGTTGTACAACGTCGAGGGTTGGCAAAAGATAAAATATATACAGCGTGCGAGACCCACAAGTAGTCTCAAGGAAGCGTTACATATTTTATCCTGATAATGTTGAATCCACTCGAGAAACAACGGATGTGAGAAAACGTACTTTTTAGAAATAAAATTATTTTATAATTTTAAAAAATTTAAATTTATATATTTATATATTTATATATTTAATTTATATATTTATATATTTATTATATATATTTATATATTTATATATTTATTATATATTTATATATTTAAATATATTTATATATTTAAATATATTTTTTAAATATATTTAAATATATTTAAATATATTATATATAAATATATTTAATATATAAATATATAATAATATATAAATATATAAATTAATATATAAATATATTTAAATATGTTTTATATATTTAAATATATTTATATATTTATATATTTATTATATATTTATATATTTAAATATATAAATTAAATATATAAATTAAAATATACAGAGTGTCCCAAAAGTCCCGGACCGGTCGAATATTTCATAAACTATGCACTTTAGAAAGAAATGTTTCAGACAAAAATTGTATGATTTGAAGAGGGTCATCAGACAGTGGCAATGATTTGACATGGGAGAGTCCTTTGAAAGTCACGTGAGGATCACCGTCAATTTCTTAAATGGAACCCTCTATTTTTTATTACATATTCTTGTAGCTTATCTCGAGAGCTTTCCAAAACACTAATAAAGTATTTCTTCATTGAGTACTTTTCGAGTTATGAGGATCTTGAAATCATTTCTTAATTTTGCATAAACAATAAAATATCTAGTAAAATATTCATTTTTCGATCATCTTACCTTAATACTTTTATGTACAAAATAATGAGAGGAATCATGCAAAATTAAGAAATGATTTCAAGCCTCATAACTCGAAAAGTACTCAATGAAGAAATACTTTATTATAGTGTTTTGGAAAGCTCTCGAGATAAGCTACACGAATATGTAATAAAAAATAGGGGGTTCCATTTAAGATATTGACGGTGATCTTCACGTGACTTTCAAATGACTCTCCCATGTCAAATCATTGCCACTATCTGATGGCCCCCTTCAAGCCATACAACTTTTGTCTGAAATATTTCTTTTTAAAGTGCATAGTTTATGAAATATTCGACCGGTCCGGGACTTTTGGGACACCCTGTATAAAATAAGGAAAGATTCTAGACAGCCAAAAGAGTCACCTGCGACAGGAGCAATCCAGGGGAGGGGACCTCTTTATACCTTTCGAAGATTCACGCATGGATCGGGATTACCTTCTTCCTTTCTCGATCGAAGGACGATCAGGAGAGCCTTAACACGGTTTTCGATCGCCATAGTTCGTAGGCTCTTATGTTTACGGCTCTCTCGAAGCGATAGATGGATGGATGGACGGACGGACTCTTGTTTATACGTCGATTAAGCCTAATCGATCTGTATTGCGTCGCTCGTACTACACGTTGCTCTCTCGCAGACAGATAACTCCCGGGGGGGGAGAGGGTGAGGAGGAGAGACACGCGCGCATGAAGAGAGGACCTCTCCTTTTCCAGACAAACGATCCACTTATCGGACCGAGTCTCTTTTCTGATTCTCTTGAGTCACGCGAGCCGACTCGCTCGTGACTCATCCACGAGCGTGGAATCTAAGCACGTACCGTGAATAAAAAAATATAGGACTCTCCTTTTTTATTAGAGATATCTTCCTCCTCCGGCGAAATCTCGGAGCAAGTTTCGAATCAACAATCTTGGTTGGTTGGAACAAAAGAAAACTTTGACAGATCCTTTTTACGGTCTCAAGTTTTGCCAGTTTCTTGGTTTTTAATATTTAAGGAACAAGGAAAGTCATGCTTTTGTATATATTGTACGAGAATTAAATATTTTCGAGGACTGAATCAATCCCATTTTAGCAAAATTGCACACTTTTTTTAAATAAAATCCAAGCCAGTAGTAAGAATCAATATTTTCTAAAAAAAAAACTGGTATTTTCCGGAGGAACTGATAAAAACACACTGACATTTCCTATCATAAATGTTAAAATAAATAGAAAATTGTTTTATCGATATTCGTCAATTGAGAGGATATTTTTTAATTTAAGCTTCATCCAAAATCCATAATAGATTAGGAATCGACGTCAAATAAATTTGTTTCTTGTAGAAGAAGATGTTGAAAGATAACCAGAGTTAAAAGGTCACTAGTAAAAATAATATAGAAGAGAAATAAAGTAAAGGAGATACTAATAAAAATTTTTAATTTTATTATTTTATATTTTTTTTATTAAATTAAACATTGATATAAAATTTAACAATATTTATATTTCCAAAGTTCTTATTGGTTTAAAAAATATTGCATGTTGATTTGAATTAAAAAGATTTTTTTTTATTAAACTGATTTTCATTTTTAAAACTATAATAATGATTAATATAATTTATTAATTAAAGTAAAAATATCTTTGTACAAAAGTCATGTAATATTTTGGTTTATATATTAATTATTTGCACAGTTTTTGTCAATTTCTAGAGCCAGGGATTGTAAAAACCGAAATTTACCATGATTTTTCCCACTCGTTGAATTCTTCAGACCAATCCTGCAGTACTTTGTGATGGATGGACATTATCGTGCTTTGTTGCGGCTGCAATTGTTACAAACTAATCCCTGCAAATCGAATAGAGAACTCTCAATCGACGCAATTGAGTTCTCGCGTTATCTGCCTGATTTATTAAATCGATCTCCATTAAATCGAATCGTTATACATACATTTTATGTACATAGCTTGTAGATATGTAATATCGCATATATATGGCACGTATCTAATACTTTGTACAGTAAGTTTGGATCGAATTAAAAAAAAATGGTAGTGAGTAAATAACATGGTCAATGAAATGGTGACAGGGATGTATTCCTTGATGAATATTTACGTTGGTTTTCTTCAGAGAGAGAACAAAATGTATATATATATATATATATAAATAAAAACCCGACTTGCGTGAGAGAATAATTTAATATTGAATGACGCAGGCTCTTATCTTTTGAATTAATTAGATAAAAATGCAATTTTTTTTTTAGAAAAAATCTTATTTATTGCAGTCTCTTCTCTTTACGAAGACAAAGGAATGCGGTTGAAATTAATCAACGTTGATCAAATCGGCCCAATGTCAATTCAAGTTAGACGATTGGTATTTTAATGTTGAACGAGTCTTTAAAAAAAAAAAAAAAATTATACAACGACGAGAATCAGTTTGGCTCAGCTCGATTGTGCATGCACACGAATCTCGAGAAGACCCTTTCCAAGTGTATCAGATTTCTTGAGAAATTTATACGCGTACAAGAGTGTATGTGTTTAAGAAAAAGAAAAAAAGAAAAAAAAAGGAAAAAAAATCCACGAAACGAAAACACTCGCCTAACGGTACGACTGCATGCTATCGCATCGGCTGCATTATCGTCTTACTTTTGTTCACAGCCAGCACATTCCTGATCGTTTCGCATGCACAAGAGCAAATAAGCTCGCTTGTTTCGCCGACTCGCCACTATGGACATTTCAAACCATTCCGATCGGGGCGTTGCTTCCCGAGTGTTGTATAAAAAATGTCCCGCAGCTGTGCCGAGTTATTATTATTATTATTATTATTTTCTTTTTCAACATCTTTAATTCTTCGAAAAGTTTGTGGACCCTTTTTAAAAATTTCATGAAAGTCCTACGCAATTTCAATTTTTTTTTTTTTTCAATATTGCAATCACAATTTTTGATCATCCTGGAAAATTGAGGTAAAAAGATTATTAAATTCCTCGGCGCAAAATTTATGTGAAATTATCTGTCAAAAAGAAAGAAATTTAATTCTCTGCTAAAATTCTTTAATTTTCGTTGTAATTAATGCAAGGTCAATTTTTGTTTAAATCTATCAATAATTATAATTTAAAAAAATAATTACCTGACTATTATACAGGGTATATCTTAAAAAGCTCCCACTAAGGAAATAGCGTTATTCCTGATTATTTTTTTTTCAATATCTTTAATTCTTCGAAAAGTTTGTGGACCCTTTTTAAAAATTTCATGAAAGTCCTACGCAATTTCAATTTTTTTTTTTTTTTTTTTTTTTTTCAATATTGCAATCACAATTTTTGATCATCCTGGAAAATTGAGGTAAAAAGATTATTAAATTCCTCGGCGCAAAATTTATGTGAAATTATCTGTCAAAAAGAAAGAAATTTAATTCTCTGCTAAAATTCTTTAATTTTCGTTGTAATTAATGCAAGGTCAATTTTTGTTTAAATCTATCAATAATTATAATTTAAAAAAATAATTACCTGACTATTATACAGGGTATATCTTAAAAAGCTCCCACTAAGGAAATAGCGTTATTCCTGATTATTTTTTTTTCAATATCTTTAATTCTTCGAAAAGTTTGTGGACCCTTTTTAAAAATTTCATGAAAGTCCTACGCAATTTCAATTTTTTTTTTTTTTTTTTTTTTTTTTCAATATTGCAATCACAATTTTTGATCATCCTGGAAAATTGAGGTAAAAAGATTATTAAATTCCTCGGCGCAAAATTTATGTGAAATTATCTGTCAAAAAGAAAGAAATTTAATTCTCTGCTAAAATTCTTTAATTTTCGTTGTAATTAATGCAAGGTCAATTTTTGTTTAAATCTATCAATAATTATAATTTAAAAAAATAATTACCTGACTATTATACAGGGTATATCTTAAAAAGCTCCCACTAAGCAAATAGCGTTATTCCTGATTAAAAACCGAGTCGAAAAGTCCGAACCATTTTTTCCATAATGCTTAATAAGGCAGTAATTAATGAGTAAAGTCGCGCCAATAAAAAGACAAACTTCCTCGTTATCAACATGTGAAGATTTGGATAAGCGAAGAAATAAACTGCTTTGTGTTAATTTCTAAACAATTCATCTTTTCAGAATCTTTTTAATACTTAAATCTGATTAATTATTTAATGAATCTTGGAAAAAAAAGAAATGGTTCAGGACTTTTCGACTCTATTTGCTTAGTGGAAGCTTTATAAGATACACCCTGTATATCCAATAAAAGAAAATTGAAAGTAAATTGCAGAAATTCAGCGCGTTTAAGAGATTGATTTGCAAAATAAATGTGTTGCAAAATTATAAGACAAATTTGAAAACACACACACGCACAATATCGAATACTCTATAAATCCAATTTCACTTTTGCGCACTTTTCGGTCGATTTTGTCGCGTACCTGTCTAAAGTGCGTAAAAAAAAAAAGTCGCAATCAAGGAGAGCAAGACACGCCATGGTCGATTCTGTGATCTAATGCTGAAAATTCTTTTATTTTCGGTGCTGACTTTTGGCGGCCGCCCACCTAGACTCCGAGCCCGGCATTAATCATAGTAAGTCAACGAAAGAAACAAGGGAGGCCCCGGCTCAGGCGGCCAAAGACGCCTGCGGCGCGGGAGCTTCCTATTATTTTCCCGCTTATCCACACCCCCTTCAACTAACAGACAGCTTTTCATTTTCGATTCACCTTCGCTGACGCATGTACCGAGAGAGAGAGACCGGGATAAATCACGAGACGGATTGTCTTACAAAAATATCAATTACATGGACGTGCAAATAAAGTCTGTTTACGATATATTAATTCGTTCGCAAAAATCGTCGGGAAAAATTCAAATAAAATATTTGAAAATTATTACAATAAATTGTTGTGACAAATGGATGCGAAATAGAGGAAGGAAATGTCTTTATGTTAGAGGAAATTTAATAATTGAGAAAAAATAAAATTATTTGATCGAATTTTATATTTATTTATATATTATAATTTTTATTTATATAATGTTTATTATTATATTATAATTTTTATTTACATTTATTGTAATATTTATTTATTATTATATTATAATTTTTATTTATATTATAATTATTATTTTATTATTTTATTATTTTATTATTTTATTTATTATTATTTTAATTATTTTATTATTTTATATTATAATTATAATTTTATTATTTATATTATAATTATAATTCTAATTTTTATTTATATCTTTTAATCTTGTCTCATTTGAAACGATGCATCCCAGTTCTTTTTAATCAAATTAAACTTGTATTTTTTTGTCAAACAATGAACGTGACGCGATAATAATATACGAGATTACTCTCGGTACCTGCGCGATTCTCGCGTCTAAATATATGTGTTTGTACCATTTCGCTCGTTACCCTCCTGAGAAACTAATTGTCGCGAAATTGTCACAGCTCTCGTGGCTAACAAAGATTCCCCATGCCTCTTTTTTCCTGCTGCTTGCGGATCCAGGGATCTGGGAGTGTCACGGAAAAGTTTGCGGTAATTAACGTGAGACAGGGAGAAAGAAAGTGGGAGGAAACAATATTAACACTGGTGTGGTGTCGTGATAAGTGTTTTTTTTTTGCCCTACAGCTTGCTTTGTCGTCGATTATGTCGTCGTTTAACTTTGTTTGTTTGTTTTTTTTTTTACCCTTCCGATACGCTACAGTTTTAACAAGTCGCCAGAGTTAAAAGTCGATCTTCGATCTGCTTGATACGCTTTTTATAATCGTGATGCGTTATCATACAAGCGAGAAGAATGCGTGAAAAATTTCGTTTGTTTGTCTGTGATTTCGTAAAAAATCCTCTCCATTTTGAAATAATATCCCGACACTTGAGGATAAAAAGAGATTAATGGTTCAACAATGCTCGCGATGATTTGTCATAGAAATTCCTTTGGACGAAAATTTTCACGCCATTTATGTTTATTTAAAATAAGTGGACCGAATCAACTCATGCCATTTATGTTTATTTAAGATAAGCGGACAGAATCAATTTTTATGTTTTCATATGCAAATGATTGATATTTCGAAATGACTGGTTCAGTTTCGATGTCTCTTTTTGCCTTCGCCATTTTCAAATAGCGGTTATTATAGTTGTCACTTATCTCGCCATTTTTTAAAATTAGTTTTGTACATATTTTATGCTATTGTGTATATTTAATGTTAAGAAAACGCTGCTGTTTTATTTTTGCAAAATATTTACGGTAACAATTTTATATAATTTAATATTTTCCTTTATTCGACATTTCTTTTTATAGTTCATCAACATCATAGAATTCAATATTTTCATTTAGATATAATTATTTATTGTATTTTTTAATATTTGTAATATTTTTTTTTTTATTTTTTTTATTATATTTTTTTTATATTCATTAACTTAAATTCTATTAATTAATTATAATATGAATATAAATTTCTTAATTAATTTATGAGTGTAACGTTTTTAGTATTTTTAAAGTATCATTTAGAACTATTTAAAATGATCATTTTTTGAATATTTGTTTCGTATATTATTTTTCTATATTAATTATTTCCAAATAAAAATGTGGAAAAATTCGAAATGAGAGTGATTAATTGATATCATTTGCTTTATGTCGAAAAGAATGGCAAGCTCTTGTACGCCATTGCACTATTTTTCAACGTACGCGATAAGCTATTTACTTCTTACGCTATTTTTATCAGCCTCGAAAGATTAATATTCCTGGCAAGCGCAATGTTCGCTATTGATTGTTGCAATTTTTTTCGTCATAGGGCGAGCTGGAGCAACAGCTTCTTCAGGCAAATCCAATTTTAGAGGCGTTCGGCAATGCAAAGACCGTGAAGAACGATAACTCGTCTCGTTTCGTAAGTCATATCAATAATTTTTTGCTTTAGCTGCGCCGATGAAGCTAAAGCAGCTGCATATTAAAATACATATTTATAATTTTAATTCTAAATTTATTCTAAATTTATTATAATTTATTATAAATTAATTAATTACAATTTATTTATTATTTTATATTATTTTTATTTTTAATATTTTTATTTGTATTATTTTTATTTGTATTATTTTTATTTTTATTATTTTTATTTGTATTATTTTTATTTTATTATTTTTATTATAAATTAATTAATTATAATTAATTATAATTTATTATTTATTATATTAATTTATTATTTATTATAAATTAATTAATTATAAATTTAAGTAATTTTTTACTTCAATTTTGTGTCAGCATTGTTTCATTTTTTCCATTCTTATTACTGTACAATTACTATAACTGCCATGTCACATGTGATGCACATTTTAGGGTAAATTTATTAGAATAAACTTTGACGCCTCCGGTTATATAGCCGGTGCAAACATCGAGACATATCTTTTGGAAAAATCGAGGGCCATTCGACAAGCGAAAGACGAAAGAACTTTCCACATATTTTATCAACTGTTGGCGGGTGCCTCGCCGGAACAGAAAAGTGAGTCCGATATATCCTTTTTTTACATCTCTATTAATCATCTTCGGTAACTAAATTACTTGATTTATTTTTCATTTATTTAATTGATTGATATTTTTTACTTGATTTATTTTTCATTTATTTAATTGATTGATATTTTCTTTCAGAGGAATTTATATTGGAGGATCCGAAGCACTACCCCTTCCTGTCGAATGGAGCCCTCCCGGTGCCAGGGGTCGACGATTCCGCCGAGTTCTTCTCCACAGTAAAGTCGATGCACATCATGGGCATGACCAACGAGGACTTCTCCTCCATCTTCCGTATCGTTTCCGCCGTGATGTTGTTTGGCTCGATGCAGTTTCGTCAGGAACGGAATTCCGATCAGGCGACGTTGCCCGACAACACGGTGGCACAGAAAATCTCGCATTTGTTGGGCTTGAGCGTTACCGAGATGACGAAGGCCTTCCTGAAGCCGCGCATCAAGGTTGGCCGTGATTTTGTGACGAAGGCGCAGACAAAGGAGCAGGTGGAATTTGCTGTAGAAGCGATCTCGAAGGCCTGCTACGAGAGGATGTTCCGTTGGCTGGTGAACAGGATCAACAGATCTCTGGATAGGACGAAGCGACAGGGTGCCAGTTTTATTGGGATACTGGATATGGCCGGCTTCGAGATATTCGAGTTGAACTCCTTCGAGCAGTTGTGCATCAATTACACGAATGAGAAGCTGCAACAGTTGTTCAATCACACAATGTTCATTCTGGAGCAGGAGGAGTATCAGCGCGAGGGGATCGAGTGGAAGTTTATAGATTTCGGATTGGATCTGCAGCCAACGATCGATCTGATCGATAAACCGATGGGTATCATGGCGCTTTTGGACGAGGAATGCTGGTTCCCGAAAGCCACGGACAAGACATTTGTGGAAAAGCTGGTTGGCGCTCATAGTGTCCATCCAAAGTTCATGAAGACTGATTTCCGCGGCGTGGCCGACTTCGCGATCATTCATTACGCCGGCAAGGTGGACTATTCCGCCGCCAAGTGGCTGATGAAAAACATGGACCCGTTGAACGAGAACGTTGTCAGTCTTTTACAAGCCTCGCAGGATCCGTTTGTGTGTCACATTTGGAAGGACGCCGAGATCGTGGGTATGGCACAGCAGGCACTCACGGACACGCAGTTTGGCGCGAGAACGAGAAAGGGCATGTTTAGAACAGTCTCGCAATTGTATAAAGAACAGTTGGCCAAGCTGATGGTGACACTGCGAAATACGAATCCGAACTTTGTTAGGTGTATAATTCCGAATCACGAGAAGAGAGCCGGTAAAATTGATGCGCCGCTCGTGCTAGATCAACTACGGTGCAATGGAGTGTTGGAGGGTATCCGCATCTGCCGGCAAGGTTTTCCCAACAGAATTCCGTTCCAAGAATTTAGACAACGCTACGAACTACTCACTCCGAATGCTATTCCCAAAGGATTCATGGATGGGAAGAAAGCTTGCGAAAAGATGGTAGGTGATATCTTTACACTGAGAAAAATCGTTTGATTGTATCAACAAGACGTATATGATTGAAAGCATTTTGGTTAAATCAAACAAGAATTTCTAGTCATCATCATAAGACTCGATTTTTTATAACTAGAACATTTAATAGATTTTACTATAAGGATTTGATTAGTATTTTCTGGTTGGATCTATCAAATTTCTTGTTACATTAATTTCTTTGCTTGCCACTCTTAACTTAACTCGTATTCAATATTTGCCATGAAATGTATTTAAAGAACTAGTATTAACATTAAATCCAAAGTATATTTTTTTTCTCTTATGAGCAGTAGTGTCAGAAAGAGAACGCTAGCTCTCTGATTTGAGCTGCATTCTCTTCTTGCATCACTGTTTATCAGTTTAATTTCCAACAAACTGAATTTAAAATAATTTATTCAATAATCTGGATTGAATTTATTCAATAATCTTGTTGGAATTTAAAATATTAAACAGACTTTTGAAATTAGATGAAAAAAATTTTAGACGACTTGGTGCTGAGGAGTTTAGTATTATTAACAAGAAAGTTTGGTAAATTTAACAGGAAGAAATTAATCAGATTCATCTGGTAATTTTTACAAGAATTCTGGTTTTATTTAATTATTTAAATTATTTTAAGTTCAGTTTGTTAGAAATTAAACTGGTAAACAGTGATGCAAGAAAAGGATGCAGCTCAAATACAATCAGAGAGCTAGCGTCCTCTTTCTGGCACTACTGCTTGTAAGAGAAAAAAAATATACTTTAGATTTAATGTTAATACTTGATATACATTTCATGGCAAATATTGAATATGAGTTAAGTTAAGAAGCAAGCAAAGAAATTAATGTAACAAGAAATTTGATAGATCCAACCAGAAAATACTAACCAAATTCTTATAGTAAAATCTATTCAACGTTCTAGTCTTATAAAAAATCATGATAACTAGAAATTCTTGTTTGCTTTAACCAAAATGTCAATCATATACATCTAGTTGGTACAATCAAATGATTTTTCTCAGTGCATGTCTCAATAATAAGAATGAGAATAATGATAAAAACATATATTGTAAACTATTTTTTAAAATTATAGATTCAAGCATTGGAGTTGGATCCAAACCTTTATCGTGTTGGACAATCGAAAATCTTTTTCCGCGCCGGAGTGTTGGCACACTTGGAGGAAGAAAGAGACTACAAGATCACGGATATAATCGTCAATTTCCAAGCTTTCTGTCGCGGTTTCTTGGCTCGGCGTAATTATCAGAAACGTCTGCAGCAGCTTAACGCAATTCGCATTATTCAGAGAAACTGCGCGGCCTACTTAAAACTACGCAATTGGCAATGGTGGCGGCTGTATACCAAGGTGAAGCCGCTATTGGAGGTCACTAAGCAAGAGGAGAAGCTTACGCAAAAGGAGGATGAGCTGAAGCAAGTTCGCGATAAGCTGGAGTTACAGCTGCACTCGGCTCAAGAGTATGAACGTAAATATCAGCAGGCGATTGAAGAGAAAACTATGCTGGCTGAGCAACTGCAGGCGGAAGTCGAGCTCTGTGCGGAAGCTGAAGAAATGAGGGCTCGACTGGCCGCAAGGAAGCAGGAACTTGAGGAAATTTTGCACGATTTGGAAGCGCGTATCGAGGAGGAAGAGGAGAGAAGCGCCGCGTTGACTCAGGAGAAGAAAAAGCTGCAGTTGAATATCAGCGACTTGGAGGAGCAGCTGGAGGAAGAGGAGGCTGCCAGACAAAAATTGCAATTGGAGAAGGTCCAATGCGATGCGAAGATTAAGAAATTGGAGGAAGATCTCGCCCTGTCGGATGACACCAATCAGAAGTTGTTAAAGGAGAAGAAAATTCTCGAGGAGCGCGCCAATGATCTCTCGCAGACTCTGGCAGAAGAGGAGGAGAAAGCGAAGCATCTGTCCAAACTGAAAGCCAAACACGAGGCGACAATCGCCGATCTCGAGGAGAGGCTTCTCAAGGATCATCAGCAACGTCAAGAGGTGGATAGATCCAAGAGGAAGGTCGAAACTGAGGTCTCCGATCTGAAGGAGCAACTGGCCGAGAGGAAATCGCATGTGGAGGAACTACAGCTTCAACTTGGCAAACGCGAGGAGGAGCTCAATCAAGTCATGGCGAAGATGGACGAGGAAGGCGCTTCCAAGGCGCAAGCTCAGAAGGCTCTCAGGGAATTGGAATCACAGTTAGCCGAGCTTCAGGAAGATTTGGAAGCCGAGAAAGCCGCTAGGGGCAAGGCCGAGAAGCAGAAGCGCGATTTGAACGAAGAACTCGAAGCGTTGAAGAATGAATTGCTCGATTCTCTGGATACTACTGCGGCTCAACAGGAGTTGAGAAGCAAACGGGAGCAAGAACTTGCGACGTTGAAGAAGAATCTGGAGGAGGAGACTTCGTCGCACGAAGGTACGCTTGCCGACATGCGTCACAAGCATACGCAAGAGTTGACCGTTCTGAACGAACAGATGGACGCGCTGAAGAAGACCAAGGCAGCCTTGGAGAAAGCGAAAGGCTCCTTGGAAGCGGAGAACGCTGATCTGGCGACGGAATTAAGATCGGTCAGCGCGAGCAGACAAGAGTCCGATCGACGTCGCAAACAAGCGGAGCAACAACTGGCGGAAATCAATGCAAAGCTGGCCGAGGTGGAGAGAAACAAGCAAGAATTTTCCGAGAAGGTGACCAAGTTGCAACAAGAGGCGGAGAGCGTGATGCAACAACTGGAGACCGCCGAACTGAAAGCATCCGCGGCATTAAAAGCCTCGACCACCTGCGAGTCGCAATTTACCGAACTTCAACAACAATTGGAGGAAGAAACCCGGCAGAAACTGGCTCTCAGCTCGAAGCTGCGCGCGTTGGAAGGCGAGAAGGAGAGCCTGCACGATCAGCTTGAAGAGGAGGAGGAAGCAAAACGTGCCTTGGATAAGCAGGTGCTGAGTTTGAATATACAACTCGCCGAGGCCAAGAAACGCGCCGACGAGGAAGCGGAGGCGGCCGCTGCCCTCGAGGAGGCCAGAAAGCGTTGCACGAAGGACATCGAAGCTCTTCAGCGGCAGGTCGAGGAATTGCAGGCGGCCAATGACAAGCTGGACAAATCGAAGAAGAAGATTCAAGCGGAACTGGAGGACAGCATCATCGAGCTGGAGGCGCAGCGAGCGAAGGTACTCGAGCTGGAGAAGAAGCAAAAGAATTTCGACAAGGTGCTCGCCGAAGAGAAGGCCGTGTCCGAACAATACGCGGAGCAGAGGGACATCGCGGAAAGGGAAGCTCGTGAAAAGGAGACGAGAGTGCTGTCGTTGACCCGGGAATTGGATGAACTTAACGAGAAGGTCGAGGAATTGGAACGAGGCCGTCGAGGTCTGCAGTCGGAGTTGGACGAGTTGGTAAATAATCAGGGTACGGCTGACAAAAATGTCCACGAATTAGAGAAGGCGAAACGATCGTTGGAGTCGCAGCTGCAAGAGCAAAAATCGCAGGTGGAAGAGTTGGAGGACGAGCTGCAATTCACCGAAGACGCGAAGCTGCGATTGGAGGTGAACATGCAGGCGTTGCGAGCGCAGTTCGAGCGCGATCTCCAGACTAAGGAGGAGCAGGCGGAGGAGAAACGTCGAGGATTGGTGAAGCAGCTGCGTGATCTCGAGGCGGAGCTCGAGGACGAGAGGAAGCAACGTGCCGCGGCTATTGCGGCGCGTAAGAAGATGGAAGCGGATTACAAGGACATCGAGCAGCAGCTGGAGATGCATAATAAGGTGAAGGAGGACGCGCTGAAGCAGCTGAAGAAGCTTCAGACTCAGATCAAGGATTGCACCAGAGAGACGGAAGAGGCCAGGGCCGCCAGGGACGAGTTGGCGGCCGCTTCTAAGGAAACCGAGAGGAAGGTTAAGAGCCTGGAAGCTGACTTGTTGCAATTGACCGAGGACTTCGCCTGCAGCGAACGCGCCAGGAGAACCGCCGAGAACGAGAGGGACGAGTTGCAGGAGGAGGTCAACAACAATGCCAACAAGGGTACTCTGATGTTGGACGAGAAGCGTAGACTGGAGGCGAGGATTGCCACACTGGAGGAGGAGTTGGAGGAGGAGCAGTCGAACGCCGAGATTGTTATGGATCGCGCCAGGAAGGGCCAGATTACGATCGAACAGCTGACAACGGACTTGGCGACCGAGCGATCCACCACGCAAAAGTTGGAATCGCACAAGATGCTGTTGGAGAGGCAAAACAAGGACCTCAAGGTGAAGCTGACCGAGCTGGAGACTGCGCAACGTGCCAAGACCAAGGCCACGATACAGCAGCTGGAATCGAAGATCAACAATCTCGATGAACAACTCGAGACCGAGGCCAAGGAGAGATTTGCCCAGCAAAAGATCAATCGCAAGTTGGAGAAGAAATTGAAAGAATTGAGTCTGCAGCTTGAGGATGAGAGACGAAATTCCGATCAGTATAAAGAGCAAGCGGAGAAGGTCAATATCAGAATGAAGGCGTTGAAGAGACAATTGGACGAGGCGGAAGAGGAGATTAGCAGGCATAAGACCCTGAAGCGGAAAAATCAAAGGGAAATGGACGACCTGATAGAAATGAACGAGGAGCTCAATCGTGAATTGACGCAGTACAAGAATAAATACAGGTGATTTTATTTCTGTCCTTTTGAACGCACAATCAGAGATAAGGAAATTTCTGAAATAGCGAAAGAAAGATGAAAAATTTAATTTTTGTAGGATATTAAGTAGCGAAAGGATATACTTCTGGATCATATGCAATATTTATACGTATATATATATATATTCTTTTATGTTACGCTTTTTAGGCCATACGTATCTGTAACGTTAGGCGAACGTAATGAGGCAGTATTAAAGTAGTGTTTTATCTTTGAAGGAAGTGATCAACTTCTGACATGTGTAGGTGTCAAGAGAGAAAAAACGATTGGTATCCTACCTGAGAGAGTTTTTTGCTAGGAAACAATCCCATTAGTCTCCCCAGTGTGCTACAGTGAGTTAAGCGAGCTCTTTTAGTTCATTTGAAACCGCTAACCCTGAAAATAATAACGTCGACTTGGACTGCTACCTTGTGTGATAACGACATACTACACCTCCGGCACCTTTTTGAATGCAATTGTTTGTGAATGTGTTTCTTTCTTTTTTTTGGTTTGAGGTATACGCTATCGGTCAATAGAAAAATGTACTTTTTAAAGAGAGTCTCTCTTTTAAAATTGTGTGTAAAAAGATTTTTCAAGTCTTCATTAAATATTTATTATCAGGTATCATGCACAAGAGAGCTTAAATGTAAATTTATTCAGATATAATTTGAATAAATCACACATCAGTAATTGCTCAATAAATTTTTCATTACTTTACTCTCTTTACATTTGATTTGAGACTATTACTGTGTATATTTATACATGTACAAGATGATTCATAAATGCATGGCAATTCTCAAGTGAGTAAATATGCAAGAAATGTCTTGAACATACATTGTAATAGTTTCTGAGTTGTGGAAGAAAAATGTTTGTCTTTCTTGTCGAGTATGAATATTTTTAAATTATTTTTCCTAGATGGATAATGTATAGCTTAAGAAATAGAGACAACACATATATGTCCTAATTTAAATTTATTAAATTTTTATATTTGGAATTATTTAAAATTCTTTAAAATTATCTTCCATAATTCAGAAACTATATACGATATACATTGAAGTAATATTTTTCAGTTTTGCTTAATCTATATACATTTACTCGTTGAAATATTACGATGCATTTATGAATCACTTTCTCTATATATTTTGTATATATATCAATCATAATATTATCTGTAACATTTAATTTATAAGTAAGTTCATAAATGCATGGCAATCCTCAAGTGAGTAAATGTACAAGAAATGTTATATGTTGATATATAAACAAAATATATAGAGAAAGTGATTCATAAATGCATCGTAATATTTCATCGAGTAAATTTATATAGATTAAGTAAAATTGAAAAATACTTGAGTGTATATAGTTTCTGAATTATGGAAAATAAAGAATTTTAAATAATTCCTAAACTAAAAATAAAATCTAATAATTTAAAAATCTAATAATTTAAAAATAATATAAAATTCTAATAATTTAAATTAGGACATGTGTGTGTTGTCTCTATTTCTTATACTATACATTATCATCTAGGAAAAATAATTCAAAATATTCATACTCGACAAGAAAATAAAGTCAAACATTTTCTTCCACAACTCAGAATCTATTACAATGTACGTTATTTGAACATATATTGTAATAATTTCTGAGTTGTGGAAGAAAATGTTTGACATTACTTTCTTGTCGAGTATGAATATTTTTAAATTATTTTTCCTAGATGGATAATGTATAGCTTAAGAAATAGAGACAACACATATATGTCCTAATTTAAATTTATTAAATTTTTATATTTGGAATTATTTAAAATTCTTTAAAATTACCTTCCATAATTCAGAAACTATATACGATATACATTGAAGTAATATTTTTCAGTTTTGCTTAATCTACATACATTTACTCGTTGAAATATTACGATGCATTTATGAATCACTTTCTCTATATATTTTATATATATATATATATATATATATATATATATATATATCAATCATAATATTATCTGTAACATTTAATTTATAAGTAAGTTCATAAATGCATGGCAATCCTCAAGTGAGTAAATATACAAGAAATGCTTTGAACATACATTGTAATAGTTTCTGAGTTGTGGAAGAAAATATTTGATTTTACTTTCTTGTCGAGTATGAATATTTTTAAATTATTTTTCCTAGATGGATAATGTATAGCTTAAGAAATAGAGACAACACACACATGTCCTAATTTAAATTGATTAAATTTTTATATTCGGAATTATTTAAAATTCTTTAAAATTATCTTCCATAATTCAGAAACTATATACGATATACACTTAAGTAATATTTTTCAGTTTTGCTTAATCTATATACATTTACTCGTTGAAATATTACGATGCATTTATGAATCACTTTCTCTATATATTTTGTATATATATCAATCATAATATTATCTGTAACATTTAATTTCTAAGTAAGTTCTTTCAAGATTATAAAATAATTTTCTAGAAAATTGAACTATTTAAATCACAGGAGAGACTCTTGACGTACATTTTAAGCTACTGACCGATGGTGTATGTTTTCTAATTGCACAGGTCCTCCCTTCAGGATCAGACACATGGTGTCTAATTAATGCAATATAATCATCTGTTTGAAGGCGCGGCGGTGGTCCTCCGATAAGCCTGAGCTCCACGAGGCTGAAACGCGGTTCCGTGCAGACCGGCGGCTCGGGCGACGACTCGACGACGCAGGACGAGAGCATCGACGGCGAGGAGAATGTTAATTGAGTATCGGTCCAGTGTGCTCTCGAACTTCTGTGAATTATGTATATACGTGCGTCGAGAAAGGGTGTTGGCTTTTTTTTGTTCGATTCAAGGGCGTCACGCTTGCTGTCAAGCTGACGTCGTCGCGATTACGAGGACTAATTCCACGAGATTAAAATCAAAAGTCGTTTCTACCGTGGCGTTTCCGGCCTTAAGATTAATCACGACGGAATAACGATCTTCCCCTGCCTGGGGGGGAATTTAATTAACCGATGATTGCGGGGAAGGAGCCTAGGGGCGCGAAGCCGCGAAAAGTAACAATATTAATCGAACCAAGGACTTTTGATACATTTTATATAGAACGAACGCAAACGTTGACCGCATTTTACATATATATAAGAAAGAGACAGTGTATATGTGTTTGAGAGAAAGAGAGAAGAGAGGCATACAATAAATTTGAAGGAAGGAAACTCGATCGTGATGAATTTATTGGAGACTTATTTAAACGAAACTTAAATAAAACGGAAGGATCGGAGCGCGTTTCTTTTATTTCGACGCGGCCTCTCGCTTGATTTCCTCGAGCTCTCGGACCAAACCGGGACTCGCGAGATCCAACGGGGTCTTGCGCTCCCTGTTGGTGATCGCCAGGTCCGCTCCGCGCGTCACCAGCAGCTTCGCCTCTTCCACGCGGTTCTCCTCGCAAGCGAGATGCAACGGCGTGTTACCATACGCGTCCCTTTGATCTGAGGAAAAGAAAAAGGAAAAATTAACGAAATGGCATGTGAAGCGAAAATGCATGAAATCGTCTCGTCGATTCTTCGAGGAAACCTTGTACTTCTCTAAGTTATAATCGAAAATATTTATATATAAATATATATATAGATTATATTTGATATTTTATATATTACTATATTGTAAAATGAGAGAGAGAGAGGGAGAAGAGCCGTATCACAGTAACACACACTTCCGCTACCTATATTCAATTTCTTCCCGTGCTCTATGAGGAGTTCCACGATGGCGATGTTGCCCTTTGAGGCGGATCTGTGAAGCGGGGTGGCGCCCCGTTTATCCGCGATGTTCACGTCGGCGCCCTTGTCGAGCAACGCGACGCAGATGGACTTCCAGTTCTTGGAGGCGGCGTACTGCAGAGCCGAATGGCCGTCGATGGTCATCGCGTTCACGTTCGCCCCCTCGGTCAGCAGCGTGTTGACGACCTTCTCGCGACCGGCGGACGACGCCAGGATCAGGGGAGTCATGTCCGTCTGCGAAAGATTTGGGCGACCAAGTGTCATTAATGAGATGGTGATTTCGAGGAGACTGGCCAGGATTAGGAGGACGGAATGAAAGTCTCGCGATGATTATGCGATTATGCGTTGCGTTATGCATGAGAGAAAGAGAGAGAGAGAGAGAGAGGGAAAACAGAATGTATAAATGCGCGATGCATTTTGGAGAGACGTATTTTCGCTTTATACTTATTTTCTTATAAGTTTTTTTTTTCTTATAAATGATCTATGGAAAAAAATTATAATATAATTATATGCCATAAAGTGTGTATATATATTATTAAGAGCTCCATCTTTCTTTAGATGTAGGTTCTCGAAAAGATGTTTTATGTGGATTAATCCTGTATCCTTCCCCTAAAGATTTGCGAGATTGACTTGGGGTTGTGGGAATTTGCTTATGAAACCGCGTTAAGTCTTATTCAATTAAAATCTTTGAAATATTAAAACTCTTTTTTTACATTTGCAACAATTTAAGGTTTATAGACTGTTTACGATTAATTCAAATTTAAATATAATTAAATATAATGTTAATAAAAAATATTTTGAAATTTTTTTTGAATATGTACATGATTGTACAATCTATTTGTAAAATCTAGTTTGATAAATGGTGTACGATATGTAGAATTATTTTTCCGAAAAACACTTGACGTTTTCAAATAGGAAAATAAAATTTTTTGATTTAAATATAAATACGTATCCCGAATTATTATATTATATAAATATTTTATATATTTTAAAATAAAATTTTACACAGTTCCATATAATTGTAGATACAAAAGTAAATCAATTACCATTTTTAATTATCAATATTTTAATAACTTTGAAGAATGATATGGAACAATATTAGGTTTGGATAATTTTTTAAAAATGAAGAGATTATTTACCTACAAATTATATAGTTTCCAAAGTGGAATTATTGCATTAAATTGTTCATAGTAATCTACAAAATCATGTATAAAAACGATGATAAAAATTATACAAATTTAAAAATCTTATTTTAATCTTTGAAAAATCATGTAATAATTTTGATCAAATATATTAAAACTTTAATATGTCATGCAAATTTTTAACTAAAATTATCAATCAATTTAACATTCCCATTTATTATTTATTATATTTACATTCCTTATAAGTGTTAAATTGATATAATTTTAATTAAAAATTTGCGCTCTTTAGCAAAAAATCTATCATGTTGCATTTGTCGCATTAACTCGAATATATTTGAAATTTTTATTTTCAAGAAATTAAAACTAAAAATTCCAATTAAATTAAAATTTATATTTTCAAGAAACAAAATATAAATTCTAATTGCATTATACTATATTCTTCAGGCTAGAAAAAAACATATACTTGACGTTTGAAAAGAAAAAATGAGAGAAGGAAGAGAGAAGAAAAATTTCAAAATATAGTTAATATATAATTTTTTTTATATCGAGCATTTCAAAATGCGAATCAGAAGATTTGCATGTACGGTGGTGTAATCTCTTACATCGTCCACAGGATCCACAGGTACGTCGAGAGACAGCAAATGCCTGACGAGGTCATCGTGGCCACCCAGCGCTGCCCAATGTATCAACATGCGGCCGTTCTGTACAAGGAGAGAAATTACGATATAACCTTAAAGATGTCACGTGCTACCCGGAATATTATTGTGAATATTTGCGTGATGCTCGACAATAATTACGAACGCTGTCGGTTTGCGTCTTCAGCTTCTCGTTCTCGTTCAACAGGATCTTGACGGCAGCGGTTTTGCCGCGATACGCCAGATCGTAGGCCGTAGGTTCTTGCTGCATCATCTTCGAGGTTATGACTGAGATTTTTAATGATAAATTGCGTTTAATGCGAAATACTGTTCAGTCTTTGCGTTTCGAACGTTGCGGATGGAGACGATATTGATCTGTCACTATCCGTCACCTGTCATCTGACATCAGCTGATATTCACTTGTCACTAAAGTACAATTTCATTGACGCTAAAAAGTAGCGTCAACCATTGATTAAACAAAGAAGCAACTATTTACTTTTTTGTTCAATGGTTGCACCTTTAAAGCAGCCTTTTCATTGACGCTAAAAAGTAGCGTCAACCATTGGTTGAACAAAGAAATAAGTAGTTGCTTCTTTGTTCAACCAATGATTGACGCTACATTTTATCGTCAATGAAATTGCACCTTTATAGAAAAGTCTATGGTCGCATGTAACAATATATGTTGGCCCTGAGTGTTTTTTTTTATTATGGATGCTTGAAATAAAATTAATCGTCTAATCGAATCAAGTGTAAAAAGATTTTTAAATGTAAACAATACGCGGTAAAAAAATAAATTGACAAATAAATGAAGAATAAATAATTATGCATTATAATTATTCGATTAGATAAATATCTAAAAATTATTTTTTTAAATCTTGTAAATTTGATAAAGTATATTTTATTATGGATGCACTTGTTGCATTTGAAATGAATTAATCGTCTAATCGAATCAAGCGTAAAAAAATTTAAACAATATGCGGTAAAAATATTAATAAATAAATAAATAATTATGGACAATCATTCGATTAGATAAATAAAAATAAAAATTATAAAAATTATTAATATTCTAAAAATTATTTTTAAAGATCTTGTAAATTTGATAAAATATTCTTTCATAAAAAAAATTTATTAAATACACTTATAATTTATTAAATATTAAAAAATTTATTAAATACACTTATAATTTATCTTATAATCATTTTACGCAATTGACATGATAATAAAAAACATACGAGGATAATAAGAAAAAAAACATTTCTGCGAAATATTTATTGAGAATAATTTTACAATTAATATTCGAGGTAGCGTGTACGGACTATTCCCTATAAATGAACAAATTGAGTAATACATAAGAGTACATTGAGTTAAAAAAAAAAATATCATTGAAATAAAATAACGTTATGATAAGTCTAACCCATGGTAACGTAACTCACTGGAACAAGAAACTTAAAAAAAATGTTTTTTCTTCAAAATTATTTGCAATTAAAAACATATAAATGAAAGCAATGTAATCCCAAAAATGACGCATCATTAAATTCAAAACATATTAAGATGATGCATGCCTGTGGCACGTATTTTAATATTTGTATTTGAAGTTCATTCTTATCAAATAACGCACTTTTACTTGAGCCACGTCGTATACGATATATTCATTGTATAATAAATCTGATTTCTTATTGTGAGTTGCAGGTACTCCCATTCCATAGGGCACTTCAACGCCGTCGTCAAGTTTATGAACATCTTTGGGATCAGGCTCCGTTTGACCACGACCTAAGGTGGAATGTTTACCTTTCGGCAATTTCTCGATGTAATCCGCCTTATATCTCTCGTGCATATTGCCCAGGGCGACCTCGCAGAGCAGCAGCAAACCGGTCGGACTTTGGCTGTGCGTGCAGCAATAATTTGCGGACTTGGATACCATATCGGCGAAGTATATACCTTTACCGAACATGTAACCGGTAACGGGCGCTTCCGGTGGCGCGATACGCAGACCTTGGGACAATATTCCTGCGAAATTCGTAGTCCTGGATCCGTGCCAGAGCAGCTTTCGATTCGGCAGCTTCTTGAAGGGCTTGAACCTCTGTTCCTCCCCTTGTCTCTTAACGACGAATACCTCCTCGATCTCGAGCTTGTATTGCGTGTGAGTAGCTGCGTGGGTGTTTTGGACGTATTTGTCGATCATCTTGAATTCTTCGCTCGACTTATTCAGTATCTCGATGTCCGTCTTGAGCTGCTTGTAATGACTATCGAGCGGATTCTGTTTTCCGTCAGTCGTATCACGCAAAAGATTGTACGCGATCTCCATCTCCAGCAACGCGTCCAGCATGTCGCATTTATTTTTGATCTCCTCCGACGACTCGAGAATTTTCGGCCCGGAAATACCAAAATTGTGAGGGATCAACGTGTAAAATCTATTGGAAGCATCGATGAGTGTGGTATGGTCTATATTACTCTTCTTCAATATCTCCTGTAATTCTGTTAGAACTGCGTAAGCTTTCTCAATCTGCTTCTTTGACAATTTCCCAAGCGGCATCTTATCCATGTCTATCTCAAACTCCAACATAACTTTCTTCATTTCAGCTACATCAAAAATAAGGCGCATGAGATTCTGAATCGGTTCTGCTAAATTACTCTTGATATCCGAATCCAAAGAAGCAATTTCTTCATCTCCATGATCTATGTCGATCGGATACATCAAATTTGGCACCTTAACAAAGTGCTGCCTATTCTTCCACTGATTACCAGTCTTTTCCTCGTACAACGACTCAAACTGCTCTATACATTCTTCCAAGGACAATTCTTCCAATTTGTTACCGCCAATCGTAGTACCAATCCGGCCCCAACTTCTAAACAAATGATACCTTTCGAATTTGTCATGTTTCAAAATTTGCAATTTGTAATAACTATTCTTCTTGGATTGTATATCTGTCAGACCCAATGTCGCAGTGTATTTATTTTTCCCCTTTTGGTAGATATGCGCACAGTTCTCCAAGCCACTGTCGGGATCAACAGCTCCACCGCCTTTTACCTTTACCTTCACCTTGCCAGAACTCGATTTTTCAAATCTACTTTTACTCTTGGAAGCATTAGATTTCGCAATGACGTTAGAAAGTCTAGCATTTATATCCCCACCCCAACTAGAGATGGTTTTCTTCTTTAGAAGCATAATTGGAGCATCTGTGTATTCCTTCGCTTCTTCTATGAAATCTTCCGTTATTACTTGAATATCACATGCTTGAACCTCTTCCATTCTTTTATTCATCTTTTCCAGTTCATTCTGATTCGAAATTACAGCAGCCAAATCTTCATGAATCTTTGTAGTAACAGTACCACCCAACAATAAAATTTCCTTCTTCAATTCTTCCTTATCCTTTTGCGTACGACCCTGTATAACAAACTGCATATTCTTCAAAGGACGTGGTTTTGCTTGTATTTTTGGTCCATCGACTTCTTCCTTAACAGAACTCGATGAGGACGGTGCTGTTATCTTAAACACTCGTTTTCTCACCTTGGACCTGTATGATCTATAAACAGATCAAAAACATTATAAGCCATAATTTTATCACATTTTTCAATATTTTAATGAAAAAAACGAAAAAGATTTACAGTACCGTCTGCTAATAAGAAAAGACTTACTTAATTGGAAATTCTTTCTTCATGTCGCTTGGTATTTCACACTTTTTTCTTTTCGGATCTTGAGTAACATACGTGCATTTAGTCCATTCTGTTACATTACCGGTGCACTTATAACCTATACCAGAGTTATATATAAGTTGTCCCTTGCATTTTGGACAGGGTTCTAGAGCTCCAAAGTACAGTATATCGCATAAAAGACTCAAGATCTAGAAATAAAATTTGATTGATAAAACAAATATCGATATAACAATAAATAAACACATCGTGCAATATATAATTCAAATTTGCCAAATATTTCTTGAGTAATACAATGATGAAATATATATCACAAGTATTTACATTTGAGATGCCTGTAGGAATCTCCTGATGATTTTTTTCCAACAATCCAACCAATTTATTTTTTCCAAGAGGTGTTATTTTATCTTTTATAGTGTACAGTTCTACATTTTGCTTTTTCATCAACTCTGCGTCCTCTGCATCTTCCGGTTCTTCCTTAATCTTTTTAGGAGGTGGTGGCATCTCACCTTGAGTCATTTTTGGCAGCGCAGCCTTAAGACTGTTCCTATCTTCTTTCGAAAGCTCTTTGACACCTGGAAGTTCATCTCCACTCCCATAATATCCCAAATCTGCTCTTAGTTTCGCAAAACACTCCACATGATGCCATCTATCTAAACCACCAAACCTCCTAGCCTCGGCGGTCTCGTAATCCTTCTTTGATATTCTTGTTTCACCCTTTATTATCTTCTCATCGCATCCTTTACAGGTAGATTTATTAGACTTGGCATATTCTACTCGGAAATCACCAGCAGATCCACTAGCACCGCCACCTTTTGTTCTTTTTCTGCCTTTTCCAGACACCGGAGGTGCATTAACAAATTCTTCTACATAAAAAAAGTACAGTAGACCAGTAAGATGACAAAGTGAACTATAAAATTATAGATTTTGCCTCAAATATAAAATATACCAACCAATTTTTTTCTGAATTTCTTCCTGATCTTCAAGACGAATTTCATCAAAGCAAGCTATATCGGCAGTAGACTTTGGTCTTTGTTTTTCAAAGAAGCATTCGAAATGATACCACCTAGGTATCGTTCCATCATGGACAGGGCTCTAAAAATATAGACAATATTTCTACGGTAATATATTGGATTTACTTTCTTAAACAAAATATATATTTGAGAGAAACTTATCCATATTGCATTCATTTTATAGAATTGCTGAAAACCAACTTGAAGCAACAAAGGACTGGAATATTAATTGCACATTGTTGTAAAGAAAGGGAAATAATTTCTACGGTAATATATTGGATTTACTTTCTTAAACAAAATATATATTTGAGAGAAACGTATCCATATTGTATTCATTTTATAGAATTGCTGAAAACCAACTTGAAGCAACAAAGGACTGGAATATTAATTGCACATTGTTGTAAAGAAAGGGAAATAATTTCTACGGTAATATATTGGATTTACTTTCTTAAACAAAATATATATTTGAGAGAAACGTATCCATATTGTATTCATTTTATAGAATTGCTGAAAACCAACTTGAAGCAACAAAGGACTGGAATATTAATTGCACATTGTTGTAAAGAAAGGGAAATAATTTCTACGGTAATATATTGGATTTACTTTCTTAAACAAAATATATATTTGAGAGAAACGTATCCATATTGTATTCATTTTATAGAATTGCTGAAAACCAACTTGAAGCAACAAAGGACTGGAATATTAATTGCACATTGTTGTAAAGAAAGGGAAATAATTTCTACGGTAATATATTGGATTTACTTTCTTAAACGAAATATATATTTGAGAGAAACTTATCCATATTGCATTCATTTTATAGAATTGCTGAAAACCAACTTGAAGCAACAAAGGACTGGAATATTAATTGCACATTGTTGTAAAGAAAGGGAAATAATTTTATCATCTGTAAAAGTGACATCCTGCAAAACCAAGCAAACGGAAGCAGAATAATATAACATTATCGCTGCTAAGTGTTATATCACGCGACAATGTTATTATTAAATGACATCATTGGGCACGTTATCGTCATCAAGATCAGGGGCCTAACAGTGGACGATTCAAATCTACAGGCATATCGTGTCTTGCAAGTGTCATCGTTCAATAATATTAGCAAGGACATGAAAATTCTAGCGAGACGAAGCACCAGGTCCTCTTGTCCGCCCACTTCTCGATACCTGAACAATAGCGGCGATTCTCAAGCTCTGTTTGCTGATGGGCTGCTTGCACTGTTGACACTTGGAGCGGTCGCTTTTCGCGTACTCCGCCCGATACGGCAGGTCGTCGCTCATTTTCGCGGATCCTCCGTCTCGAAATTGCGATTTGCAAAAGGAATAATACGCAGTGTCCTGGAACCGGTCGATCGTCGTAGGTAGACTTCGCGCAGTAACCGGCTTTTGGCGGTCGGTGATCGTACAGTGGCGCCAAAATAGTACAAGCGGAGAGAAGACTGAGAGATGTCGTGGCCAGGGATCACCTGAAAGCGATACTCCCTCTATGAACATCGAAAACGGACATGAACTACAAAGCCAATGTCCACGAATGTTTCTCAGAGGGTAACATATATGTCTCTCTGATAATATAAATAATATAAATAAAAATATAAATAAAAATGTCAAAGTGCAATTTGATATATTTTTTATATAAAAGGATTTTTATAAAATTTACAATTTTTATTGTCAAATAGCTTCCAACAGCTTTTATATCTTGCTAAGAGGGGGAAGCTGCAAAGCCTCTTTAGCTCAGTGGTAGAGCACTGGTCTCGTAAACCAGGGGTCGTGAGATCAAACCTCACAGGAGGCAGTTAGAGAAATTTTTGCGTATTTTTTTTGTATAATTTTTTGTATAAACGAGTATATTATTTTTATACATTTCCTAAATTTTTTTTTGATAATTGAAGATATTAATAATGTCATATTAATAATAAATATTTATTTTATATAATAATATTTATATAATATTTTATATAATAATATTTATTTAAATATTATTTATCATTAATACATATACTAAATATATATATTATATATTTGATACATACGTGTTATATATATATATATATATATATATATATATATATATATATAATATTAATGATAAATACGATTTCTCTTTAATATTTTTAATTACATAATTTAATGACATACTTTAATTTCACATTTACATATATTATATATTTGACAGACACGTGTATATTTGAAACGATCTTTGACGCGTTTATTTTGCGCATTTTATTTCGACTGTTTAAAAATGAATCATTATTTTTAATTTTTTCACACTCTTAAATCTATTGAATTTATAGACGTAAAAAAAGATTAATAATTAATGAAGTTTTAATGCAAAACTTGAGTACGATTCGGGAATAAAAATAAAAGAGTTTGCATTTCTTAAGAAAACCTCGATCTATTTGGAATAAATTAAAGGATTATATTTTTTACATTTTAATATACATTTTATATTTCTTTTAAAATAAAAATCTCCGATTGCTTAATGGACCCCCCCTCGGGCTCTTTAGGATTAGAAGCAGCTTCCAAAATATCTGGCTCGCGAACGACCGAGGCGATAAATTGTCGCACAGACTCCGGAATGGAAAAGTTCGTATCCTGAATCGGGATCAATCGAGTTGGCGCCGGACATGTTTCGCACGAAATGCAATCTCCAGGGATTTTCCTCAAGGCCTAGCGACGTTCGACGAAGATAAAGCACCGGAAGGGACGATAAAATAGCTATCGCTCGCGTGCCAGCGGAAACTGCGCTCCCGCCCTCGGCTACAAAAACTACAGCCCCGAATAAAAGGATGAGTCTTAGCTCTCATTTATGTACTCGCCGCGCTTAATGGTGTATAAACTCGATTTTCTCCTCCGTGGGGGTTTTTTCCAGTCTTCGCGATCGCTTTTAGAAAATTACAAAGGTATCTTCGCACGTCATCTGGCCGGCTTGTGTTGAACGGATCCCACACCCACGTCGAGATGAAGTGTCCTTCGGTGATCCTGCTGCTGTTCACTTTTTTCGGCCAGTGCATCGTTTGCTCTTGGCAGGTGCAGAGTAAGCAGAAATAATAGAAATAACGAATTTGACGCGTAAAAAAAATCAGGTCAAACGGAGTAAAATAACTCGCAATAATAAAGCAACGTGCAGTGAGTGCAACATGTCATGTGCGACGTTCTTTCAACGAGATAGAATCCCAATGAAATTAACAATAGTGCCGTTCTATAATTGCTTACCGAACAAATAAATATGAAAAAAGATTGATTAATTTTAAATTAATTAAAAATATCGTTTAGCCGCGAACTTGATTATCGTAATCGCGGGCTCTATCGTATTTAAATTCGCGGTACGAGAGAGATGAGGGGAATAATTAATTTAAAAGCACAGGAGTGTGTTAGATAATGGATGTATGATCGATAAACAATTATACTGACTGTACTAATTACGCTAATTTAATGTTTAATTGTAATATTATTACATAATTACTCTATACACTTTTGGAGCTTATATAATCGAGACAGAGAGAGAAAGAGAGATAGAGAGATCAACAGTTATTATCCCAGGATAATATTGTTATAGATCTAAGCACTTTTATCTTACTTCGTTTGACGTGATTTTACGCAGATGTTGTTAGTCATCTTTTTTTTATTATTTATTACTTATTTATTATTTTATAATTTCTAATTTATTATTTATTTATTATTTTACAATTTATTATTTATTTTTTATTTGTATTATTTATTTTTATATGATCCAGGTAAAAATAAATCCCCATCAATCACAACAATTCACACACTCCATCAAATGAATCAAAGAATACTCGCAGAACTCAATAAAAGATTAATCTCCTCAGTTCGATGTCCTATGATGCGACTGAATAATGGCAAGATTCGTGTTCGGGCTCGAGGTCGAATTGTAAGATTCAACTGCCTCGACGGATTCACTCTCGTTGGCAACAAGTATTCTACGTGCATTCGCGGTCAATGGGACACACCTACTCCCGTGTGTGTGAGTAAGTAAAGTCATGTCATGCATGTGTGCGTGCGAAATAGACGAAGTTCCTCCTCCAGATGTCAACGCGATGTCTGCCAAATTTTTCCTCACCCTTATTCACGATTCATATTTCAAAATATATAATTAATTAAAAATATTTAATACATATGTTATTCGATAAACAATTATTGATGTACTATACATTTATTTTTTTAATAATTGATTCACAGAAATCTCAATTATTGCGACTTAATAAAGAAAATATATGAGAATAATAATTCATTTATTATTCAATAATATTGTTATGACTAGCCTTTTACTTATCTTGACGGTCGATATTGGATGTTCTTTCGACTGGTTCAATTGATAATCTGAATTTATTGACGATCAATAAATTTTATTTATTATAATTTTTAATTGTTTTCTCTGGAATTATGCTTTTTTATACGATGTTTGCATGAATCTGCACAATAAATAAATTATAGACATTAATAAGTGAATATTTGGGGCAATAATTATTTTGTTGGCGCAGAAGGAGTATGTGATGCTGCTTAAATAATTTTTGCTACCGAGGACTTTAATTGGCATGATTGTTTACAATTTATATATAATAGATACTTTATAATAGATAATTTATATATAATAATTAATTCATTTTTAATTATTTATTTTTAATGCTTTTTCTTCCCTTTTGTCTTTCTTTCTTTTTTCTTTCGGTCAATTTGATTTAAGTCTCGATCGTTTTTATTTCCATTCAATTTTTTTATTCAATTTTTTATTCAATAATAATTTATTTTTAATGCTTTTTCTTCCCTTTTGTCTTTCTTCCATTTTTCTTTCGGTCAATTTGATTTAAGACTCGATCCTTTTTATTTCTATTCAATTTTTTTATTCAATTTTTTATTCAATAATAATTTATTTTTAATGCTTTTTCTTCCCTTTTGTCTTTCTTCCTTTTTTCTTTCGGTCAATTTGATTTAAGACTCGATCGTTTTTATTTCTATTCAATTTTTTAATTCAATTTTCTATTCAATTATTCAATTTGTTTTTATTGCAATTTAATAGCGTATGTCATTTGCAAGTAATATGTTAGCGTTAATGCATCTTGATGTTTCATTCAAGACGCGAAAGCACTCGCTCCCACGAAATGCGATTTCGAGAGTACGGATCTCTGCTGGTGGGAGCAGGACCCGCAGCACGATTTCGACTGGAAGCGCCATAATTTCGAGACACCGAGTTTGCACATCGGTACCGGTCCTACGCACGACCATACTCTGGGAGCCGGAAATGACGGTACGTATCTTCGTATCCTCGACTTTTTTCGCTGAAGCATTAGATTAAAAAAAAAATCATCGTCCTTCGAACACACGCTCGTTTATGCTCGCGATGATTTCAGGCCATTATCTTTATATCGAGGCATCCGGTCGATTGGTGAACGATACGGCAAGAATTATATCCCCTCTGTACAATTCATCATTGACTGAATCGGGCTGTTTCTCGTTCTGGTAAATATAAATAATGTAACGGAAAATAAAAAATATCGCTCTCTCCAATTTTCGCGTCAAGCTTTTCACTATTTTATTTTGTTATTTTTTTAAATAAATCAAATCTTTTCAAGCTGAATTTTATGAATTAAATAATAAATAAATAAATTTATGAATGGAATAAAACAAAAAAATTATACATCAATACATCGTAAAATATTCAATGTTTAATTTATATCATAAATGAATAGCCAACATTATATATTATTATAAAGTTTTCATTTTTTCTTGCAGTATTTTATTAAGGATTTTTTTCATACATGTTTGGGTTGACAGGTATCACATGTATGGTGCCACAATCGGATCACTGAACATTTATTTCAAGCAAGAGGATTCTGCGTCGCGATTGATGTTTACCAAAAGCGGAAATCAAGGGAATCAGTGGTTCCATGGTATCTTTGACTTGCCGAAAACTAATATCAGCTTCCAGGTACGCGTCATCGATCGCATCTTTTTCATCAAATTCGACTTTTAATCGGGATATTTTTCTTTATATAATAATATTGGATTGCTATATTAAAATACAAAAAGTTAGATGTAAAACATGAGAAAGTAAGAGCTTACATAACATTTTTTTTTTACATTTTCATTGCTGTTTACAGCTTGTTATAGAAGGAGTGAGAGGTAGCAGTTACGTGAGCGATATCGCGATAGACGATATTGCGATTTTACAGGGGGACGAGTGCATCGTTAAGAATGAATCTACCAGCGTAACTGTAGGCGATGACGGTAAGTTTATTTTTTAAATGGATTCTTAAATCAACAACAGGAAGCATCGGCGTAGCTTGTGGTAAGATAATAATAAGCCAAGTCAGTAAGACTTATTTGAGGACAGGAAATTCCTTTTTAAAATGTTAGAAGAGAGAGTACTCTGTAAATTAAATTTCCAGAATCCTAGTCAAAATATGCGAAACATATATTTATTTATAAAGATTTTAAATTATACTTATAATATATATTTAATATATATTTAATATATATTTAATATAATTAATATTAATATAATTTTATAATTAATATAATATTAATATAATTTATAATTAATATAATTTAATTTATAATATAATTTATAATATAATTTTAATATAATTAATATTTTAAATATAATTAATATCTTTAATATAATTAATATCTTTTTAAAATATATTAATATAATTTTATATAATTTTTAATAAAATTAATATCCTTTCAAAATATATTGAATATATTTGTACTTGAAAATAATATTATAATAATATTATAAATAATATTATAATAATATTATAATAATATTAAACTTATATAATATAATCTCTTATAAAGATCCGTGTCTGTTTTAGATCAAGTCGAAATAGTCAACGCGCAACAAACCTGCCGGGACAGATGCGTTTTTTCGTCGACAATCTCGACGACGACCCTTTCCTCCGACGCATTATCTCATGGTTCATTTGGACCAGAAAGCTGCCTCTGTACGATTGATTGTGCGGAACGCTCTATATGTTGCCCGGATTACGCTGAATACTGCATACTAGGTAATTAACGTGCAGCTTAATAAGACCTGTTGATCTCTGACGTGAGTTGCTCGGCGTAATTGAAAATTATGATAGTACCAATTTATTACATCTCGTTTAATTTTAAAGGAGGTTCCCTTAAAAATAAAATTCTCGATCGCAATTGCAGGGTACAGCACCGCTGTGACAGTGGCCGACGAGGTCACGAGATCATCGGATAATCGAACCACCGCGATTTCACCGGTGAAGAATTCCACTCTGACAGGATTTCCTATAAATCCGAAAGACGACATCGACCCGGGTATATTTAACTCGTCGACGACGTCGTCGACTACGCAAAGACCCATCGTGACCACGAAGACAACGGTCAAGGCTCAAACCAAGAGCCCGTCACGGACAACTACATCTGCCAAGTCAACGCGACAGGCAGAGACAAAGGAGACGCCTTTCGAACCCAAGACAACTGTCGCAACAAAATACATAGAACCTCAGGATCGATCTGGTAACGTCTTTCTATTGTACACATAAAGTGATAGAGATTCTCTCTGGTGTGAAATTAAATCGTGCAACAAGACGTTCCGGTTTCAATTTAGTTGTTCTTAAAAGAGGGTTTAAGGATGTTTTGTTTTACGTATTTTCCAAATATTGAGAATTTAATGAAAATTGTACAGAATGTCCTTACATGTGTTTAGAATCTTCAGTACAATTTTTAAATCGATTCACTAAAGCGTTCACAAGTATAAGGATTTTAATTTGCACCGAATTAACATGTGTTCTTATGGGAAACGTAGCATTAAGAATGATGCGGATCAGTGAGCTAAAAACTTTGAGTTTAATTTTAACTACGATTTGTTGGATTTTTTGTTTAAATAATTTCTCTGTTAATTTTAATATTTAAATAGGCTTCTTAAAATGACTGAAAATTTTCGAGCTTTTGATTGAAATATAAATAATATTTTTAAAATTCTGTATCTTTTTAAAATTCTAAAAATTTTAATTAGCAAGATACTTAAGGATGTTTTGTACCTATTTTCAAGATATTGAGAATTTAATGAAAATTGTACAGAATGTCCTTATATATGTTTAGAATCTTTAGTACAATTTTTAAATCGATTCACTAAAACGTTCACAAGGTATAAGGATTTTAATTTGCACCGAATTAACATGTGTTCTAATGGGAAACGTAGCATTAAGAATGACACGGATCAGTGAGCTAAAAACTTTGAGTTTAATTTTAACTACGATTTGTTGGATTTTTTGTTTAAATAATTTCTCTGTTAATTTTAATATTTAAATAGGCTTCTTAAAATGACTGAAAATTTTCGAGCTTTTGATTGAAATATAAATAATATTTTTAAAATTCTGTATCTTTTTAAAATTCTAAAAATTTTAATTAGCAAGATACTTAAGGATGTTTTGTACCTATTTTCAAGATATTGAGAATTTAATGAAAATTGTACAGAATGTCCTTATATATGTTTAGAATCTTTAGTACAATTTTTAAATCGATTCACTAAAACGTTCACAAGTTACAAGGATTTTCATTTGCATCGAATTAACATGTGTTCTTATGGGAAACGTATAACCACATCGATTCAAATGACAAAAACACATGGAAATAATATTCAGAATTTGTTTAAAATTTGCATAGTTTAGATACAGAGGAAATATTTAGTCGAATAATATTATACAAATACTAACTAGTTAAAAAGATATTAAATATAATTTAATGAAGTTAGCCATGTATCTGTCACAAGGCGAAATTCTCTGCCAAAAATTAATAATTTCGATTAACAAAATTCGGAATATTTCAGTAAAAACGCAATAAATATTAAAAAATACATCTCTGCACTGTAGCTAAGATCAAATTATAATATTCCACACAATTTCTCATAATCAAAATACACCAAAAATATTCGTCAATATTGATTTTCAGCTACTTTTTGCTGTGATTGTACATACAAAACATCCTTAAATAATCGCATTTAAAGTTCAATTTTTCTTCTCTCGAGAAAAATTTATATATAATATTATTAGATCTCGATAACTCTTTATTATATTCAAGGAAATATTTAAAAAAAATATATAAAATTTATGACACAAATGGTGCACATTAAATTTCGGAAATTAATAATTTTGAAAAAATCTTTCCAATTATTAAATGTGCAAATTTAAATCTGATAAAATGGATAAAAAGACATTATTGACGAGGATAAAATATTCGCAGACCTGCATGAAGAGCAAAATCCGGAGAGGAAGAAACGCGGAGGCATCGAGATCTCGGAGACTGTCATCGCGATCGGCGCGACTTTGACCGTCCTTTCCGTGGCCCTCGTCATCACGATCATGGTTATTAGGAGGAGAAAAACTTACAAGAGAGGAACGAGCAGCTCGGCGCTCTCGGAGGACAGCGACGTTCGTTTTTTAACGTCGGACGAAATCCTCGATTTCAATCTAGCCCGACCTACCGATAACGACGAAATGTAGCACCACATTATCGAAATTCCTTCTTTAAACGGTCTGGAATTAAAATTAAATTGATTCTCGGGTTAAGTAATTAATCGATGAACGAGGAGAATTTTGTGGATAGAAAATTATTAAAGTAACCTGCACCTTCATTGATCTAATTCTTATTATTATTCGGATAAATTTTGAGGAAACAAAAGTTATGATAAAATCTTCTGTATTAATATGAAATATTATTGTTAATACATCGTTGAAGAAGATCCTCCGGAAATCCACAATACAATATTGACATTTACAATTTTAGTATTAAATATATTAAATATATTAAATATATTAATTTTAAATATATAAAAAATAGAATTAATGTACTTATAACTATCTTTTAATATAAAGAAATCGATATTCGATATTAATAAATTATTTGACAGTATTCTGCTTGGCATGAGAGAGACATCTCACTTTAATTTAATTCTATTTTGATTCTATTTTGTCAATATTAATTAAAAATTAAGCTTTAAATAAAAATATCGTCTCATTATTTATATAAATGTTGTTCCTAATTCAATCTTTAATTTTCTACTGTAGAATGCTTCTAAAAATATTAATCTTCATGTTGCAAGCGTACGCATAATTTACGGGAGACACTCAATTTTTTGATGACGAAAGTAGCACGCGGAAGATTAAGTGACATTGCGCAACGTTACTATTTGGAAGATCAACACGTATCTGGGATTGTCCGGTGTATCGATTGATTTCACTCTGGAAATACGCGTCATTGCTGAAATATGTATGCCGAGGCACGTAGTTTCGATAGTTCGTTGAGACAAGCGGTTGCTCGAGCAGGTGAGGTCTAGACGCTTAGATAAGTATTACGTATTTTACAAGGACCGAAATGTAAATAAGTGACATACACTTGTACATAGACATATATATACATATACTGGGACTTTACTTTACAAATCCTCTCTAAAGAAGTTCTCCTCATTAAACATATTCCTCATAAAAGGTCTCGCTAATATCGATCTAATGAAATATTCATGAGGACACTTTGTAGTCGCGGCATGCGGCATTTTTGTGGCGAACCTTACAAGTTTGCGGATGTCGTGAAACGCCACTTTCCTCTCTGGAGAGAGTACCGAGGAAGGAATACAAAGCCGAAGTGTATATCGAATTTAGTACGTGCGTGGCCGATTTACTGCACGTTTCGGCGGCGTTTCACTGATGTATTATACATTGTGTATGCACGCGCGTTTATGTGTATGTGTGCATCTGTTTTGTGTGATTCGGAAAATATGATTTATATCCTACGGAATGGCTTATATACTAAATGAAAAGTTATTTAAATATCAGATATAGATGTCGTGTCTCTATCTTAAAGTATCTTTTCTTATGAAATATTTGATGTTTATCAAATATTTTTTTCTATTATATTTAATCCCGAAAATTATTGGATATTTCGATTTTTTTAGAGATAAATGAAAATCATATCAATCAAAAGAATTTCATATCCATCAACACACGTTATCAGAAAATATTTTCTAGCTCTTGTATATCTTTCTCATAATTTTTAATCAATATCTGATTTCAAGTATCTTCAAGATTCAAATTAATACCCGATAATTCTTGGCATCTAGAGTTTTATTTAAATTTCTTCAAGTACAATCCGCTTATGAAATATTTTTCTTACCGATATATTTTATTAGTAATGATAATTGCTTATTTTTTCTATTATATTTAATCCCGAAAATTATTGGATATTTCGATTTTTTTAGAGATAAATGAAAATCAAATTAATCAAAAGAATTTTATATCCACCAACACACGTTATCAGAAAATATTTTCTAGCTCTTGTATATCTTTCTCATAATTTTTAATCAATATCTGATTTCAAATATCTTCAAGATTCAAATTAATACCTGATTTTAAATATCTCGGCATCTAGAGTTTTATTTAGATTTCTTCAAGTACAGTCCGCTTATAAAATATTTTTCTTATCAATATATTAGTAATGATAATTCTTATTTTTTCTATTATATTTAATTCCGAAAATTATTATTCGATTTTTTTTAGAGACAAATGAAAATCAAATTAATCAAAAGAATTTCATATCCACCAACACACGTTATTAGAAAATATTTTCTAACTCTTGTATATCTTTTTCATAGTTTTTAATCAATATCTGATTTCAAGTATCTTCAAGATTCAAATTAATACCCGATAATTCTTGGCATCTAGAGTTTTATTTAAATTTCTTCAAGTACAGTCCGCTTATGAAATATTTTTCTTACCGATATATTTTATTAGTAATGATAATTGCTTATTTTTTCTATTATATTTAATCCCGAAAATTATTGGACATTTCGATTTTTTTTAGAGATAAATGAAAATCATATTAATTTAAAAAATTTCATATCCACCAACACACGTTATTAGAAAATATTTTCTAGTTCTTGCATATTTTTTTCATCGTTTTTAATCAATATCTGATTATGTGTCTCGGTTCTTTAAAATCTTATTAAAAATTCTTTAGGTAAAATCCATTTATAAAACGTTTTTTATTCATGTATTTTAAAGTTTAGATAAAAGTTGCTTATTTTTTTATTTGATTAAAAATTTCATTAAATATTGTTTCAATATTTTTTTTTTTAAATTAAAATTAAATTGAATAAAAAAATTGTATATCCTCCCACACATTATCAAAAAATATTTTCTAGCTTTTGCAATTAATCTCATTCTCATATCGCATTAAACAAGAAGACTATATGTGACCTACTGACGCAAACAAAATTACATCTGTAGTAAACAACACATTTGTCTCGACGAAACGCAATTTAAAAGATGATAAAAGGGTTGAACTTCGTCGCGACAAGCTGTCTATCCTCGGAAGCGTCCCTTATTAAGAGCTCCGGCCGAACTTCCATTTCCACATGTTAATCTCCTCGCACAAATGGCCTGTCAATTCCCAGAGAAAGAAAGAGACTCGTACTTGCGAGACGTACGTGAAAGAACGTCTTTCATGGCAAATCGCGGAGTCGCCCTTGTATAAGGCGTCGAAAATATATTGGAAATACGTCGGCGACCTTCGTGTTCCCCGGTGAAATTTCGTGTCCGCTTCACGTTTGCTTGCGAAAGCTCCCACGCCAGACACTTTCTACATCGATTACCGAATTGTCATCGCGTGTCGTCGTCCGGTCTATTCAGGCTCAGAAAATTCCGGCAAAAAAACTCTTCTTCCAAATTTAGAGTTTGTTTTCTTTTTTAGTGAATAAAAAATTCTAATTATACTTCTTTTTTCTCAATTAAATTCATTCGAGTTTTAAGTTACTGCCCGGCTATATCAGTGTTTTAATTTTTTTTTTTAGAAATTGCAGAGCATAAATTTTTCCATAAATATTTCCATAAAAATATTAATAAAAATTTTATTTCGCGCAATAATAAAATGTTTATTAGTATTTTTAATTAAAATTTTTTATTACAAAAATTTAATATAATTAATAAACTTTTTATTTCCTTCATTTTTAGTTTAATAATTTTTATTCCACAAGGTTGATATACAGGCTGTCCCATTTTAATCGATGACCCCGAATAACTTTTTTAATTTTGATTAGTAGGAAAAAATGTTTCAGACAAAAGTTGTATGGCTTGAAGGGGGACATAAGATGGTGTCTTTAGTTTGATATTGAAGAGCCTATTTTTTATTAAATATTCTGGTAGCTCACGTCGAGAACTTTCCAAAACACTATAATTAAGTTAGTTTTCATTAAGTACTTTCCGAATTATGAGGCTTGAAATCATTTTTTAATTTTACATAAACCGTAAAATATCTTGTAAAATATTCATTTTTCGATTATCCTATCTTAATACTTTTATGTACAAAATAATGAGAGGAATCAATTGGTAAAGGAAAAACACAGTTGTTTTTAAGAAAAAATATGGAATTGTTAATTGCAAATTACATATTTTTTCTTAAAAATAATTATGTGTTTTCTTTACAGCAACTGATTCCTCTCATTATTTTGTACATAAAAGTATTAAGGTAGGATAATCGAAAAATGAATATTTTACTAGATATTTTACGGTTTATGTAAAATTAAGAAATGATTTCAAGCCTCATAACTCGAAAAGTACTCAATGAAGAAATACTTTATTATAGTGTTTTGAAAAGCTCTCGAGATAAGCTACAAGAATAAGTAATAAAAAATAGGGGTTTCATTAAAAAATTGAAGGTGGCCTTCATGTGACAACTTTTCAAGATAAAACCAATGATACCATCTTATGTCTCCCTTCAAGCCATACAACTTTTGTCTGAAACATATTTTCCTACAATCAAAATTAAAAAAATTATTCGGAGGTCATCGATTAAAATGGGACACCCTGTATATTTTCATGGAATTTTTATGGAGTATGCTATTCGATGATTTTCCGGAGATCCGGCGAGGCCAGAAATGGACAGGGTGATCTGGATGCGGCGCGATCGCTCGTGCATTGTTAGATAATAATCGCGATGATGCGTGAGCGGATCGACAGGGTGTCCCATTGCCATTCGCTCGGCGTCGATCGCGTTTCGCGTGCGTGTCACGGGTGATTACGCGTACAATGTCTGATCGCGCACGTAATGAGCTCGCGGCGCGATTGCGTGCGGCCGAAGCACGTGTATGAAGTCTCTGACAGGCGGGTCACGTGGCGCGCGCACAACAACACCAGACGAAGGAAGAATGAAGAATTCCCGGGTTGCGCAGTCTCTCGCTTTCTCCCGCTTTTATCCCTCGATCCTCTCGGTCTTCCCTCCGCTCTTTGGCTCGCTCCACTTGTTGCGAGCGACAATGGCGACGATGCATTATCCGTCTCTGTCACGTCCCCGGGGTTGATAAATCGAAGCGACGTCCGCGTCATGTTCCTATTACCTCGCTTTCTTTCGCTTTCCTGTACATCCTCTGATAAAAGATCCTGTCTATTTAAGTCTCATCTAGGGACAACGATTGCCAAATAATGGATTACCCTTCCATCGTGTTCCCTCGACCCTTCTCGATTCAAGGAACTTCTGAAAAATAGTCAGATGGTTATCCGCCGTGAAGTGATTTTTGCTGATGGCTTTTAGAAGGTGACAGAAGCATTTGGCCGTATTATGAAAGACTAGATGATCTTTAATAAGATGTTAAGATTATAATATCTTGTCAGATTATTGTTCTCTTTTTTTTTTTTTTTTTTTTTTTTTTTTTTTTTTTTTTTTTTTTTCAAGACAAAAGACAAATTTTAATTATTACAAAACAATACCAAGACTAAGACTGTCAAGATTATTAGTCTTGTCAAGATTATTGGTTCTCAAAAAAACTAAAATATTTATATATGTAAATGAAAAAAAAATCACTATATACGAATTTAAAAAAATGTTATTCAATAAAAACGTTTATATTGATAAATTTAAAAACATTTAATATTAATACGATATAACATTTTTATAAATTAGAAATCAAACTCGCAAATTTTAGACATTAAAGAGCATTTCACCCAGGAATTGATGCACATTAGTGCTTTTAAAGATTTACTTTGTAATCTGGTTCTATTTTTTGACATAGTCAGAGTTCCTATTGAGAAAAGTCTTCACATTATATTACAAAAATTATGTTAAATGTTATTTAAATAATTTTTTAATATTAGATAAAAAATTGTTAATAAAATCGAGACAAGACAATACAAGACGAGATTTTTGCTACCAATATTCACTCAAGACCAAGACAAGATTTAAATTTTTGAAAATTTTCAATACAATATTTTTACGAATATTGTCTTGTCTTGTGTCTTGTGCAACCTTAATAAGACCATTTTTTTCAAAATCAATTAGTATAAACTTATTTCTTCTCACCTAAAAAAATCGTTTGACAGATCCGGGGGGTTCCCATGGAGTTTCGTGTCTCGAAGACTGTTCAAGATTGAACTGTAGTTTTTGGTGGAGAGCCTGCTCTCCTATCATGATGCATGCAACGATGCGTTTTCCGGGTGTCACAATAGATTTAATCGTCTTCAACCCGACATTATTAAGCCGTACAGTGTCATAGTAGAGGGGAGAAAGGGGAAAGAGAGGACCGACTCCGGAATTGCGTTGGTACCAACCGCAAATAGCGGCGCGGTAGGCAAGTCGGTATAAAATCGAACGATCCCTCGATCAAAAGTCACAGTACTCGGGCCTCCTCGCGGTGTATCATCACTGTAATCGCTACCGTGCATTACCGCATTGAGAGGCAAGGTAAGTGCCGGGAACCGGTTTCTCTCGTCTTTGAACGGCCCAGGGAAAGTCAATTTTTTAATCCGCTCTTTCCTTATTAATCGCGATTCCGGTAACGCGTTTGTGTGCAAAAGATACGTGTGAATTTGTAATCATTTAATAACGTTAACTCTAAATTAATTAAATTAATTTTAAATTAATTAAATTATTTTTAAATTAATTAAATTGAATTAATTTAATTTAAAATAAATTAGTTTCAATTTTGTCACGTCTCTTGGACTTTTGCGTTATCACTTATAATGCTGTTCGGTGAATAAACAAACTTTGTATCCTGTTGCGAATTTATTTTGAAGTGAATTAAATTTTAATGCAAATTATACAGTTATTTTTTTATGATGACAGATGCATTGCACTATTGCCACCATCGTCGTCGCTGTCGGCTGTTTTCTCGTATTGAGAGCAGCGGCGCAAGAGGCTGTTCAACAGAATCAACAATCGCTGGACCTCCAAAGTGTCGCTATCGAAAATCAGGTCGATGATGGCACGATACATCCCAGGGAGAAGAGAACTCTGTTTTTGAAAAAGAAACTGCTCGGTGCTGGCCTCGTTGGTTTCGGTCTTGGGGTTGCGAAAGGGTAATATCTTTTCTTGAATCATTATCTGTGTATTTTTTTTTGTTCATTTTTATCAATAATATTTTTATATTATATTATAGGTTAATTATAATTAATAGAGATTGCAATTAGCAGAGAGTAACGTGACAAGTAATATAGAGTGTGTTAATATAAATATAGAATTATATATAATAATATAAAGTTAATATAAATATCCCAGACGTGTGAAAAAAATAATCTCATCATTTTTTTGAATATTAAAATTTGTATCTTCTTGTATAATACATATTTATATATTATATAAAATATTTTAATTATTTTAATTATTTTCAAAATTATTTTAATGATTTTTGCAATTATTTTAATTAATTTTGTAATCGTTAAAAATAAAATTCAATGCTAAATACATTTTATACCAATATTCCTACAATTGGATGAATATTTTTTAATTTACTTTTTTTATTTCACTTTTAGTTATAAAGCCGGTTACTTCAGCGCACCGGAAGTTCATCATGTTTACGTTTCGCCTCCAGTGAAATACGTGGAATATGTCGAAAAACCCGTTTACATCGAGAAAATCGTTCCCAAACCTATATACAAACCACATATCGAATATGATGGACCAGTTTGGTCGCAACCAGACACTTCCTACGGGTAAGGAAAACCAATTGCTCCGCTTTTTTCATATTTTTTAACGATTAATACGATCGAGAAATACTAAAATCGTCTCTGTTATATTTTATTTTATTGAACATGAAGCTCGTTTTATGATGCAAACGATAATTTGATTTCGAAAGAGTTGCAATATGAGATGTCTAGAATAATCCAGCTCTTTTTATTTAAATGCGAACAATACAAGTTTGATTGCCCTAGCAAGAAATTATTTTTTATATCTGTCGCACAATTGTTTTAATTTTTCTTTGCAGTGGCTGGTAAATCCCGGAGTACACTCGATCGATTTGATCTCCTTGTTTTACCTCGAGGAACAGCCAAAAATGTGCGTGCATCGTGTTGAATCTCAGTCCGGTAGTTAAGTATAAGCGTGACGTTATTTAGCGATAATAATCAAAAGAAAGAATTATTTTTGTTACCAATGTTATAAACTAATAAATCATGGTTTGTAAATATTCAGGAGCGTATTAATCATTTATTCAAAATTTATTTACGCACATTTCCTATTTATTAAAAAAATGTGCGAAGAAAGAAAATTAATATTTTTAATCCAGAATATTTCATAAAACTTTGACATAAAAATTTCACTTTTGGTAACTTTTTTCATGGAATAATTTTAATTAATAATTAAATTTACGTAATTATTTCACGATAATAATTTGTAATCAATAATATAATATTATTCAATTATAAAAATTATTGTTGCGAAATAATAATTTATTTAAATAACGTTTAATTAATATTGTCCATGTTGATTATATCGTTAATTAATTTTTATTTTACGTTCTCCATTCTGTGAGAATTCTGCTATGGATTTTCTATTGACCTTTATAAATTGCTATTGGAAAACTCCAATCGTTTCGGAGTAATAAAATTGCTGAGAAGGCTTGCGCAAAAAAAAAAACTAGACTTTCACTGAACAATCGTATGGCCGTATGATTATCTTTATTGCCGAAGATGTTACCGAGTAACATTGAAATTTTAATAACGAGTATATAATCGCACGATGCGTCTGAAATATACAAATATCCAACCCTCGCCATCAATTTCGCTAAATGCTATGCGTGTATTATCCACTTGCGATAACATCTTTTTTAACATGTAACACATTCATACGTACAATTAAGTTCTCTTCTATTCACAGTCAGATATAGATGTAGAAACAATAACCAGTAGCGTCGCGAATATTTTAATTAAATTCAATATTTTATTCAAATATTTTAAGTAAATGTTATTCGACAGAGGAACGTGACACTTGATTTTTTTTCAACCTGTCTATTGTGAGACATGTGAAAACATACTGCTTGTTTATCGATAATTTCAATCATTTATTGAATAATTGCAATTTAAGGTGCCTTATTAATTAATTAAACAATTTAATGATGGACGTTCGCTACGCTACTGATGAAAAAAATGATCACTTGCGATAGATTGATCAACAGGCACCCTCGTGAAAAACGTATCAACCCTTTGCGCTTTTGTTTCATTCGACAATTGTCGTTTTTAATTTTAATTTTATTCCATTAAAACAATTGTAATCGAACGAAAGGTGTATGAGATGAAGTTAAAAATTCAGGATGAGACATGATAATCAAGTTTGGAGTACCTGCTCTCTGGTAATTGGATTCGTTAGTAAAATTAGTCCAAGTGGATGGAAACGAATCTTGAAATTAAACTTCGGTTCATCCATTAATCTTTCATTTATTTAACTTTCTTATCACGTTTCGTTGGACATTTATTATAAAGACAGTGGGATAATAATAACGTTAAATCTAACGAAACTTGCAGACTTGCAAAGAGTCAATCAAGCGTTTCCGAAAATCGTACAGTCGTTTGCGCGTGATTCCAGGATGCCTGTCAAGTGGAGTCGCTTAAAGAGATTACTTACGTACTATTTATATCGCCAACATTAGCGTGACTACGTGACTACAGGAATTACATTGAGGTACGTATATTCGTCAAGTACGTGGGCCCGGCCTCGCCGTACACGAGTATATTTTTCTTAAATATACAGGGTGTCCCAAATGTCCCGGACCGGTCGAATATTTCATAAACTATGCACTTTAGAAAGAAATGTTTCAGACAAAAGTTGTATGGCTTGAAGGGGGCCATCAGATAGTGGCAATGATTTGACATGGGGGAGTCATTTGAAAGTCACGTGAAGAACACCGTCAATTTCTTAAATGGAACTCCCTATTTTTTATTACATATTCGTGTAGCTTATCCCGAGAGCTTTCCAAAACACTATAATAAAGTATTTCTTTATTGAGTACTTGTCGAGTTATAAGGCTTGAAATCATTTCTTAATTTCGCATAAACCATAAAATATCTAGTAAAATATTCATTTTTCGATTATCTTACCGTAATTTTACATAATTGTTAATTGCAAATTATATATTTTTTTTTCTTAAAAACAACTATGTATTTCTTTACATCAATTAATTTCTCTCATTATTTTGTACATAAAATTATTAGGGTAAAAAATAGGGAGTTCCATTTAAAATTATTAGGATAAAAAATAGGGAGTTCCATTTAAGAAATTGACTCTCCCATGTCAAATGACTCATGTGTCCCATGTCCCAAATGACTCTCCCATGTCAAATCATTGTCACTATCTGATGGCCCCCTTCAAGCCTTCAACTTTTGTCTGAAACATTTCTTTCTAAAGTGCATAGTTTATGAAATATTCGACCGGTCCGTGACTTTTGGGACACCCTGTATATCTCTTACGTCGCGAGAGCGTCGCACATGGAATTCTCGCTCTCTCGCGAGCGACAGTCATCGAAAATTATCGTACAATTATCGTTACGGTTAAAAAATGCGATTATATTCCTTAACGATTGTCGTCCGGATTAGCACCGACCGCGTGGAGGGGCTGCATTTGGGAAAGAATCGAATGGTAATCCACTACGCGTTGTAATAAGAGAGCTCGACGAGCACGTTTGATTCGAGACTCATGGATCGCGGATAAAAACGAGGGGGGAATTTTTATCCCGCTCGAGGAATATCTCTTTTGATTCGGGAGTATGATTTATTATCGATGACACGCTTTAATTACTTATTTATTTATCGCCAAGATAAATAAGACGCATCCGTGAAAATTTCCGAGAGCGTACAACGTGTCCGTTTCGCTTCTTTCTCGCACCTGTACGCTTATTGTACGTTGGATACAGCCAAAAGTATTATCACTAACGAGGTGGCACATCGTATACGTATTGGATCGTTGTGAGTGCAGAATTATTGAAACAGTGTTGATGTAATCCTACAGTTGAATCTCGTGATAATCTCAAATTAATTGTGGAAATTTAAGATGATTATTAACAAGAGATTATTAACAGAAGAATCTCGTAAACTGGAAAATTGTTATTTTAATGAAAATAGGGGAGGATAAATAAAATTTGAAAATTTTTAGTTGCGATTCTTAAAAATAATTTCAAGGGATGAAGCCACCCCTCTTATTTCGAGCGGCTTTTTCTCGCTATATTTCGAAAATTATTTCAGGTATCAAAAAATGTTATATATCAATGTATTTATAAAAATTTCACTCTACGTAACCGCATTAATAAAATCATTTTTTCAAAAATTTTGAAAAAATTTCTTTAAGATTATTCTTTTTCATTTTATTATTTACAAATTTTTGTATAAGATGATTTTTGATATCTCGAGTGATATTCGAAAAGGCCGGTTTCACCCCTCAAAATCATTTTCAGACTGTAACTGACAATTTTTACATTTATCTATTAATCCTCCTCCCTCTCTTTCTCTCTCTTACATGTAAAATGTTATTAAAATCAGAATTTTTCAATTTGCGAGATCCTCCAGTAAGTTGCGCGTAATGTTGAATAATTAAATTAAAAAAAAGTTAAAGTAAAATTTGAGTAGGACAAAGCTGACATGGTTGTGAAAGCAATAGTTATTAATTTTTCAATATAATTACTAACAAACAATATCCGATACTCTCTATTGGAGACACTGACTGAGGAAATAGAGACGGAAAGTTGATATGGGCGACACGAATCATCACTCGAAATATATAATTCAAAGTATTCTTTAATTACACCCGTTTTACGAATTCTGACTTTCGAATTCTCGTTGAATCAGATCAATCATTTCGCTTTTAAACACTCGAGAATCCGAATAAAAGCGACTTACAGCTCCCTCCGTTCCAACTAGAAACTAGTTAGCAGGATAATCCGCGTTCTCGCGCGATTGTTGGAAATGATAGCACAAAGAGATGAGAGATTAGCGCAATGGAGATTGTCGTCCGCGATAAGGGGGTGCCTCTCCTATCACCCTTGTCAGTCGAAATGCGGCTAAGGATCGTATTCATCGGATTCATTATCGGATTATTAGTTTCTTTAATTCTCTATCTTTCTTCAATCTAATTACGTGGATTTTTCCCTCAACGTTAAATTTGAAGCATCTAGTGAATTATAATATTGTGAAGAAGATTTTGAAGAAATGTAGAATATATTTCGGTAGAACGTGTGATTGTACAACGTTATAATTACATATTGTCAAGTATTATAGCGAGATGAAGAGAAGATTTAATGTTTATTGATATTTTAATTTAATGGGAGCAAATTTCTATTGGAATTTTTATTAAGATTTCTATTAAATTTTTATTGAAATATATTTTTCGTTGAAAACGGGGACAAACTTGTTTTGATATTTACATAAATAATATTGAAAAATTAATTTTACTCGCAAGCATAAATCGATATTATATAACATGTCTCGAAAAGTGTTGAAAATAAACAATAATAAATCTTGTTTTTATTATAAAAAAAAAAGTTAACTTTCCAACAATCAAACTTGTATTAAAAAATAGACTTACTCGGATAAATAGAATTTTTCTCAAGCACAAATGTTAATTTAACTCTCACATGATTTCTGTATTATTATTTTTACCTTATAAAAATAACTTTAAAAATTGTTTCACGCTGTAATAAAATAATCACGCTCTCAAATCGAGATATTAAACAGTCACAGAAACTATGTTGAAGTTTCCATTTTAACGATAAAATACGCCCCTTAGCCACGACACGTCCCATCGTTTGGAAAACCGATCAAACCATCGTCCATCATGATCATTCGAAATCTCCGGATGTTTACGTCATGCTCTGTCATCCGTGATACTCGGCGTGATTTTTACTGTCATAAAGCCGAGTCACATCCGCGATTTCTCGCTCGACGCGAAATGTACAAGAGAACCCTCCCCAAACCGGTCTGTCGTTTCTTATGTCATCCGAGACGTGGAGTAAGATTGATTTTGGCTCGTCGACCATAAGAGGCTTGCTAAAGCGACGAATTAAAAGAACCAGTCGGATAGCTCCGTCTCGCATCGCAATTCTTTCGATTTAACCTCGACACTTCAACTAAATCGGATCCCTAAATTAAAGTAACCTTTCCCTTTTCTCTCTCTGTTTTTATAAAATATTCCAAAATCAACGTTATTTTATTATCATTTTATAAAATTATTTTTATAAAATATATATAATTATAAAATTATATATATTTTATAAAAATAATATTTTATAAAATAATATTATATAAAATATTATTTTTATAAATATAATATATTATTTTTATAAAATATCCCAAAATCAACGTGAATATTAATTTGTTTTAATGTTCAAGGATTAAGTTTTTAAATTGTAAAGATAAATTTTGAATCTCGTATTTCTTTTTGGCAAATTTTAAACTGATTTTATTTCAACAGAATTTTGATACGAGAGACTTGATTATATAGCTAATTCCCGTCACATGTTAAAAATATTACACTCGCAAAAATTCCATTCAATTTAATTAAACTTTACTATAAAAAATAGAATCAAATTTTTCCGGAATATTTAACCGAAGAAATAGCCATGATTTTATGGGCAATATTAAAAATAATATTAAACAAAAATATGGCATTTTATTTTAAAAAAATGCAACCTTTCCAAAGTAAATTAAAGAATACGTATGCTGTGAAAAAAATATAATCGCGCTTTATCCGCTCGTTCACGTAAAGTCTTTACCTACTGGCTAAGGTGTTTGTCCACTTTTCACGCCCACGTGTTTTAAGAAGAAGCAGCTTTACGTCGATCCACTCGCTATCACAAGACCCGCATGCAATAGAAGATCGGGAAGATCTTTTCGGCCATCTCGAAGTCATTAGGCCAAAAATAACAACGATATAATATTTCATATTTATATTTACGTACCTGCTGATGAAGTACTTGTTGCTCTAATCGCGAAACGGTAGCTAATTATTCTCTATGTAGCTCTGTTCCTCCGGATAAATCATCTTTAAAGACACGACCCGTCGACTGGATCGCGCATCTTATAACCGAGATAAATATTACATAGACAATATACATGTTTGTGAACAATATATATCCAGTGCGTTGGTTCTCTTTTTTTTTTACATCGGACAGACAATAATATTTTTTATCTAGACATATCTTCATCGGGAAACTATGTAACAAGTGACGAATTAATTTGCCGAGTATTCGTTTTATATCTTGCCCTCTACAGTCTAAGAGTCTAATATAATAATTCTGCGAGGGGACGATTTTATTATATTAAAATTCCATTCATTAATGTCGACTTTGGATTTTCGTTTCATAGACACGTATGTACATCTAACGAGAGAGTTTACGATCATAGATAATTACGACAACTTTTCTTAGCGAGGTAAAAAACGATCTTACGCAATACACACACATATATATATATATATATATCGTGAAAAAATCTGAAAAATGAGAAATACATCACCCCCTTAAACATTTTCGACACTTTAATACATTTCTAAAGAAATTGAGATGAATCTCATAAAGTCTACGGTCTAGAAATTCAATGTATCTCCTTTATCTAGATTTTTTTTTAAATATTTCGTGACATTTAAATATATTCGATACATGTCCAAAATTATTCGTCAGTTAACTCTCCTTCTTTCGGATACTGATAGTTTCAACAAGGAAGTGACAGTCATTCGTCGAAAGTTTGCCGGTGAAACGTTTAAATATTGACAGGTACAGACACATTGGAGGGAGTTCGAAGAGCGGATCGCCCGTTTAATTAAGTGTAGTCCTACGTGAACTTTTTTTTTGCCCCAAATTATTCACGATTATTCATACATTTACAACGCCTATAATCATGGAACCTCTAATCGCGGGTTACCCACCCCTGCCCGCGAATATTATCAAACACCGATACAATGTACACTCAGATAAGAATACACACAGACGGAGCAACGAGTCACGATAGCAATCATTCACGTGTCACCGATTCTTATATTTATTGCGATCGAATTTTCGAGTCCATGTGTATCTTTCCCGATTATGATCGCGTCAAATCTGAGGATTAACGATTGATTGACTTTCAATCTTGGTGTTCCTTTTTTTTTTTAAATAGAATTATGATAAAAGAATGAAACTAAAATTATAATCGCGATAGAATTATGATAAAAAATGAAACTAAAATTATAATCGCGATAGAATTATGATAAAAAATAAAACTAAAATTATAATCGCGATAGAATTATGATAAAAAATGAAAATTATAATCGCGATAGAATTATGATAAAAAATGAAACTAAAATTATAATCGCGATAGAATTATGATAAAAAATGAAAAAAATAATCGCGATAGAATTATGATAAAAAATGAAACTAAAATTATAATCGCGATAGAATTATGATAAAAATGAAACTAAAATTATAATCGCGATAGAATTATGATAAAAAATGAAACTAAAATTATAATCGCGATAGAATTATGATAAAAATGAAACTAAAATTATAATCGCGATAGAATTATGATAAAAATGAAACTAAAATTATAATCGCGATAGAATTATGATAAAAATGAAACTAAAATTATAATCGCGATAGAATTATGATAAAAATGAAACTAAAATTATAATCGCGATAGAATTATGATAAAAAGATGAAACTAAAATTATAATCGCGATGGAATTATGATAAAAAAATAAAACTAAAATTATAATCGCGATAGAATTATGATAAAAAATGAAAATTATAATCGCGATAGAATTATGATAAAAAAATGAAACTAAAATTATAATCGCGATAGAATTATGATAAAAAATGAAACTAAAATTATAATTGCGATAGAATTATGATAAAAAATGAAACTAAAATTATAATCGCGATAGAATTATCATAAAAAACTGAAACTAAAATTATAATCGCGATCCTGAAGGATAAATTAAATTGAAAGCTGAGATTAATTCGTTCACGTTGACGCTTAATGAAGGCTGACAGACGTATTTCATTAATTGCGACACTTTTCGATTAAACACGGAATCATTCGTCGTTGCAAGCGCGACACGCGTGCACCGCATTCGATTTTGTGCTCGTAATATATATATATATATATATATATATATATATATATATATATATATATATATCAGAGAGTTTTTCTCTATCGGAGAAGTTAATATTTGACTTGGTTCAACGCAACGACAGAGATTCGACGGAGAGGGAAACGGAAGCCGCATGGCGGTAATTCTGAAGGTGGGGTTTGGGAGTTGTCGATGGTACTTCCTCGATTCTCTCCAAGTCGTTGGCCGCGCCCGCGCTATTTTGCTTATAAAGACGAGGAGTCGATCTCTGTGGCTGCGATTGTTCCGGGATTATTGACACCGGCTCGTCCGGACGATCCAGACTGAATTGCCTCCGGAGCATTCGGCAGCCGACGCTTTTCCCTGAAACTGAAAAAAATAAAAAAAAAAAACAATGAGTTTAACAGAGGTATGTAAAATCCATCGACGGTGCGCGATCTCACGTTTTTGGAATATCGATAAAGGGAAAGATTCACCCCCCCCCCTCCCTCTCTGTCTCGGCACTTTTCAATAAAAATATAATCTAAATTCAAATATATATTTGAGCTCTTGAAAAATATATATAAATAATTCCGTTATCGAAATTGAGGTCGAGTTTGAAATATTTTATTCGTACATTCCTACGTGGAATTTCAAATTAAATGTAAAAGCTTTTGCTTTGATAATATTAGAAACGCAAAACTTTTTCAATCTTATAACGATTTAATTTCATATATATTGATCAATATTATTATTACTTGTTATAATTGAACAATTTTGTACATTATTAAATTTAAAATTCAATGCACTTATGTATCTATCGTAGCAATTTTTTATAATTTAATTTAATTTTAATTTTTTCCTCCCTCAAATATAAAACAATTAAATATAAAATTTTTTCACGCAATAAAATAATTTCGAAATTTCTAATTTATATTTTAGATAAATAATCCCCTGAATTTTAAATTTCATTCCTAATTCTAGCCTAACCTAAGCTAACCTAATTCCAGATCTAATAAATAATAATAAATTTATGTAAATCCCAAAGAGACACCTATTCACGAATCAATTGATCCGGAAATTCAATTGCGGAGCGATAAATTCCAAGTCCCTATAAATTGGACACCGACATGCCATTCAAGTTTCTAGACACGTACCGTGATGTTCGTTGGGTGATAGACACCTATAATGATTGTACGGCATGCTGAGGTCGTTCTCGTCGATGCAGCCAAAGCGACGGTGCCTCAGCGGCGGTTGTCGATACGTCGCCGAGGCGGCGATCGAAGTGAGGGAGCTGGTGGACGCGCCGAGGGTCGTCATCGCGGAGTCGGTGCCGGAAACGGTGGAGGACAACACGCCGAGGGAGACCTGGGTGTCGCCGGACGTGCTCTTGCTCACGATCCCCCCGTGAACGGCCTCCGTCGTCGACCTCTGCGAGTCCTGCTTGCCCTGCAACACCTCGATGAAGTCGTTGGACCTCAAGGAGTAGCTCGACAGCAGGGTGCGCTCGTCGTGCACGGATACTGCGACCCTCCTGACGTCGCAGGCCTCCTCGAAGGACGCGGCCCGGCTGTCACTCCCGTTGGCGACCCCGTTGCTGCTGACAGAGTCCTGATAATCTGGCTGGACGGCCTCGACGGGGTTGATCGATTCCTCGGCCGTCTCGTCCTGCGACGGTATCACCGGCAGCTGCGGGCTCGTCAGGTCTGCGCTCTGAGAGTGACTGCCCAGTATCAGACTTTCGTCCAATCTTTGGGAAATTTAAAGAAGAACGTGAGCAAATAGGGGTATGTACAGTGCACGCCAATGATCCTGTCCTAGACGTGGAACTGGCCAATCAGCCACTGCCACGTGGCAGTGGCTGATTGGCCAGTTGTACGCTCCCCTTGCCCCGCCTAGGACTAGGAATCGTTGACGCGCACTGTACCATTGGCTAGAGTAATGTTCTTTCGGGGTTTCGAGAAGCGAGAAGAAAGTGAAATAATCGTGACAGATAAATTTAAAATTCAATTTTTATCGTTTCCCTTTAAGGAAGACATCTCAAGTTTTATGTCATTCCCCAAAGTACATAAAAATTGATACACATCAAACTTTTATCTTTCTTATTTATATCACTATTTTCCGCCCGTCGCGTCGGTTCGAACGCGGATGTGAGAATTTTTGAGATAAGTATGACATTTCGATGCAAACGGCATTTCGATGTCGGCGGACCCAGATGTTTCGAATGCGTGTTTATTCATGAGCGTCGTGTGACGTTCGTGAAATGACGCTCGCAGAAATGGAAAAGTTGTAAAAGCGATTATAGTCGAAAACCGAGGAACGATGTAATTGCGTTACATCGGAGGGAGGGAAATCATTTTATTTCGAGATGGAGGATATTAATAAATAAATTCGAATTGAAACGTGAAAAGAGCAACTTTTAGAGTAATTGACGTTTCGACGTGAACGCTCATTCCGATGCTGATGGCCCCTGTTTATTCATACGCCGTATTTGCATTCTCTTTAGCTTACGTTACGTTCAGTTTACGCGGCTGACTGATGAAACAATTTGTAATAAACTTTTTTTTAATACAACTTTTCAAACCACCAACGCGTTTAAGGACGAAAAAAAAAAGTTTCACGCGAATTTTATTAAACGGGAGATTGACGTTAGATGATATTATTGAATATTGATGCGACGTGATGTATTCAAGTTTTTGCCGAAATGAATCTGACGGGAGATTTATCAAATGTAAAGCGATAATATGATTGATTCGAATGTCGAGTCATTTACATGCGAGTCTACTCACCCGTGGTTCTCCCTGAGCGCACCGGCAGAATGGCAACAGATAAAAGGATTAAATATCTGGAAAGCAAATAGAGTGCGAATAAAATACGCGAAGATTGAAAATACTTCAACTCGACGACTTTTCCTCTTGCAAAACTTTCGTATCAAAATGTTATTTTACCAAAGCATATTTATGATACATATTTAAGGATATTTCGTACGTATTTTCAAAATATTGAGAATTTAATGAAAATTGTACAAAATGTCCTTACATATATTTAGAATTGTTGGATTTTTTGTTTAAATAATTTCTCTGTTAATTTTAATATTTAAATAGGCTTCTTAAAGTGACTGAAAATTTTCGAGCTTTTGATTGAAATATAAATAATATTTTTAAAATTCTGTATCTTTTTAAAATTCTAAAAATTTTAATTATTAAAATATTTAAGAATGATTTATACTTATTTTCAAAATATTGAGAATTTAATGAAAATTGTACAGAATGTTCTTACATATGTTTAGAATCTTCAGTACAATTTTTAAATCGATTCACTAAAGCGTTTACAAGTATAAGGATTTTAATTTGCACCGAATTAACATGTGTTCTTATGGGAAACGTAGCATTAAGAATGATGTGGATCAGTGAGCTAAAAATTTTGAGTTTAATTTTAACTACGATTTGTTGGATTTTTTGTTTCAATAATTTCTCTGTTAATTTTAATATTTAAATAGGCTTCTTAAAGTGACTGGAAATTTTCGAGCTTTTGATTGAAATATAAATAATATTTTTAAAATTCTGTATCTTTTTAAAATTCTAAAAATTTTAATTATCAAAATACTTAAGAATGATTTATACTTATTTTCAAAATATTGAGAATTTAATGAAAATTGTACAGAATGTCCTTACATATATTTAGAATCTTCAGTACAATTTTTAAATCGATTCACTAAAGTGTTCACAAGTATAAGGATTTTAATTTGCACCGAATTAACATGTTCTTATGGGAAATGTATAACCACGTCGATTCAAATGACAAAACACACGGAAATAATATTTAGAATTTATTTAAAATATGCAAAAGTTTAAATACAGAGGAAATATTTGGTCAAATAATATTATACAAGTACTAACTGGTTAAAAAAATATTAAATATAATTCAATGAGCTAGCCATGTATCTGTCACAAAGCGAAATTCTCTGTCAAAAGTTAAACATTTCGATTAACAAAATTCGGAATATTTCAGTAAAAGCGCAATAAATATTAAAAAATACATCTCTGCACTAAGCTAAGATCAAATGATAATATTCCACACAATTTCTTAATCAAAATACACCAAAAGTGTATATATTCGTTAATATTGATTTTCAGGTACTTTTTGCTGGGATTGTACATACAAAACATTCTTAATTAACATGGTCGACTAATTCCATGTATTTTATAAATTTTTCAATAAACATATATATCAATAATTCAAAATTTAAAAAAATGTTTTGTAAAATATCAGCAAATTTTAGTAATATTTTTTAACAGATTTAGGTTGCATTGTCGAACATTAATCAATGCGGTGGATAAATACGATTCTCGATATTACACTTCTGTGAGAAATTAATTTTTCACAGTTGAACTTTATATCAAGTGTCATTAGTCTTAACAAGGATAGGCTTTCTTCCCAAATTTATTAACAATTCAGACATAAATTTCTTTCCATTACATTAACAATTCAGACATAAATTCTGTCTTTATTTAGATTGATCAAGTGCGACATGGTATTCGTTAATCATTGATCTACTTTTGATTAATTTTTCGCAGGGAATTGTCGCAGGAATATTTTCCGAAGCGACTCTAATTTTCTCTCGTAAGGTCTATTCGAAATTAATCGGAACAAAGTTTATAGCTTTTGCCGCTCGTGCGACTATCTTTCTTAGATTCGACTCCGCCATCTGCGACTGAAGGGTCGCGCGTCATATCGAAAATATCCTGCATAATATAAAGAAGCAAACTTTAAGATTATCAGATTCTTTTTCTCGCCTATATCAACGCACGCCAGTCAAGTAGGTCACTTTTTGCCTGCGGGTATTATAAGAGAATAGCTCGTGCGAGAGGAAAAACTTTGCCGTTATATCACTTTCCTGAGTATAATACGTCGAACAATTATACAGGTACCATATATGGGGTTAAGTCGGCAGGCGGGGGGAGGGAGGACTTGCGAGATAAAAGTCGAGAGGCATTGTCGAGGTAAACTTGACGCAAACAAGAGGCTACGGGGCCCTGCGCAACCTCTCATCGTTACATAATTAAAAACTCCCGAGCTCGTTTCCCGGCCCCTTTCTGACACTTAATCAAACGGATACGGTTATACCAACTTCCTTGATTAAATCCCAACCCCCTCTCTCCCTCTTCCTCTCTTTCGTGACGCACGGCAATTCGTAGAAGCTAAATAGTATCTGCTCGCACTGAGAAAAATCGTTTAATTGTACCAACAAGACGTATATGATTGAAGGCATTTTGGTTAAATCAAACAAGAATTTCGAGTTATCATGATAAGACTCGATTTATTATAACTAGAACGTTTAATATATTTTACTATAAGGATTTGATTAGTATTTTCTGGTTGGATCTATCAAATTTCTTGTTACATTAATTTCTTTGCTTGCTTCTTAACTTAACTCGTATTCAATATTTGCCATGAAATGTAAAGAACTAGTATTAACATTAAATCCAAAGTATATTTTTTTTTTTACGAGCAGTAGTGCAGAAAGAGAACGCTAGCTCTCTGATTGTTTGTGTTTGACCTGTCCTCTTCTTGCATCACTGTTTATCAGTTTAATTTCTAACAAACTGAATTTAAAATAATCTATTCAATAATCCGGATTGAATTTATCCAATAATCTTGTTGGAATTCAAAATATTAAACAGACTTTTGAGATTAGATGGAAAAAATTTTAGACGACTTGATGTTGGTGAGTTTAGTATTATTAACCAGAAAATTTGGTAAATTTAACAGGAAGAAATTAATCAGATTCATCTGGTAATTCCTACAAGAATTCTGGTTCGTCCATTTTCCACCAGACATACTGGTTGAATCTACCAGAATTCTAATTAATGCAACCGGATTTTTTTCTCAGTGCATGAAATTAATTTATTTAATAATGCGGATTGAATTCAATTTATTTAATAATGCGGATTAAATCCAATAATCTTGTAGGAATTCAAAATATTAAACAAACTTTTGAGATTAGATGGAAAAAATTTTAGACGACTTGATGTTGGCGAGTTTAGTATTATTAACCAGAAAATTTGGTAAATTTAACAGAAAGAAATTAATCAGATTCATTTGATTTCTACAAGAATTCCCATCAGAATCCCTACAAGAATTCTGGTTCGTCCATTTTCCAACAGACATACTGGTTGAATCTACCAGAATTCTAATTAATGCAACCGGATTTTTTTCTCAGTGCATGAAATTAATTTATTTAATAATGCGGATTGAATTCAATTTATTTAATAATGCGGATTAAATCCAATAATCTTGTAGGAATTCAAAATATTAAACAAACTTTTGAGATTAGATGGAAAAAATTTTAGACGACTTGATGTTGGCGAGTTTAGTATTATTAACCAGAAAATTTGGTAAATTTAACAGAAAGAAATTAATCAGATTCATTTGATTTCTACAAGAATTCCCATCAGAATCCCTACAAGAATTCTGGTTCGTCCATTTTCCAACAGACATACTGGTTGAGTCTATCAGAATTCTAATTAATGCAACCAGATTTTCTCAGTGCGGGAAGAAGAAAAAAAGATAGCTCGCACCCTCGCGTGCGTCGAATATGAAGAAAAAGCTACCCTCGCAGCGATAAATCGAACCTAATAATGCCGAGCGCGAATTCAAGAGCCACCCCCGACCGTGATTTAACACGTTGCACGAAGGGGATAAGGAAGACGAGGGGGAAAGGGGGAGGGAATTTGGAAAATGCGCTCTCGCAGCTTACCCGAGGGGCGGCGGTTTCGGTAGCTCCTTGTCGAAGCCTTGCTTGCCGAGCAGCCAGTAGGTCGGCATCTTGCCTTTGCCCTTGACGTCGGTCGGCCCGCGGTATTCGATGTGGTATCCGCCGACCTGCGTCAATCGATCCATCGTCGCCTGGCTGAGATGGATACGCCACGGCGCCCCGGTCGACTCCATCCTCGAGGCGGTGTTCACCGTGTCGCCGAACAGGCAGTAACGCGGCATCGTTAGACCTACCACCCCGGCGCAGCACGGGCCTGCGGAGGGAGACGGGGTGAAGGGGGTGAAGGGGGTGAATTCCTGTTCTTAATGCGCTTTAGAGAAGCTTGTCATCTCGTGAAAAATTGCCGATAAAACGGAAGCACGAGTCTTTGCGTAATTCGGCGTGGTCTGGATTCAAATTTACCATCTCCCTCTTTTTTTTTTTTAACACACGCATACAAATTTAATGGAAAATTAACAGCGAGAGGCTTTAATCGATTATCCCATCGCTTGCTTTCGCTGCAAAATTTTCTATCTGGATACGTAAACACGATATTTATATTAATTAAGGGAGTCATTGATGAGCCTGCGGCTCTTCCGCAAAGTTATTATTTATGTATGTGTATATGTGTACACATACACACACACATACACAAATATTTATGGTGCAAACTCTTTCTCTGGAATTTCTCGATAAGACGTTTCCAAGATAAACAAGGTAGTGAGAATCATAACAGTATTAAAAATCTGGGTTGCAGTATCGCAACCACATCGTGGTAGATATTGAGCAGAATAAGAGAAATAAACAAGTTACTAGATATTGTATAACGCTAAGATTCGATCGCGATGCAACAAAAAGAATAATTAATTTAACACAATTTTGAAAATTAATTTAACACAATTTTGATTTCTTCTAAGAAAATAAAATGTAGTGAAAATAAATTGATTGTTTTCGAAATAGATATACGCTCTTTGAGAAAAAAATTTCAATATTCAAGAAAAATATTTGATAAAATAAGAAATAAAAAATAGAATAAAAATATTCAGAAATAATTTTCTCTAAATTATCGCACTTTTCGCGAGAGACATATCATTGATCAAAAGTATTGCGTCATTTATGGAAACAAGCTAATTGTCATTTTAAGGAACAAAATATATGAATATTATCAAATTGTGTTTTATTATTGTTATTTTTCTATTTTAATATTAGTAAGAATTAAAAAATAAAATTATAACAAATAATAACAGAAATATTAAATTTCTGATTTTTCGAAAAATCTCCCTTTGCTTTCAATATTAAATATACTTTTAGTATTCTTAATAATAGTATTTTTAAAATTATTACCGATATTTGATCTCAATTTAATCACAATTGTTGAGGAGAGAAATACATAATATATTATGTAACATATATTATGTATTGACGTATAGAAACCATTTATAACGCGAAAATTATTCAAAAACATAATATAACGTATTTTAAATAAAAACAAGTATTAAAATACTTGTATATTAATTCAAAAATTATAAATATTAATTAAAAAAAAATAGATCATTCAAAAATTATAAATATTAATTAAAAAAAATAATACATCATTCAAGCTTTCCATATTTTATATAAACACGAGCAAAACAGGGGAGGAGGGAAAAGAAAATGAAAAATTATTTACATTAATCATTTACTCGCGTTTTTTTGCGTTTTTTTTGGAGAATGGGAGGCAATACTTTTGACCGGTACTGTAGCTTCGATTGTATGGAAATTATTTAGAGAATTCGGGAGAGAGCTAACCCGTGTGAAGACCGATGCGTAGCCGGAGTGGCGTGTCCGGAAGGTGTTTCAACTTGAATTTTCCACTCTGGTGTAACAGGTCAAGCGCCATGGTTGCCACTTGGCTTGCGTGATCCGGTATTCTCACAGGACATCCGCCTACGACCATGTAGGCGTCTCCGATAGTTTCCACCTATGCCATTCGAATAGGCATTCTATAAATCATACATCCGAATACGCCAATCCCGTAGTTAATGACAATTAAAAAACCGGCAGATAAACTCGCATTTACAACCAACTACAGTCGAGAAATATTTCCAGTAATTCAAGGAATTATTTACATTTCAAGAAATATGTTGCACAACAATACGCCGAAGCGATAATCAATATTTGCATCTCGAAAAAGATTGAATTTATAGAAGAGCACTTTTCTCTCGTAATGCTTGAGCTTAAAAATATTTCTGTAAATATAATTGATATTTGCTACCCTTATTTAAATCATGTTATTTTTTAAACATTGAATTAATTAATATAAAATATTATCATTTAAATATTGTCATTTTTTACCTTTTTATTAAATTTTTTCTTCGCATCTAACGATGACGTAGCCATGAATTTATAACACATACACATATTTGCGAAGAGAAAATTTAATAAACTTTTGAATTTAATAAACCTTTGAAATGATTAAATAAAAAATTTAATAAAAATTTCATCTACCTTGTAGACGGTGTACGCGTTAATCGTGTCGTCGAAGCAGGTGTAGAGATCGTTGAGAAGATCGACCACCTGAAAGGGCGTCGAGCGCGCGGATATCGTCGTGAAACCGACAATGTCCGAGAAATAAATCGTGACCTCGCGAAATTCTTCGGGATCGACGGGCATTCCGAGCTTCAGCTTTTCGGCGACCGTGCTGAAAATATCGAGCAACCAAGTTCGCCGATTTATTTCAGACGAACGAATCGCAACAACTTTCCTCGTGTATCGACATTTTTGTTTTCCTTTTTTTTTTTAATTTTTAAATAACACGAGACGATAAATTGAAATCGACAGTAATATTAATATCATGTGATATATTATATGTAAATTGAAATCGACAATATATTAATAACATGTGATATATTATATATACAGGATGTCCCAGAACTCATAATCAATCTTTCAAAGACAGAATCCTGGGATCATTTGGGAGACGATTTTTCCTCAGCGAAAATTTCGATGAAGGCCAACATTTTTTGCATGTTCCCAATTTTTGTCATCATGTATCTTTGCAATTAAGCTTTAAATTAAAACTCAACTAAAGTAAACTCTATTTGAAATTAATCGAAGAATGTGGTTTTGTTAATATTTTATTTCTACATAGCTTAGTTTACGAAAAACCCCTTATTTCCAATCACTTATAATTCGAAAATTATTAGTGCCTCGACATTTTCGTTGAGGAAAAATTGTCTTCAGGTCTTCTGATCTCAGGAATCTGTCTTTGAAAGATTGATTATTTGTTTTTTATTATTTGTTTTTATTATTTGAGTTTTGGGATACCCTGTATAATATATATATATATATGATATATAACATATATAAAATATAATATCGATATTAATTTTGTCAACCTTGATCGCATTAACGTTTTGTGAAATAGAGCGATCTGAGGTACATTGTTTACCTAGGTAACATTCTATTCAACAATTGCTCAGTTTTCTTCTTCTCCATATCAAGCTGTTCCGTACGCTCGCGAATGAGTTCCTCCAAATTGTTCGAGTACTTCTCAAGCATTTGGAACATCGTATCCACAAAGTTTACCTTTCTGGAAATAAAACGCGATATGTGTGACGGTGAAGTATTTTCGATTGTCGTCAGGAGATATTGTGTTGGATAGCATCAAGTTAGAGAGGAATTGGATAAACATTAATATTGACTGGACCAAAAGTCGAATAAAAAAATAAAATAATAAGCGACAAATATTGCTTTTCATTAACATAATTAAATTCAATTATATAAATTTAATATTTTTAATTTTAATTTTAAATAAATTTACTTAAAAAGGTAATTTATTTAAAATTAAAAAAAATTAATTTTAATTTAAAGTTTAATTTTTAATTACTTTTCTAAGTAAAAAAATAATTAAATTCCTTCCATTTAAAAGAGAGAAAAAGGCGAAATTTATTCTGGAAGATATATATCTCTCTTAATTTAACTTATCAGCATGTATAAAATTTATGCAACTAATAAATTTTTTAGCGCACGTGATATAATTCAGGAGAAATTCTTATAAATGCTGATGCTAGTGAAACGTTATTAGATTTGTGAAAAAATACACTTCAGCAGCTTTTTAACTCCCCTAGCCACTATTTCTGCTCTAAGGACACAATGTGGCCCGAACATTAAAGAGTGTCGAGCGAGATTTTACCTTCCGTGATTCAGCTTTTTGAAGAGATCGTGCACGTCATCAAAGTCTGGCCTCATTTCAGCAGTTTCCGCCCAGCATTGGCGCATGATGTTTATAGCTTCCGGTGGCGCAGCGCCTTTGCTGACCGACGGTCTGATCAGGGGTGGTGGCTTCATTACCTTCTCAATTATATCTGCGAGAGACACGCCTGATGTTTTTGATCCTCGGATTTAATATTAGCGGCAGGATTTTAATATCGAATGACGCAAAAATCTGAGCAACTATAAAATCTTTCTTTTTATATTTTTGCTCTAGTGATATTCTTTGTGCTGCTCGAGAAGACGCAAGGCATCAGCTGATTATTTTGCTTCTATTTTATTACGTGATTCCTTCATCTAAATTATTGCTGAATTTCCTTCCAGGATCAACAGGTCGATTTATATTAAAAATGATTAAGCTATGTTAACAAGGATAAATTCGCCTTTTCTCGAGACGCTTAATTAATTTCGGGGCATCCGCGATTAAGATTACGGGAAAGGGGAGGTAGAAATCGCGCATTACCTTCCGGAGACAGGGCGAGCATACAAAATGGTTCACCGCGAACAACGACTTCCTGCATGATAATTCCGAAACTGTAAACATCCCCGGCCTGGGTTCCTTTTTTCCGCAGATTCGGATGCCTAAGCAGTTCCGGGGCGGTCCATAATAGGTCTATCCAACAATAAGTCGTCAGTTATTAACGAGATTCATAGCTGCTCGAGGGCTTAAATCAATTATCCTAATCCTATTTTTTAGAGTAACGAGCCAGATTCACGGAATTCATTTTAACCGTATTTAATTACTGCGAGGCACGCAGTCTGACTTTCGATGAGATTTTATATAATTTTGGGGATAATTGTATTAGATAAAATTCCCAATGTTATTGGGTAATTTTCATCATCAAGGTGAGTCTTTCCTTGATAATCCTCTTTCGCTATTTCCTCTGGTTTACGTAAATAAATAGATAAATTTTTCTGGACCGAGTGAATACTAAAGTTTGATAAGTATTAAACTTTACGTCTAAGGAGTTATGTAAGGATTATTATTTTTCTATAATAATGCAATATTTTTCAGAAAAACTAAGAAGAACGTTCCTGCAATATCGTTGTTATTTATTCAAGTTTTAATTAAAATGTTTCATGTTGGAGAAAAGATCGAATACTTACGTCGAAGAAAATATAATGAGGCGAGATATAGAAGGGAGACTCACCTCGAGCCGTTTTCACCGGTGGCACGATGTTCTGCGCCTCGTAAAATGCAGGTAGACCGTAATCGGTGACTTTTAGGACCCACCTTGCGTCGATCACGCAATTCCGCGACGTGAGGTAGCCGTGAACGCGTATCGGGGTCCCATGAATGTATCTCATACCCTGAACATAAGTAATCGAGTTATCGTTAAATGATGACACGGCTGCGAAATATCTCTCAGAAAATCCCAATTTTAGGAGGTATCGGTTAACCATATTTAATAAATTTGTCGAAAGATTTGAACATATTCCAGATTCCCGAGCGTCTGGTGTAATAACAAGGGTTGCACGAGATAACAAGATTAGTCTTGATATTATCTTGTCTTGTCTTGAATTTCATGACGTTACGGAATTTAATTCCGTTTTCGATCAAGTCGAATCAACGAATATCTGAAAATGTACGTCAGATTTCGTGTGATACGATGACACGACTGTCACCGTGGGAAATTTTCGTGAAAGATCCATGAGCAGATAAAGACGAGGTGCTCGTAGAGCGACAGTCTCGCCCGAGCAAGTTGTACTTTATCGATGGCGAAATTTACGGGTGATTTTGGGGGAAATTTTACGAAGCTCTATATTTTGGGAGGACGTAAAACATATTATTATAGCTTGCCGTTCGAGTCGGAAATGCGTAACTTATTCCGACATAACGGAAAATAAATATTCGTCGAATCCAACCCAAACTCGCTGCTAGGGTTGCACGAGACACCAAGATTAATCTTGATATCTCTTGAATTTCAAGACAAGATCAAGACAAGATTTTTAATTAGCTATCAAGACAATACCAAGACTAATCTAAGACTGTCAAAATTATTAGTCTTGTCAAAATTATTGGTTCTCGAAAAAACTAAAATATTTATATTTGTAAGTGAAAAAGAATCACTATATACGAATTAAAAAAAATTTTATTCAATAAAAACATTTATATTGATAAATTTAAAAACATTTAATATTAATACGATATAACATTTTTATAAATTAGAAATCAAACTCGCAAATTTTAGACATTAAAGAGCATTTCACTCAGGAATTGATGCACATTAGTGCTTTTAAATATTTACTTTGTAATCCGGTTCTATTTTTTGACATAGTCAGAGTTTCTATTGAGAAAAGTCTTTCTACTGGCACGGACGAGGCAGTTGAATTTAAAATGTCTCGAGCCATTTTTGACAATGTGGAATAAATATGAACCTGATTTTTTTATCACTCCAAAATATTTATATCTGCACATTCCCTTGCAGCCTGTAAATAGTTATTAATTTCTGTTTTCCATGAAACAGTAAATGTTTTTTTATGTAAATAGACGACATTTATATCGATTACATAGTAATAATTATAAAATGTAGAAAAAGTGTAATCGCTAGTCAAATAATCAAAGGATTATTGAAAAAATTATATTCGACCAAACTAGCCAGAAATTTCCTTTATTTAGTACGACGTTTCGACCATATGGTTGTGGTCCTTATCAAGTATATACTGGAAGGATTTAAAATACATTAAATTAACGGTTTGAATACATAAAAGCACCAACAGAATAAAGAGTAAAACAAAATTACCGATGAAATATAATAATCAAGACGCAAACATAGCACTTGTAAAAACCATCACGAGTCAAAAATAGATAAGGCTCAAATTATTACAATACCATACGTTGAGAATACGAGCCATGATTTGCACCGCCTTTTGCGAAATAACGGTTTTAACGTCGTTTACACAATAACAAAAAAACTTAATAATCTGATTAAACGCGGTAAAGACAGATTATATAATAACGACAAGACAAGCGTTGTATACAAATTAAATTGCAAAGATTGCAACATATCATACATAGGTCAAACAAAAAGACATCTACGTACACGAGTGAAGGAACATTGTAATAATATAAAGTTACATGTTTCTAATCACTCTGTGATTACCAAACACAGATTGGAATCTGGACACGAATTTGATTGGTTGAAACCCGAAATCTTACATAGCGAAACGTATGTTCGAAAAAGAGAGATTGCTGAGATGTTTTTTATTAAGAGATCGGATAATCTCATTAACTTACAGACAGACACAGACAATCTAAATAATATTTATGATAAAATAATAAAGGTCACTTAGTTGTGTCTCTCCCTCGAGATTCGTTTAGTTTTTCGACGAAGTCTCATACGGACGTATCAGTCTCTCTCGTTTTTTTTAATTTAATTAGATAACGTTTTATATTTTTGACTCGTGATGGTTTTTACAAGTGCTATGTTTGCGTCTTGATTATTATATTTCATCGGTAATTTTGTTTTACTCTTTATTCTGTTGGTGCTTTTATGTATTCAAACCGTTAATTTAATGTATTTTAAATCCTTCCAGTATATACTTGATAAGGACCACAACCATATGGTCGAAACGTCGTACTAAATAAAGGAAATTTCTGGCTAGTTTGGTCGAATATAATTTTTTCAGTAATAATTATAATTAAAATATAATACGATAATAATTATTATTTCAAATTATATTACAAAAATTATGTTAAATATTATTTAAATAATTTTTTAATATTAGATAAAAAGTTGTTAATAAAATCGAGACAAGACGAGATTTTTGCTACCAATATTCACTCAAGACCAAGACAAGATTTAAATTTTTGCAAATTTTCAATACAATATTTTGACGAATATTGTCTTGTCCTGGGTCTTGTGCAACCCTAGTAATAACTTCGACACCAAGTCCAATATTTTATCCTAACCTTTGTATAATTTTGATGGTATCAATTTACATGTATAAGTTGAATTTATGGTCGCAATTAATTTTATACGTGTCTGTACATTTTACATATGAAACATTTTTCAAATTGTTCTGAATCTGTTTGAAATTTTTCCGGCGACAAACGCAGAATGCGATTTTACTGACCCGCACGAGATCGGTGAGCAGGGATAATCTGAAGGACCAGTCGAGTTTAATCTCATCCTGAACGAGTACGTCCTCCAGGGAGCCCCTCGTGCAGTACTCCGACACTAGGCAGGGCCTCGTAGGTTCGTTAAGGCATCCGATCAGGGGATTGAGATTCTCGTGTCGCAGCCCGTGGATCTGCCCAAAAGTGGAAAGTGGAGAGAAACTCGATCACAGATCTAACTCAGAGGAATGAATAAAAGGATGTGCGCCTTTACCGTGACCAGCACGTCCATGGCCTTGCTCTTCAGTTCGAACGTACCTTGAAAGGGTAGCTCCTTCAATTGAACCAAGTCACCCTAGTCAGAAATCACAGGACGGATCATTAACTCGGGCATTGACATCGGTGTTGTATATCCGGTGGTATTGGATCTTGCGAGCTATCGAGACTTTCGTAACGATTCGGAAAAGTTTGACGTTTCGCGTCGCGATATATATATTTGATTGAAGGAGAAGCGAGAGAAATTAATTCACTTAGGGCTAATGCGTTTGAATCTGTCTTATCAATCTTCATTACGGGCGAAAGGTTCTTATCGGCCGCCGTCATATTGCGGAACTTGCGGCATTAATCAGCGTCTATATAAGAGACGCGGGTGTCTACGAGGCGCGAAAATGAATATCGATGTGTGCCACGGAATATATATCCTCGCATAATACCGCGCGTCATGTCAAGCGGAAGATTCTCGGAAGTGATCAAGAATGAAATTGTTTGCGAGGCGTATGATGTGCGACGTCGATAATGCCTTGAAAGCAAGGATTTTTCCCGTTATAAGCTTTCCCAAAGCAACTCGCGATTTTTGTTGCACTCTTCTTTTTATAAACGTGCGGATCATTCATGTGTTTTAGCTCGCGTATTATTTTCATCATTGTACATTATATATATTTAATATATTTATTTATGGTGTATCTTTTTATTTTAGTTTTCATTAGACGTGAGATTTAATATGTCTACAAAATATCCCAAAATCATCAAATATCTTCTTAAGTGAGGCGATTTTTTTAGAGTAAAAGGGATGACGATGAGGTGTAATATAATTATTGAATGATTCCAAATTACAAAAAAAATTTTCTGAAGTTGAAAGATTAAAGAAACTACTTTTTAGTTACTTTTAGTTTAATAGAATTTTAATTGTTAGTGACATAAAGATGTATAATGGGAAGAAATTAGAAAAATGATGCAAAAAATGATAATTTTCCTCAAAATATTCCCTAAAGAAATTACCTTTAAATCTGCCATTGAAAGGCTATTCAATAGTTTTGGAACACTCTGTATAAATATAATATATAATAATAAAAAAAACTTCAAAATAAAATATTAAACGTAAAGACTGTTCTCTAAAAATTCCAAAAAATTCTAAAGAAATTCTAAAATAAAATATTAAACGTAAAGATTGTTCTCTAAAAATTCCAAAAAATTTCAAAATAAAATATTAAACGTAAAGATTGTTCTCTAAAAATTCCAAAATAAAATATTCACATAATTCCAAAATAAACGTTCTTAATCGCTCTTTTCTCGTGTATCGTGTTGATTAAACGTAAAGATTGTTCTCTAAAAATTATCAATTCCTTTTGTCATTAAAGTAGATTAATTCAATAAAAGTCGATCGACGTAAATTGAAGTCTGGAGGAAAAGTAATGAGTCGGGAGGCGTTTTCGATAGGACAGTCGCAACAAGATGACGCAAAAGCGCGTAATCCAGACTATACATCCAGAATACAGTTGTTAGCCACACTGGGTATACTCACGTTGTACCTAGCACGTGGATCCTTGAAGAAGGTGTGCCTCGGCACGTTTCCGCCGGCGGCCTGCAAGTACGGCTTCAGGGAGTTGACGCTGCCGAGCTGGAGCAGGTCCGGCTTCTCGACCTCCGGCCCGCCGAACTCTTGCAGCTGCTGCAGCCAGCAGCAAAGCATCGCCTCGATGCCCTCGTCTACCTGAGGGCACGCGCGAGCCACGTGCGATTAAGATCGAGACTTTTTATTTACAGACTTGCGTTTACAGAATCGAAAAGGATCGAGTCAATTATCTGATGATTGCTATCGAAAAGACTATCAAACGCGATATATTCATGATGAGATGAAGAGAGTATATTTTTTTATCCATTTTTAAGCAAGGAAATTTTACATTAATTTATACAGGACGAATTATTTTTATTAATAATTATTTTTTTTTAATAATTGTTTTTATAACAATTATTTTTATAAATAATTATTTTTATTAATCAAAATTTTGACATGTATTATAAACAAAGTAGTTCCTAAATAATATACTCTTTTGAATTTTGTGACTTTTTTTTTATTCCTGAAATATGCGATTTTGAAATATTGTGAAAATATTTCAATATTTTTTTTTTATAGGAAAAAGAATTTGATTTCAAAAATATGTTTTGAAGCTCATAATCCTCTTTACGATAAAGTAGTCGCAGGGGCAAAGCGTCTTTTCCGTCATTTCTACTCCTCAAAAAATTAATCTAATCATAAATTCAATTTAAAATCAAAAGTAAATTTAAATTAGGTTAAATCTTTGAGGAGAGAGGGAAAGAGGCGGAGCCCCTCTCCTCGCCCACGCATATATTTAAATATTTGTATTTTTTTATTTTTAATCATAAATATTAATAAAACTTAATAAAGTATTCAAGGTACTTGATTTCACCACACGACGTTAAAGTAAATAATCAAATAAGTTTATCTTTATTCACAGGAGTGACTAGAAATTCGTAAAATTACTATCTTATATTTATTTTGAAATTCCTAGCGAAACTAGGCAATAATTTGGAAACTGAAATTTTAGTATTGGCCGTGACACGATGACAAATAAATGTATATTCTTTACATAAGTCAAGATAAAAATGATCTACGTAAGTTAATGTAAAGTGTGCCACCGAAATTTTTTCGAAAAGCTGCACAATTATTTTCTAAAAATTCGACATTCCTTGAAACACGAGAGATCGACTATCGCTCTTTAAATATAAAAATTGCAGCGTATAAAAATTGTTGACGTTTAACTGGAATACAGTAATAATTAAAGCTCGTTCAGTGGTACAATTAAGCCCAATGAACTGGTGTCACGGTGACATTTAGCGCTTTTTATCGGATATTTCTTTCTACGTAAACCGATAATTTAGGAGTTTGACACGTATATAGCGATCGGTCTCCCGTGAAATATACGGTCCATATCAGGATCGCAACCCCTCTCAAATGAAATTGCGTCATATTAAGAGGAATTTTTCTCGCAGGAGGAAAAGTTAGCCGGCGGTGCTAACACGATTTCACGATCCCGACTTGATGACAACCGTGAAAAATTGCTTTCGTCTCGGTTATTAAGGTTTTGACGTTTGCAATAAAAAGGAAATACCGCGGAATTTTTTACAACGTAAACTTGCTGCCGCGAGTTTAACGGGAGATCTTAATTCTCTCCGCATATCTCTCGAGATATTTTACAGAAGAACGATTAAAGATGAATGAAAGAAAGCCAAGTATAAGTCTACTAATATAATTTTTGTGCGAGGGTACTTTATATATATAATCTCCTTAGCAAAGTTGAGATTGAAAGCTGTCAAGAAAAAATTCCACTCACCGTTCTCGAATCTACTGGAGGCACTTGAGGAAAAACGAAGTCCGATGTCGTCAGGATGATTTTGTACGGGCCTTTGGACATCCTTTTCTTAAGCAATCGCTTCCTAAGCAAAGATATTCGTTTCAAATTATTAAATTTTTATATTAAAATTCTATAGCTCTATATTAGAATTAATTTAATTGTGCATTAAATTTCATTTAGTATTTTATTTAGCTTATTTATTTATTTTATTTACAAAATTATAAAAAGTTTCGAATATTTAAAAATATTAACGTCATATTTTATTTTAAAAAAGCTGGAAAATGACTTAATAATTCATCTCTTTTTTTATTTATATCATTTCTGTTAAATGTCACCAGTGTTAAATAATTTTAAATTATAATTTAAGAAAAAACATAACTATTAATTAATTTTAGATTATTAGATTTATTTTAAATTGTACTCATGTAATATCTGGATTTATTTGGATATCTGGATTATGGATTTTTACATTGTAATTTCGAATATATTTATTAAATTAAAACTTTAAGTATATATCTGTTAAAAGAGTTGTTCATGTATTAGAGAAATAGAAAAAAATATATATATAAATAATATAATGCATAACATGATAAAGTGTGTTTACCGGACTATAATCCCGACGGCGATGGCGACAAAGGTGAACAGCAGCGACCCCAGAATAATAGCTACGATATGTGTGGTACGGAAAGACATGTCGGCCAAGCCATCTGTTAAATAATTAATGCACTGCATTAATCTTGACGGCATTTTATCGGGCGATATTTTCGGATTCGAGGGAGCCGTTTATCGATCCCGATCGGCGATGAAAGGTACGAAGGGAGAAAGCCTTTCTCCTTCGTATCTTTTCCCCCTTCCGCAATTACTCCGTCCTATTTTTGACAGTATCTCTTATGATCGTATCGATGGCGATCGAGTATCGTGTGTTTTATAGACGGAATCCGTTAAATAATAAATAAGTTTTTTAAAGTCGTTTTCACGAGATACGCATCACCTTAATTATCACGTTATTATTTATAGAAACTTGGAATATATCAACAAAATTTCGTTGCTTTTATAATTTAACGATATCGCGAAGAGAGGCTAAAATTATGTACATGATAACTATTGTGCGTTATTTTTATTGTTGACAATGCGAATAAATAGAATTGAAATGTCACGATCAAGAGTGATTCCAACGCAAAAAATGTGATTAAAAAAAATGTAACAAATGCAAAAAGCTGCATTTGACGTGAAAAAAGTTGTGTACATTTATTTATTCATGCAACGATATTTTTTTTTAATTTAAAGATTTTTCGAAAAAGTATTTTCGTTAGTTATATTTAATACTCTTTCCAGTTTTCTTATGTTAATATTAAGATTTTCCTTGATGCAATTCGTTGTAACAAGAAGACAGAAATTACTTTCATAATTATCAAGCTAATTCACTTTTCAGAGTTTATTCCATAATCTTCACTTTCTGCATATAACAAAATTAAAGCATCTTTCTGTTTCAACGAAACATTAAAATACTAGGAAATTAATTCAAAATTTTCAAGATGTAACTGAATTACCAGAATATTGCCTAGAATTAATTTACATTAAATATTATTTTTTTTTAATTAAAAATGATCCCCTTTCTTTTCAATTATTAAATTTCTAAATTCCATCAATTATCAGCGTGCAGATACGTAAATATCAAATCTTAATCTTAAGAAAAATATAACAAGAAGACAGAAATTACTTTCGTAATTATCAAGCTAATTCACTCTTGAGAATTGATTCCATAATTTTCACTTTCCGCATATAACAAAATTAAAGCATCTTTCTGTTTCAACGAAACATTAAAATACTAGGCAATTAATTCAAAATTTTCAAGGTGTAACTGAATTACCAGAATATTGCCTAGAATTAATTTACATTAAATATTATTTTTTAAATTAAAAATGATCCCCTTTCTTTTCAATTATTAAATTTATAATTTCCATTAATTATCAGCGCGCAGATACCTAAATATCAAATCTTAATCTTAAAAAAAATATAACAAGAAGACAGAAATTACTTTCATAATTATCAAGTTAATTCACTCTTGAGAATTGATTCCATAATTTTCACTTTCCGCATATAACAAAATTAAAGCATCTTTCTGTTTCAATGAAACATTAAAATACTAGGCAATTAATTCAAAATTTTCAAGGTGTAACTAAATTACCAGAATATTGCCTAGAATTAATTTACATTAAATATTATTTTTTTAAATTAAAAATGATCCCTTTTCTTTTCAATTATTAAATTTCTAATTTCCATACCAGCGCGCAGATAGCTAAATATCAAATCTTAATCTTAAGAAAAGTATAACAAAAAGACAGAAATTACTTTCATAATTATCAAGCTAATTCACTCTTCAGAGTTTATTCCACAATCTTCACTTTCTGCATATAACAAAATTAAAGCATCTTTCTGTTTCAATGAAACATTAAAATACTAGGCAATTAATTCAAAATTTTCAAGGTGTAACTGAATTACCAGAATATTGCCTAGAATTAATTTACATTAAATATTATTTTTTTTAATTAAAAATGATCCCCTTTCTTTTCAATTATTAAATTTCTAATTTCCATACCAGCGCGCAGATAGCTAAATATCAAATCTTAATCTTAAGAAAAGTATAACAAAAAGACAGAAATTACTTTCATAATTATCAAGCTAATTCACTCTTCAGAGTTTATTCCACAATCTTCACTTTCTGCATATAACAAAATTAAAGCATCTTTCTGTTTCAATGAAACATTAAAATACTAGGCAATTAATTCAAAATTTTTCAAGGTGTAACTGAATTACCAGAATATTGCCTAGAATTAATTTACATTAAATATTATTTTTTTTAATTAAAAATGATCTCCTTTCTTTTCAATTATTAAATTTCTAATTTCCATCAATTACCAGCGCGCAGATAGCTAAATATCAAATCTTAATCTCGAGAAAAGTACATAAAAAGTTTCCTGGTACCCTGGTTATTTACGCGATAAGATCATTATAGGACTACAAGAACAAAATATTGTCGTCGATAAATCTCCTGGGGACTCACCCGGACAATCGGCATCGTCGTCGCAGGACGACAGGTCGGACGACTCGAGGTTGTTGAGGAACGCCACCGCGCTTGGCGTCAGCTGCTGGACCATCTGTCGCTGATAGCCGTTGACAACCGCGAGGATCGGCTGCCAGCCGACGTCGGTGTTCCAGTCCAGCAGGGCGTACGTGTACATTTTGTTGTTGTGGGCGTCGAGGCTGCTGTTGTCGCGCGTCAACACGATCAGCGATTCGTTCAATCGATCGAGCAACGTCGGCGTCGCGTATCTCTGCGTGCCATTGAAGACCTTCCTCACGTCGTACCTGCGTCAACAAACTGTCTTTGCCTTTGCCTGTGCGAGACCCGTCCAGGCGACGACGCGGCGTCGCCGAGGACGATCCCCGAGAGTTAATCGCAGAACCGAATTACACGGATCGACGCCCGCGATTAATACGAGCCGATGATCCGACAAGCGCGATTTCTATCATAATTCGGGATCCAAGATGGAACTTTGCAATTATGCGACGTTATCTCGATCGAACGAGGGAAAAGCGCCTCTTCTCACCCTCGATTAAGGTCGACTAGCTTGGCCGATTCCTCGATAACGTATGCTTCGTTGAAGGATTGACTTTGGATATAAAATTGTTTCGTATTTTGCGAACAAATTAATCGGCAGTCTTGAACATTTCAGGATCGAGAAGGTAAACGTCTTTGACGAACTTTATTTCGGTCACGAGTACCTTTGAGTAAAAATTTAGAGTGCTTTTTAATACACGTGAACGTTATTTTTCCGCGCGATGCATGTTTGAGACAATCGACGTGCCTCACCGGGGCTATAAATACCGAGGTTATATATACTTCAAAGCTATCTAATCTTATTATGGCTCTTTATTCTTAAAGATGAAAGTCGATGTTTATTGGCTGATATTTTTTGCGAATATTCCGAGGATCTTTAGAAGCCTTTCTTAAAGGGATTTTCTACGCAGTTCCCGCTATTATAAATCTTGTAGTATTTATATCCTTCCTCATCGAGTGCGCGAAAAAAAAGCTACAAAGATATTCTAAAGCGGATGATTAATTATGTAATTTCGAGCGTTAATTAATTCACCAGGTCGACCACCGCTAGTCGGATTATTTTGCAGCAACCTGTTTGCAATTATAACATTTCTTGATTGCGATTGTCAAAAATAATTGAGATTAATTAATGGGTTAGCTTGATGGCGATGATCAATACATATTCATGATGCATTTTCATGAATATTTTCAGGATATATATGAAAGAAATTCCGACGGATAATCAAGCATCTTTTTCGCGATTACATTTATTAGATCGCGAACAATGGGTTTTATATTTATAAGATCTTGCGCATTAATATTAATCAAAATTCATATTTAAAAAAAAAAAAAAAAAAAAAAAAAAATAATCACTTAATCTTGATAACTCTTATCGATTATATTTTACGAAAGGCCTCAAATTTAAATATTTAAAAAAATTCTTCTCCTTTCTTTATAAAATTAATACAGTTAATTCTTATTAAACAAATTATACAGTTAATTCTTATTAAAAATAGAACGAGAAGGAAGAATACGACATTATAATAGTCTTGTTAACTCTAGATTTTGAGATAAAATATATTCAACCATTTTAATGAAATAAAATAAATATTTAATTTAGTCAGTTTTACGGGAGAATTTAATATTAAAACTTAAACAATGTTCCTCGACTAATTTCCATGTCTTTATTGGACTCTATTATTCTGACAGGAATAGATAAGACCTTTTCATGTAATGGTACTAATCGTGTAACTGATAGGATATTTGCATAGTTAATAAACTATTTTTTTTTCCTTTTCAACATTTTATGCTGAAAAAGAAGCAGCATGCAAAAATAATAATTATTTATATAATCTTCAGGCTCTCGTTATCATGGAAATGACAAAATGACCATACATTATTTCTCAAGCAGCCACAGAGATTCATTATTCATGAATTACAGTAAGTGTGTAAGGGATTCGTGTAGGTTTCCTTACAACCGAAATAATGATGATGTGCTGTCTTGATTAAAAAACTAATTACATGTTTCTCAGAAGAAAAAGTCGCTTCATATTTAACAAAAATTGTCGTAACATCTTGAAAACGAAATGTAAAACAAAGCAAAAATTTTTAAAAATAACAGTAGCTTCCCCAAAAACAGATTTGTTCAACAAATAAAATAAATAAATTAAACAATATAATTTTCTGTTTCAATCATGATACAAATCTAAATTCTTTGGACTCAGAAAATAATAAAATTAAATACTTCTCCAAAAAAAAGCTACATCAAAAATGAGAGCTAACAGAGAATTTCAAGTGTCCTATTCTTTTTGCTTATATAAAATTTAATAAAGAAAGACTATTTTGGATGCTTTGAAATATTTTCTTCGTTTATTAGCATAATTAATTACCTCTGATCGAGCGGTGCGACCGCGAGTAGATTCTCCATCGTGTTGCTGCTGAGATTCCTCGGTGGGAAGGAGCTTCGCGGGGCTTCCTCTATCTTGTGCACCCTCTTCTCATCGTTCTCCAGAGTCGCGTTCGGGCCGGCGCGAGTTACACTCGAGGTAGAAAAATTGGAAGACTGAGTAATCGCGGACTGGGCCAAGGTCGGATCGATGGTCGGGAGCGAGGCGGGCGGCGGGTTCTCGTCTCTCGGAAGGAAGAGGTCGATATCCTCCGTGTGGATCATTAGGATGACGGAGTTCTGGATGTGGTTTTGCCACGCGATGTTCAACTCGATCAGGACGCGGCTCGTCACCTCGTCGAGCAGCGGCAGGCAAAGCACCGTAGCTGGCGAGAAAAGAATCTTTGACTTGCGTGTTTAAATAACGCGAAAGATAGGGAGCTACAGGCGAGGGTGAATATATAAATGATCCGGATAGGGTAGTAATTAAATTATACAGGGTGGCCTCGAATGTTCCAGCCAAACTTTAGGAAGGAGATAGGAAATTTAATTCTGAACAAAAAATTTCCTATAAACATGGGTCGGAAAATGCTTCCTTAAGAAGTTATCGCTCAAAAACCTCTGATGAAGGAAGAGCAAAAGGTGAAAAGAAAATGAAATAGAAAGAAGATGAAGCTAAATAAATTTCTTGAAAAACTATTTATTTTTTACTATTACGTGCTATTACTAAAATAATAGTTTAAAAAAAAATTATTTTATTTTCATAAAAGAAAAAGATTTTTATTTTTTATTTTTATCGTTTTTTTCAAGAAATTTATTTAGTTTCATTTTCTTTTTATTTCATTTTCTTTTCACCTTTTGCTCTTCCTTCATCAGAGGGATTTTTTGAACGATAACTTCTTAAGGAAGCATTTTTCGACCCATGTTTATTGGAAATTTTTTGTTCAAAATTAAATAATTTCCTATAAGATATCAAAGTCTGGCTGGAACATTCGGGACCACTCTGTATATATAATTATTTTAACAATAAGTTGTTAAAATTTTTAAATATATAATATATATATATATATATGTATATATATTTATTATTTAATTATTCTAATCAATTATTTAATTAATTAATATATTCTTTATATAAAAATCAGATTTTTAGGGATTTATGATTTTATGATTTATGGAGAAATAAGTTGTTTCAATCTCTCTCCCAAGAGCTAAGTCTTTCGAGGGCTCTCTATTCAAAGGCGCATTATTTAGAAATTATACCTAAGTAAGTAAGCTTTACGGCAGTTTAGTCTTCTTAATGAACAAAACTTAATTTATTAACGCAAGTTTGTGCCACGTGTCTAGTCGAAAATCTCGACATTAAGGGATTAAATTGGCACTAAACGCTACATATTATATTGCTTATATAATCACGAAAATAACGCGTTTAATATCCATCTCTTTAATTGGGCAAAGCGACTTAATGAAACCCCTCGAAACGCCTTCTATGATTTGCTCATTTTTCATATGACTTTCGAGAAGGAAAATTGAATTCTGTGTCAAATAAATAAATGCCAATGGAAAAATTCTCAAGTTCAAAAGAAGAATTTAATTTCTTTGTCTGCGAAAAATCGTATTTGTCTCTGATATTCTCGCTGTGTGCTTGATACGAACGAGAGGAGGAAGGAGAGGTTGAGGACGGATTTAAGGGTTGAAAGAGCGCGCTTTCGAAGAAGAAAGGGGTAAGCTGCGGAAAATGATATATATCGGCTAACGACCGCCGAGTGACCAGTCGAGTGGCAATTAAACTTATAGCTCTTATACAATCTCATCTAAGCCGGAGTTTCGGAGGATCATCAAAGCCCGGGGGATTTTAATTAAAATGTTACATGAAATACCGGAGGCATAGCACACTGTGATGAGACTAATTAATATTAATTAACCGGAGACACACAGGCGCACTCTCTCCTTTGTGCAGCCCTAAAATGTACCTAGAGATGAAACAATTGGATCCCTTCGTTCGCAGGCAGAGTCATTATCATCGAGACCTTGTAGCTCTTGTATTTACAAGAAACGACGCAGTGTGCTCGGTAAATAATTGCCTCCAGATCCCCGCGATAGGTCCTTACTTGGCTACGCCGGCGAAACGTGACGCGGTTGCCTCATTCATTAAATTGAAATTAATTAAAGCGAACTCTCTGATTACATCGCATCTTATACCGAGGTGTACACTCGCTCGAGGTTTCTGAAAGGAGCCATGTCACTCTATTACATGATTCATTTCATAGGGATGCATTATTGGACGTAAATTGTCGTCAACTAGGATAAGTCGAGAAGTGGAGACACTTTTATTTTCCTGAAGAGCCGGCTGGCAACGCACTGAATTTCCTAGGATTTATCAAAGCTCCAAAGTGCATTTGTGTTTTCAGTTCGATTTGCGTTCGCTCGCTTTCATTGTGACTTTGTGTCAATTTAAAATGAATGCTCCCAACTGCATTGTCCAACTGCAGTAAAGAAAAAATGCCAGCAGTGATACATTTTCTTCACTCGGAGGAAGAAACCTGCGGAAACTATTCACAGAATACGGCAACAGAATAATGAGAGTTGTCTAAATCGTCGTTAAAAGGGGTTCAGACCTGTTTGATGCAATTGGACAACGAAACACTCGTTTAAAATTAATAAAATCATTACTAAAATTATTACACCAATAAAATTACAAACCACCACTCTGATCACACCTGGAGATTATGATAAGAGACATGGAAGAGTCAGTGTTGCCTGCTGAGGGAACTGAAAAAAAATCCCTTTTCTTCTCGACTCTAGCAAGGTGCTTGCTTTCGTCTGTTTTGGGTTAAGGCGCGACTCGCGACGGTCTGATGTCCTTTAAAATTTCAAGGAAGCTTCAATTCGCAACCCACGTAATCCGAGTGGTTCTCCCTTGTTCCTCATATATATTGCAATCGGGAAGAAATGGTTGCAGGCGAGTTTAAACCCGGCTGTTAAGCCCTTATACGGCCGGGACTTAGTCTTTACTCAGGACGAAAAGATTTAGGAGAAGACATCGTTAACTGGAACCCTCTATAAACACGTACCGCGTGTACGAGCAATCTCTGGGATTGCCTGTACTTTTATTCACCGGGAAATTTCGCTCTCTCGCTCTCGCAATTCCCATACGCAGAGCGAATAAAAGATTTATAAACAGCAGTAAATAGATTTCTGCTGAAATCCAATCCTCAAAGCGTGTAAACAGCAATAAGCTCGTCTGTATCGCGATACTGCTACGTTCTCTGCGCTTTATTTGTTTTCCGTATAAATATTAAGCAGATTAATTTGCTCCTTTTATTCGTCTCTTCTTTTTCATGGAGACGAGAGGAAAACGGACGCGTTTATTTTAATAACGGATGAGAATCTTTACGAGAAATTGATAATCTCAAATGATTAAATTTCTAAACGCGACTGTGAAAAATTGAAAGACCATTGATACTTTAATCTATTAGCGGAGGAAAGAATCGGCCCAGGGATTGATCGAATTAAAGTTCTGTGTGAAGTCGCGACCCGAAACGAAAGAAACGTAATTAAAGGCTCGAGTCCCTTTTGAAGTGCATCAAAAGCAGATCGCAGTCAAACCGCGAAGCGTCAGAATCGCACATAAATGCCGTCAATCACGAAATTACCAGGCAAAAGGACAAAAGGAACGCGCGGTCGCTCCTCCCTCTCTCCTTCCCGGAAGACGAGGCCATTTAATTTTGCCCCAAACCCGATAGTTTCGACAGTTTGGGGTGGATGTAAGCGCCGGATAATGCTCGTGAGTTTCCGTGTAATGGGATTAAATGCAGTAGCGCAGAAGTACTTACCTCGTCGGGAAACGCTGTTTACGGACTTGAGTATCCTGCGGATCTGCTCGAGGGTGGCGCGATGGGGTAGAATCAAGTGGTACCGCAGAATCACGCCGATCCTCCGAAACGTGCTGATCACGGCACGATCCAGGCTGGACCAGGGCTCGCGATCTGCGACAGCGATTGACAATCGAGAGTCCCTCGCATCGTGACATTAAAATTCAATGGCGCGCGACGCACTCGTGTTTCAATAGACGGGGAATCACAGAACGCGTCTCGCAGCCCATTATCGCGGCCCTTCCATATCGTTCGCGATTTCACGCTCGACGCTCTCGCAGCCGGGATTCAATTGTGTGTCGTCAGAAGCGAAAGGCTATGCGTAATTTTCCTGCGTAATAAACGTTGCGATGATAACGAGCTTTTTCGCACGCGTATCTCGATCGTGAATAGATCTCGTCTGATGGAGTCGATCGACGCACTGAGAAAAAATCCGGTTGCATTAATTAGAATTCTGGTAGATTCAATCAGGATGTCTGTTGGAAAATGGACGAACCAGAATTCTTGTAGAAATTACCAGATAAATCTGATTAATTTCTTCCTGTTAAATTTACCAAATTTTCGGGTTAATAATATTAAACTCGTCAGCACCAAGTCATCTAAAATTTTTTCCATCTAATCTCAAAAGTCTGTTTAATATTCTGAATACCAACAAGATTATTGGATAAATTTAATGAAGATTATTGAATAAATTATTTTAAATTCAGCGTCCTCCTTCTGGAATTACTGTTCGTAAGAAAAAAAATATGCTTTGGATTCAATGTTAATACTACTTCTTTATATACATTTCATGCACTGAGAAAAAAGTCTGGTTGCATTAATTAGAATTCTGGTAGATTGTTGGAAAATGGACGAACCAGAATTCTTGTAAAAATTACCAGATGAATCTGATTAATTTCTTCCTATTAAATTTACCAAATTTTCTGGCTAATAATACGAAACTCGCCAGCATCAAGTTGTCTAAAATTTTTTCTATTTAATCTCAAAAGTCTGTTTAATATTTTGGATTCCAACAAGACTATTGGATAAATTCAATCCAGATTATTAAAGAAATTATTTTAAATTCAGTTTGTTAGAAATTAAACTGAGAAACAGTGATGCAAGAAGAGGATGCAGCTCAAACACACGCAACCAGAGAGCTAGCATCCTCTTTCTGGCACTACTGTTCGTAAGAAAAAAAAATATGCTTTGGATTTAATGTTAATATTACTTCTTTATATTTCATGCACTGAGAAAAAATCTGGTTGCATTAATTAGAATTCTGGTAGATTCAACCAGTATGTCTGTTGGAAAATGGATAATGTTAATACTAGTTTTTTATATACATTTTATGGCAAATATTGAATACGAGTTAAGTTAAGAGCAAAGAAATTAATGTATTAAGAAATTTTACAGATTCAACCAGAAAATACTAACCAAATCCTTATAATAAAATCTATTAAACGTTCTGGTTATAAGAAATCGAGTCTTATCATGATAACTAAAAATGCTTGTTTGATTTAATCAAAATACCTTCAATCATATACGTCTTGTTGGTATAATCAAACGATTTTTCTCAGTGCGAACACGTAATTTCCTTCGTAAATCGCGAGTTAATAAATGTCGGAAAAATTTTAATCAACTGTCATCAAGTCTAGTTTTATCGAGAGTAAAGAATAAATTTGGCGAAATTTTATTTTGTTATGAGGAAGAAGCTGGAAGGAAATTGTCGTCACGTTTTCAGGGCGATACGTTTCTACTGCAAGTCATGAATTTCTCATCTCGGTAGAGGTTTTCTCTCTTTCAATTTCCATAAATTATATTTGCAAGAATAATATTCCAAAGGTAATTTATCTTCCAGTAAATAACACAGAGATTACTTTTTATTATCCTTCATATTGTGAAACTTTTACTTTAAAATCAAACAGGGAGTGAAAAAAACTTTGCATATTTCATTATTAAAACAAATATTAAAATGTAACGAGATCCATTTTATCCGTTTTTTCACCGCCTGTTTAATGGTAGAATATATAACATTTATTAGAATAATTATGATTCGAAAATTTACCTATGCCGATAATGGCCGCGGTCTTCCACTGCAAGTGCAGGAATATTTCCGCCACGGCATTAGCCATCGACGGCAATGACGGAGAAAGCCTGATGATCGACGATAGATCCTTCTCCTTTAAGTCTCTCTGGAACATGAGTGATGTTCTCAAATTTTAACGAGACGCTTTATTTTTGGTCCACCCGAAATCGATGCTATCCGAGAAGCAAAGGTCTTTGCAGAGAGAAATATTTGTAAAAATTATTATATTTATATTTCTTTTTTTTCCTTTTATTTTTTAATCGCATTTTTCAATAGTAAACAAAACTCGAAATATCGACTCTCTTCAATATTATCACTTTATATATTAAACACGATTGTTAACCGATCAAATCGATAAGTTTCCTCTTTGCTTTCATCTTTTAATTAAAAAATTACTTGTGAAAAGGTTAAATGTAACGGATAACGAATGACGTTACGGAATTTAATTCCGTTTTCGATCAAATCGAATCAACGAATATCTGAAAATGTACGTCAGATTTCGTGTGATACGATGACACGACTGTCATCGTGGGAAATTTTCGTGAAAGATCCATGAGCAGATAAAGACGAGGTGCTCGTAGAGCGACAGTCTCGCCCGAGCAAGTTGTACTTTATCGATGGCGAAATTTACGGGCGATTTTGGGGGAAATTTTACAAAGCTCTATATTTTAGGAGGACGTAAAACATATTATTATAGCTTGCCGTTCGAATCGGAAATGCGTAACTTATTCCGACATAACGGAAAATAAATATTCGTCGGATCCAACCCAAACTCGCTGCTAGGGTTGCACGAAATACCAAGATTAATCTTGATATCTCTTGAATTTCAAGACAAGATCAAGACAAGATTTTTTAATTAGCTATCAAGACAATACCAAGACTAATCTAAGACTGTCAAAATTATTAGTCTTGTCAAGATTATTGGTTCTCGAAAAAACTAAAATATTTATATTTGTAAGTGAAAAAGAATCACTATATACGAATTAAAAAAAATTTTATTCAATAAAAACATTTATATTGATAAATTTAAAAACATTTAATATTAATACAATATAACATTTTTATAAATTAGAAATCAAACTCGCAAATTTTAGACATTAAAGAGCATTTCACTCAGGAATTGATGCACATTAGTGCTTTTAAAGATTTACTTTGTAATCCGGCTCTATTTTTTGACATAGTCAGAGTTTCTATTGAGAAAAGTCTTTCTACTGGCACGGACGAGGCAGTTGAATTTAAAATGTCTCGAGCCATTTTTGACAATGTGGAATAAATATGAACCTGATTTTTTTATCACTCCAAAATATTTATATCTGCACATTCCCTTGCAGCCTGTAAATAGTTATTAATTTCTGTTTTCCATGAAACAGTAAATGTTTTTTTATGTAAATAGACGACATTTATATCGATTACGTAGTAATAATTATAATTAAAATATAATACGATAATAATTATTATTTCAAATTATATTACAAAAATTATGTTAAATATTATTTAAATAATTTTTTAATATTAGATAAAAAATTGTTAATAAAATCGAGACAAGACGAGATTTTTGCTACCAATATTCACTGAAGACCAAGATTTAAATTTTTGAAAATTTTCAATATCAATACAATATTTTTACGAATATTCTCTTGGGTCTTGTGCAACCCACTCGCTGCCCGAGAACCGGAATTAAAATTGGCCCTTTCGGTGGAAGCAATTGCGCGACCCGGATATTACGTTACTCGATATTTATTGCGCGTAATTATTTACGGGTAGGCAAACTTATTTCAATTCTGCCCACCGAAAAAGAAAAGGCCTGCCAAATAACGTCGCGCTACACTTTACGGCTTGCAATAAACGCGGAATTTTGCATGTTTGATATCGCGGTGTTTTCCCTCGTCCGCATTCGATGACGGTCTTCATCTTCCGCATCGGAGCGTGGTACATTTATTCAACGATGCAAATAATTTAACGCCGGATCAAAGCGCGACACCGATAATCTAGAAAAAATACCCATCGGATTCTGCATACGAGGCAATTTGCATTGATTAAATTTCTCCGAAGTAAAAAACAGAACATGCCCCGATAAAATGTTACTCGGACGTGATTCTCTCTATTTTACATTTATATAAATTAACATCGCGAATAATGATCGTCGAAATGCTGGAAATGTTTGGATAAATTATTTGGATCCGGATATTTGGATAAATTAATGATTCGAGTCAATAATAATCAGACGTACTTTTAGAAAACTTTTACTCTCGTAAAAATTTGTATTATTGCAATTTTTTCGTATTAAATAAGAAAATTGCAATGAAATATTCGTGACGAGTTGCGCAGAATTTTTATCTCCCGAAATATCGGAAACGTATCTTAATCGCAAACTATTATCGGTTCGACACCTCCAATAATTGTACGAACTGTCACGATCACGTGATGCGTAAACGTGACAATACTGACCAACGAACAGGTTTATTGCGAGCAATGGTTTATTCCAGAGATACGTGAGTTTCTCTGGAAACAGCTATTTGGATAAACTAGTGATTCAACTCAATAATGATCATACGTGCTCTCAGAGAGCTTTTTTTTTATTACTCCGACATAAAATTCTGTAAATCTTTATTATTACAATTTTCCTTTATTTTCGAAATTGCAACAAAATAGCCTTATTCGCGTCAAGTTCCATGAAAGCTTTTGTTCCTCGAAATAGCGGAAGTGTGTCTTAATTGCCAACTATCGTCGGTTCGACGCCTCCGATAATTGTACGAACTGTCACGACCACTACGGATAAATGTGATAACGCTTACCAACGAACGGGTCCACGTGAACCACGTTTATTCTCGGGAATTGGTCTAGAAACAACTATTTAGATAAACCAGTGGTTCAAATTAATAATCATCAGACGAGCTTTTAGAAAATTTCTCATCATTTTGACATGAAATTTTGTAAATTTTTATTAATATATTTTTTTTCACCAGACAAGGAAATTGCAATAGAACAGTCTTATTCGTGTCAAATTTTCTGAAATCTTTTGTTTCTCGAAATAGCGCAAATGTATCTTAATTGACAACTATCATGTCTAAATTGTATGAATCATGAAAAAAAGATAATAATACTCACTAGCGAACAAATCTATGCGAGCAATGTTTGCAATGGTTTATTCCCAAAATATGCAAGTTTGTCTAAAACCAGTTATTTGACTAAACTAGTGATTCGAATCAATAATAAATAGGACGCATTCTTTTTAGAAAATTTCTTATTATTTGGACATAAAATTTTGTAAATTTTATTTATTAATATAATTATATTCTTTATTAATATAATTTTTTTTCACTAGACAAGGAAATTGCAATGGAATTTTATTTGTCAAATTTTCTGGAATCTTTTGTTTCTCGAAATAGCGCAAATGTATCTTAATTGACAACTATCATGTCTAAATTGTACGAATCATGAAAAAAACATAATAACACTCACTAGCGAACAAATCTATGCAAGCAATGTTTGCAATGGTTTATTCCCAAAATATGCAAGTTTGTCTAAAACCAGTTATTTGGCTAAACTAGTGATTCGAATCAATAATAAATCGGACGCATTCTTTTTAGAAAATTTCTTATTATTTGGACATAAAATTTTGTAAATTTTATTTATTAATATAATTATATTCTTTATTAATATATATTTTTTCGCCAGACAAGGAAATTGCAATGAAAGTCTTATTCGTGTCAAATTTTCTGAAATCTTTTGCTTCTCGAAATAGCGCAAATGTATCTTAATTGACAACTATCATGTCTAAATTGTATGAATCATGAAAAAAAGATAATAATACTCACTAGCGAACAAATCTATGCGAGCAATGTTTGCAATGGTTTATTCCCAAAATATGCAAGTTTGTCTAAAACCAACTATTTGGCTAAAATAGTGATTCGAATCAATAATAAGTCGGACGTATCCTTTTTAGAAAATTTCTTATTATTTGGACATAAAATTTTGTAAATTTTATTTATTAATATAATTATATTCTTTATTAATATAATTTTTTTTCACTAGACAAGGAAATTGCAATGGAATAATTTTATTTGTCAAATTTTCTGGAATCTTTTGTTTCTCGAAATAGAGCAAATGTATCTTAATTGCCAACTATCATCGGTTCAACGCTTCCGATAATTGTACGAACCATGAGAAAACACTAACGAACAGATCTATGAGCAACGATTTACTCCTCAAGCGTGCGAATTTGTCTAAAAATAATTATTTGGATAAACTAAAGTAATCCAAGTCAATAATAAATCAGATGAATCTTTTAAAAAACTTTTCATTACTTTGACTTAAAATCTTATAAATCTTGATTATTACAATTTTCTTTATTAGACATGGACATTGCAATAAAATGGCTTTATCCGTAAAAATCAAATTTATAAATAAATCAATTTATAAATAAATTTATTAATAAATTCAAATCCATATAAACAATAATTTATTTCCAGAGATGCGCGAATTTATCTAGAATAAAATGACTTTATCGTAGAATAAAATGGCCGTATCAAATTTATAAATAAATCAATTTATAAATAAATTTATTAATAAATCCAAATCCATATAAACAATAATTTATTTCCAGAGATGCGCGAATTTATCTAAAATCTAAAAACTATTTAGATAAACTAGTGATTCAAATTAACAATAATCAGACGCGCTGGGAAAACTTTTCGTTTCTTTGCCGTGAAATTTTAGAAAACTTTATTAGTCCAATTTTCCTTAATCGGAAATTGCAAATGGAAATAGCTTTATTCGTGGCAAGTTTCGCGGAAGCTTTTGCTTCTGGAAATACACGTACCTTAATCGCCAACTATCGATTCGACTCCGATAATTGTGCCAACTGTCACGAGCACCAGTAAAGGTGAAAACACTTACCAACGGACAGGTCCACGTGAGCAATGGTTTATTTCCGAGATGGGCGAGTTTGGCGGCCACCTCGCAGATCGAGCTGTCAAGCGCGGCTATTACCGCCTTCGTGTTGCTCTCACCGACAGCGTGGATCAGCGCGCCGAGGCCCCCGGTTTCCGTCTCGCATGTCACTGGAAATTAATTAATTCCAACAGTTCCTCGCGAGAGAACTCGAGATGCACCTCAAGAAAGAAAGAAAAATAAGGGAAAACGCGACGTGTATTGATGGTGCAATTTTCAAGGGAGAGTCCTTGGCTATCGAGACTCTAATAAGCTCGCCATCTCCCCCCATTCGAGGAGCAAGCGATTCTTTCCTCTTCTCGCGTCTCGCTCATTGCAATTGATACCTAATAACATCGAACATCTCGCTTTGTTGCAGCTTCTTGAAGCCAGATTCCATCCAGATACGCGTCTTGGTACAAATACACGTGGTCGCCGGCGATTGTAACAGATATAATGGAAGCAGACAACACGGAGAGCTCTATTAGAGCATCCCGGAGAGCATCTATGGGTCTCTTACTGATACTCGAGGATGGTCCTCGGCGCGAATCCGATCTTCCCTCGCAATCGCGTATCAGTTTTATGTCACGCGGATCGTATTTTATACCGGAAGCTCGTCGTCGGCGGTCGACTTGGCGTCCGTTATCCGAGCAAAGTTTCGTCATTTCCGTGAAACGCGCGTTACAACGAGCAGAAAGCCCTCTTCGTATGTCTCGCCGACACTTGGCAGCCAAACATAATCGGTCGGGTCTTGATTCGAACACATAATTGGATTATTGGACGGCGCGTGATTCATGCGCATGCAAATTTAGAGCCGCTTCTGATACCGCGTAACGGAAACGCGCGAATGATTACATTACGGTCGCTCGATACATATTATATGTATGATGGATATACGTAATATGTAATATCGCGTATATATTCCGCGTGTGTACAGAGCGAGCGCGGAACGTTACATTAAAATTTAACATCATATCTTTGGCGTATAGCGAACATACACGAGTGGAGATATAATTAATTAACTCGCGGGAAAAACAACCGTCGCGTTACAACAATAGTGATTTGATTAATTGACGTTTGTATGAGATTACAATTCGCACGATGTTTCTCTTATCGCTAATTTCCGCCTATAGATTCTCGCGTATCATTTAATCAATACACTATTATACGTTGGTTTACCCGGCTTGTTAATTTTCGATCATTGTTTTTACGACCATTTTTATATTAAATAATCTCGATTCGAGATATTTTATGACAGATATTTGAAAATTGTAAAACGAAAGATGCCCCGAAATCTTTTTAAGGATGTTTTGTACCTATTTTTAAAAGGTTGAGAATTTAATAAAAATTGTACAGAATGTCCTTACATGTGTTTAGAATCTTCAGTACAATTTTTAAATCGATTCATTAAAGCGTTCACAAGTATAAGGATTTTAATTTGCATCGAATTAACATGTGTTCTTATGAGAAACGTAGTATTAAGAATGATTGGGATCAGTAAGCTAAAAATTTTGAATTTAATTTTAACTACGATTTGTTGGATTCTTTCTTAAATAATTTCTCTGTTAATTTTAATATTTAAATAGGCCTCTTAAAGGGACTGAAAATTTTCGAGCTTTCGATTAAAATATAAATAACATTTTAAAATTCTGTATCTTTTTAAAATTCTAAAAATTTTAATTAGCAAGATACTTAAGGATGTTTTGTACCTATTTTCAAAATATTGAGAATTTAATGAAAATTGTACAGAATGTTCTTACATGTGTTTAGAATGTTCAGTACAATTTTTAAATCGATTCACTAAAGCGTTCACAAGTATAAGGATTTTAATTTGCACCGAATTAACATGTGTTCTTATGGGAAACATATAACCACGTCGATTGAAATGACGAAAACACATGGAAGTAATATTTAGAATTTGTTTAAAATTTGCAAAAATTTAGATACAGAGGAAATATTTGGTCAAATAATATTATACAAGTACTAACTGGTTAAAAAGATATTAAATATAATTCAATGAAGTTAGCCATGTATCTGTCACAAGGCAAAATTCTCTGCTAAAAGTTAATAATTTCGATTAACAAAATTCGGAATATTTCAGTAAAAACGCAATAAATATTAAAAAATACATCTCTGCACTATAGTTAAGATCAAATTGTAATTATTCCACACAATTTCTCATATTCAAAATACACCAAAAGTGGATATTCGTCAATATTGATTTTCAGCTTTTTGCTGGGATTGTATATACAGAAAATCCTTAAATTAATAAATAAATTTTTTGAACAGAATTTAGGATTCCATTTGTTCATTTTTTATTTAACGTGACATGAATATTCCATATTTTGTTATTTTCTTCCACGTCTTTCGCTTCTTTAGACGATCCCTAATTCAAGAAGGAATTCCATTTATAAACTCGTCTGTTCAAGAGCAAAATTCAGAAAAGGATTCTATTTATAAATTTTTCGTAATTTCGAAAGCTCTTGAACACGTGAAATATACATGGGGATAAACACACCTGAAAATGACGCGTAAATTTATAAATAGAATTTTACCGTGTATTTCAAATCTAAAGAAGCTTTCGCAGAACCACGTTATAAAAGCTCGAATTATGAATCGTTTAAAACGAGCTTAAAAAAGATAATCCTTATGTGAACTATTTGAATTCCTCGCCAATAATAATTCGCGAGTAATGGCTTTTTATAAAAATTTCATATCCGAGATATCTCGCATCATCGATGGCAATCCGTATCGACAAATTCATCCTGAGATAAGTAGGGATTTTACTCACGGGATCTCGGCATCACGCTGATCGAGAGCTCGCCGGCCACCTCGTCGGACGCGGCCAAGTGATCCTGTATCTCGGTGACGTTGATCTCCCGGTCGCATTTCTCGCCCAGGAAGACCACCACGTCCCCGCCGCGGGCCACCTCCGTGAGATAGGTGGACGTGCACGAAATACGAGCGGCGTCGGTCGCTGAGGGGGGAAAGCACCCGGATAGGATCGCGATCGGGAGCCACCAGCGGAAACAGTTCCCGGCCATGGGCCCTTGGACCCTGCCGATCGCGACGTCACCGCTACCACGGCGAGACGACACCCTTGCCCCGTCGAGATTCGCCCCCTCTCACCTTCGAGCGGTCTGCACAGATGACGTGACAAGATTACATTTTTTTACAGGAAAGGTATTTTCCTGTAAAATTGTTTTTTATGGCAGTCTCAAATAAAATCCACACCGGAGAATCAATTTTCCAGCGCAAATTATAATTTCTGTAATAATTTATATAATTTCTATCCATATTTAAAATCTGGTTTTAAAATACGTCTCTCATTGTCTTTATTAATAATAAAATTGTAATGTCTCGTGTATATTTTTGCTAATAAATATGACATTTAATAATAATTAATTAGAATGAAAATAAATGATAATATGATAATAATAATAATAATAATAATAATTTTTTTATTTTTGAAGAATTCATGTTGTATGCGAGATAATGCGTGGGCCAACTCAAAAGTAAATATTGCAGATAAAATAATGAAAGCAAGGCAGTTTTTTGTTCGCGGAATACATGATCCTTTTCTGTCTCGCAGCTTAATTAGCTCTTTGACATCTCGGTCGAATCCACCGGCCAGATGACATTTCTCTAACAAGTCGGATGCTCTTTCACGCAAGAGAGAGTCTCTCTCCTCTCGGGAGGATCGGTGGTTCCGGTGATGACATACGGATGCTAACGTGAAAAATTGCGAACAAAGTTATATGGGCTTTCGTAAGTTTGACGAGCAACAGGCAATATAGCGCATTATATATTTATGAATCGATATTATTTTTAAAATGTCATTTCTGAGAGATTTTATATTTGCTCCAGTGTAAAACGAATAAAAGTAGAGAAACGTGTATAATGTTTTAGTTTAGAAGAAATAATTTTGTGACCTCGATAATTGATAATTAATATTTAAAATTCTAATGCCCTAAAAAAAAGTTTCCGACAGATAAATTAATAATAGATTGATTAATTTGCAGATAAAAATGTGCGAGAATAGATTCTTGGATTTAAAAAAAATTTGTAAATACATTTTATTTATTAAATATAAATTATTTATTAAATTTATTTAATAAATAATTTATATTTAATAAATTTATATTTAATAAATATATTTAAAAATTTATATTTAATAGATATAAATTATTTATTAAATTTATTTAATAAATAATTTATATTTAATTTATATTTAATTTATTTATTAAATATAAATTCGTCAATATAAACAATTGATATTCAAAATTCTAAAGTTTAAAAAAAATGATTCCGAAAATTATGAAATAGTGAATTGATTACGAAATTCACAGATAAAAATATGTGTAAAGAAAAAATAGACTCCGGGATTTAATTTGTAATTATATTTCATTTATTAAAGCCAGAAGATATGAGGGTTAAATGTCGCCGTCGACTGATGAATATTAAAATAATTATTTCACGCCCATGTTAACCATTGACGCGCAATCTCGTTAATCGTTGTCGCCGCAACGACATTTATGGGGCGACTGAGGAAAAGTTGGCGAGAAATGTTGTGGAAACTTTTAAAGTGAAAAATCGCCGAAAAAGTCGTTTTTTCGTCCTCGTCATACGTGGCCCTCGGTCAATCCATCAGCTTTAAAACCCTTTCGGTGAAAACGCGCGAGGATAAAGGCAACAGAGAGCTGTATCCTAGTTTTTCACCAGAAAACACGTTGGGCATCGTGTTGTAAAAACTATGCACTAACTGCGTGCATTTTTTTTTTTTAATGTTACTGCGCGATCAAAACTACACGATGCCCGATACATGTTTTTATATCGCCCCATCGTTGCAGGTTGATGTAAAAAGTTGTGAAGGCGATTTGAAAGAAAATAATTCTTACTTTATTCGATAAATATGTTTAATCAATATATAAATAGTTTTATAGCTAATTAGCTTTATTAGCTTTTATAATAATTACCTTTACATTTTATAATCCATTTTTTGATTTTTATTTTTAAAGCCGACTGTCTTGAATTGTCGATAATTAAATTTGGATTATATTTTTAGACACGATAACAGCAACTTTTTGGCGAAATGATATTTTTAAAACATGAGTGAAAAATAATTTTAATTCACGCAATAAAGCCTTGATTTCGTAATATCGTATTTTATTCTATCAATATCGCAATTTTAAATATTTTAATAAAATAATTACCGATATCTCGAGGAAATTAATTATTTATTGTAACGTAGACACTAATTTAAATAATTACTTAATCAATTATAATCAATCATACAATTATTAAATAATAATTAACAATTTATATAACAAAAAACAAGAATTATTTCCCTTCGAGATCGTTCACTTGTCACATCGAAATTAATCCCGTTGTACAACTACTCTTTTAGGACCGATTGTAACTAGATAAAGATCGATTGCTCCTCGTTGACACGCATACCGCGACAAAGGCCACGTGTGAACTTACGATATTTATCGGATTACTTCCATTTAGTCGCGTGATTATCGAGCTTTTGAGGCTCCATCTCGCACGAAAATTATCTCAATGACAAATGTGCACGGACTAACATCTCTCGAATAACACCAGGTTCCCATTGCGCTTTGTTTAAGTAGATTTGCGCGTAATTCGACGTTCCGCATTTCTCACCTCGACTGATTTAACGTTATCATCGTATGCACAGTTGAATACCGCATGTGTACGATTTGTCTTCTCTGGGTTACTTTGGAGGAAGAGGATTTAAATTTTAGAAAATTTTTAAAGAAAAGGTCGCCTCGTTGAAACAATTTTTGAAGACTAACGATTCGTTTTCCATAAATAAATATATAATAAATTATAAATAAATTATATAATAAATTATATCCAAATAAATGATATAATAACACTATATTTAAAAGCGATTTGTTCATCGATACTTTTAATCATGTAATAATGGCAATTTAAAATGATAAAAATTGATATTTTTATTAAAATGATTGGGGTTTTATATTACTGATTAAACCATATTCAAATAAAATCAAAACAACGATCCATTTGTCAAAATTAATTTTGAGTCGTGAAGAATTAAATACATGGCGTTATATTTTCTTCTGTGAGATTTTAAAAGGAGAAGACTTGAATTTGAAGAAAGAATTGTCTCGTTAAAAATTTTCAAAAATAGATGATTCTTTCTTGATATCCAAATAAATCATGACATATTTGAAAGTGATTTGTTCGTCGATATTTTTAACCATGAAATAAGGAATTTAAAATGATAAAAATCTGGATATCTTTTTATTTTCATCATGACTGGTTTTGTATTATTTAATTAGATAATATTCAAATAAGATCAAAATATTGATTTATTTGTCAAAATTAATTTTGAGTCGTAAAGAATTAACACTATGGCATTATATTTTATATATATTTTCAGGATAAATAAGGACGACAAAAATTTCTTAATAAGCTTCTGAAAGAAAGATTCGATATCTATGATATCTATAACAACCTCTTGTGTGCGAAATTTGTTATATTACTACCTATTGGCAATGATGATTCCCATCATCATACCATTATACCATTATACCTATTGGCAATGATAATTACTATCATTATACCATTTCGAGAGCAGAAAAGTGCACTTTTCTATCGTGATGGAATATTAAATTGGTCCTTGGGTCGGATATCGATGGAGAATTCGCGATGGAAATAGATAGATAAATTTTTCCAATGGAAGGAACATTATTTTCTCCCGACTGTTTTTAAAAAGATGTAGGCATTCTCCAAGTCCTTTCGCGTATGCGAGTCCCATTCGTGTTATCGAATGCGTCTGAATCAAGGGGCTTTTATCCCCGCGGAAGCCGCGAAGGATTCAATTCGTGTGTAGACTGTAAATCTACTTGTTAAAAAATTCCTCGGGAGAGAGTCGCTCTAGCGCGGATACAGAATAATTTATATTCGCATAATCCTCTCTCCGACTTGCGTGAACACGCAAAACACGTCCGAAAGCTTTTCATCCTTCGCGATTGAATTATCCAAGTCGTGTCGTGTCGACATGACTTCACATATACAATTGTCGCGAGTAACATTCAGGTATTAGTCTCAATTTACGCGGACATTTATGACCGACTAGAAGCTTGTTAAGCCGGGAAAATTGCCGTCATGTAATTATATTGGACGGGTAACGCCGAGTTATTATCGCCCGGCGCTCGATATTTGATTGAAGACAATTGTCGGACCGACGCTTCGAATTCTCTCTCTGGGGTTGCACGAGATACCAAGATTAGTCTTGATATTGTCTTATTTTATCTCGAGATAAGATTTTTTAATTAAGTATGAAGACAGTATTCAAATTATCAAATTAAGATTGTCAAGATTATTGTGATAATTTACAAATATACGTTTTAGATTTTATTTTATTTTGAAATCTTTTAATTGTGAAATCAATAATCCTTTAATTTTCAAGATTATTAATTTCGAAAAAACGCTAAAATATATTTTTGTAAATTAGATGAGAAAAATTTATTATATAATATATAATATATAAACTATTATATAATATTATATATAAATTTAAAGAATTTTATTTAATAAATAAAAGTCTATATTAATGCATTTAGAAACAATTTTAGTTAATAAAAAAACGTTTATATTAATTTAGAAAGTTTATATTAGTTTAGAAACAATTTTATTTAATAATTTTAAAGAATTTTATTTAATAAATAAAAGTTTATATTAATGCATTTAAAAACAATTAATACAATAAGCAAAATAAACTGTAAAATTAAAATGTAAAATTTTATGTGCTTCAATTTTATATTGCATTCTGATATCATTATATACATTTTTATTACATGTTTTAAAAAATAAACGAATATATGACATAAATAATTGTCTGAAATTATATTATACTAACTATATAATTTTAAACAATTGTAATAAAATCAAAACAAGGTGAAATTTTTGCCATAAAAATTCACTCAGAATTATGACAAGATTTTTAAAAATTTTCAATATCAGTATAACATTTTTATAAATATTATTCTGTCTCCTTGAGTCTTGTGTAACCCTATCTCTCTCCGATGTTTCCTCCCTTTAACACGCTATAAATGCCGTTAACGATAATGGCAAATTAACCGGGGAAATTTGTGCCAGCGCCTCTGGGAGGCGCTCCGTGATTTCCGTATTTACGAAAGCCCCAACAACTTTCGAGAGCCAATCTCAATGAAATGAGATGCATCGGTTCCTGATGGATACTCGTTCTACAATTTCCGGGCGGAAGAAAGTTCGCCTGCATGCGAAACGGGGTTTATCCCGGGATTATCGCGACTCGACATTGTTAAATTGGAAACGTACAATGTGGGAGATGTCGGGCAATGTTGAAAAAAAATGACGCGACGATTCTCTTGAATTTTTTTATAGTCGCTATTTTATAGACGATAGTAAGAATTGAAAGTTTTCTAGAACATTTCCGGTCGATTCGCAGAAAGAACTGCTCAATTACTTTTATTCCGATAAATCCAAATCGCTGGATTCATTTCCCCGCGCAATCTCTTTTTAAGTATTCATACATGTTTTGCAAAAATGAAATAATCAGAGAATTTTTATAAATAAATTAAATACTTTAAATGAATTAAATAATTGAATTCTAAAATAATAAAATAAATGTAATAATGAATTAAATAATTAAATTCTAAAATAGTAGAATAAATGTAATAATGAACTAAATAATTAAATTCTAAAATAATAAAATAAATGTAATGATGAATTAAATAATTAAATTCTAAAATGATAAAATAAATGTAATAATGAATTAAATAATTAAATTCTAAAATAATAAAATAAATGTAAGAGAGATGTTAGAGAGTGTGTATATATTATCTAAATTCATTTTCTCTCGATACATAATATCTGATATGTCATCCGATACGTTACTCATTATTCCGTAATGATGCTATATTGAAATCGTATTATATTCATATGCGCCACTTTCGCGATCGCAGACAATTCCATTATTTCTTTTTACATCTTCGTTATATCGTTCTATTCGGATCAATAAATCATTCGCTCATCATTAAAATTTTTTTATTGTTCCTCCGCGCGATCTAATTATATTATGCTTCATTTGAAATTTAACGCAATTATTTATTACTTTACGCAATTCAACAAGTTTAAGCTTAATCGAACTTTTAGAATTTTACATTTTTCGAATAATGCAATCTTTTATACAAAACTCTTGAGTAAAAGTAGAAAACGTCTTTAATGAATTGTGAAGAAAATTGCATGAAAATATATTAATAAATATTAATAAAAAATGTATTAATTATGCATAATTATATTTTTTACTTTCCATCTTTAACTGTATTTTTAAATAAATTTATTTCGCTTTATATTTTTACACAATGTCTTATTTGGCAAAAAATGTGGAGCTTTTTAATATTGTATTTTCGAAAATAATATTATTATTTACTATCTCCTTCAAATTATCAAAAGCGTTTCATATTTCTGTTTAAAACTGCACGAATCGGCAACGTTCGCTTAAAACAACTATTCGATCACTTAATTTCTGTAGAGATGTAAATTTCAGAGGCCAATGGCACATCGTTGGCACATCGAATCCAATTCAATTCACGTAAATTGCGGAAAGAATGAGATCAACAGGTGACGAATTCGTCATGACATAAAGCAAGATAAATTATCAGCGGGCCTGAGAAGTTTAACATTGATAAAGCTGTTGCGTTGCCTTTCCAGAAATAAGTCACCGAGTCGAGCAACGCGGTCCATTTACTTTAACGCGTAATTTTGTCTTTCTCAAATAAAATTTCACGCGGACAATTCGTTTACGGAAAAATTTAATTAAAGAAATTTCATTCATTAAACCTTTTGTACCAGGGTTTATTAATTTGAAAATTTTAATTGGAATAATTTTTGACTTGAAAAGAGATAAAAAAATTAAAATGTAGAACATTCATTTTAAAAACTTATATTTTTTTATTATTTTTTAAATAGTTATTTAGGGAAAAAAAGATATTTTAATTCATTTTTATTATATCCAGTTTTTTTCCTTTATGAATTTGATTTAAATATAAATTTTATTATTATTATTTATAAATTATTATAAATAATTAATATTTAAATTAAACACACAGTTAATATATAAATTTATAAGATAGTATATGAAAATTTAATTTTGACATTTTAAGATAATTAATTATATTTCATAAATTATAAAAATGTTTCTAATATACTTGAAATTTTGAATAAATTTAATTAATTTAACTAATTTATTTTAATTGTAAAAGAAAGAAGACGATAAGAGATAAAAGTCAAATAATTACAAGTGCGAAAAAAGCATAGAAAATTACAAATTTGCAACATTTATCTACTTTTTTGTATCTATCGCACATCTCACACTGTTTTTCATTCTAATTACGTCATTAATTTAATTCTACTTATATCATTAACTTCTGTTTATTTAATTATGCGATTCATTAAGGTAGCTTACTCAAGGTAAATTCTATCCATTTTTCTTTCATAATACGTAATAATCTTTTTTTTTAGAAAGAAAAAAAGTATTTAGTCTCCTGAAATATTAACATTATATATTGCCGAAAAGATTAAAACAAACAAGTTTTACGAATTATTTTCAGTAATCGTAGCGGTGTCATATATTACAAGTTGGAAAATCGGGTCAACTGTTATACGCTTCAACTTTGAAACTATTGATATATTGCTAAAATAACAATGGACATATAAGCGCGTCAATATCGTATTGGTTTAGGAAGTATACTACAGCTCAAGTATATGATATCGTTTTTTTAAAAAAAAAAGGTAAGAAAGGCGCCAAGTTTATACACTAATTGTATCTAACTGTTGTTGAAAAAAGATTTTAATTAAAGAAACTTGGCGCTGTCAATATAAAATTAATACATAATCCAATTAAATATATATTTAAAAAATTGGAACATATTTTAATTATTAATCTAACATTTAAATTTATTAGCTTAATTTCTTTAATTAATTTATATTGATTTATATTTGAAAAGTTAGACTTTCAAACTGAACAATATACTAATAAAATTGGCAGCGCCAGGTCTTTTTAACTAAAATTTTTTGTTTCATATTAATTTTCAGTTTTCAATTTTCAAATAAATTTTTAATTTTTTAATATTATTATTTTTGGAAATTAAAACAATCGTTTCGTATAACAGTGTTTTCAATTAAAATATTTCCACTTGTATGTATATCGTGTATGTATGTATATGTGTATAATAATTTATGTAAATTGTGTAATTGTGTATTGTTATGTAATTTATGTAAAATGTACTTACCACGTATCTCGTTGATCCATTATTTAAATTTTCTTTCTTTCTCTTGCGCTCTTTGTTGTTTCTCGTGGCACTCAAATTTCTCATGGCATTTGCACTCACTCAAATTCCTCAATGGCACTTGCACTCACTCGCGCAAATACTCGCAATTGCATTTGAAAAAGAAATTCGGCGATATACGAAGCGTATTGGATCACTATTTGCTCTAGTGTCGCCGTACGAATGATAACAAGGTGACATGTAAACAATAGCGGGCTTGCTATACTCTCTGCCCGAAGTACGTAAAATATTCCAGCAGAGGGGATTAAGAATATATTCGGAAAAAGTGTAACGAGCCCGCTATTGTTTACACGTCACAGCCTTGTTATCATTCGTACGATGGCACTAGAGCAGTCAAGTAGTGATTCGATACGCTTCGTATGTATATTATCGAATTTCTTTTTCAAACGCAATTGCGAATATTTGCGCGAGTGAATTCAAGTGCCACGAGGAAGTTGAGTGAGTGCAAGTGCCACGAGGAACAAAGAGAGCAAGAGAGAAAAAGGAAATTTAAATAACGGATGGATCAACGAGATATATGGTAAGTAATTTACATAAATTACTTATATAATATGCCATATGTGAATCATTTCTTAACTCCTTAACTATGGGTATGTATTCATAATGTTAAAGCTCCAGACGTAAAAATAAAATTTCGATAACCGCTAATAATTATTAAAAAAGTGCCCACTAAAAAAGTAAATAAATAAAATTGAATGAATAAAATACATAGACTCGAGACAGTATAACGTGAACGAAAAAGTGAACTATAAATACAAACGCCAAAAATGTAGCGCGATTATGATTCACATTATATTATAGGGAATAGTACATATTTAATATACATATTTAATATTATCGACTTTATTTTAAGAAATCTTAAAAAATTTCAGTAAAATAATTACAATAATTTAAAAACCATTTATATATTTTATAAGTTCTTTAATTAAATTTTCTTTTTACTTTTCTGTTTTATATTAATTTTCAATTTTCAATTTTTAAATAATTTTTTTTTTACTTTTTTGTTTTATATTAATTTTCAATTTTTAAATAAATTTTTTAATATCGTTATTTCTGAAAATTAAAACAACCATTTTGAACAGTGTTTTCAATTAAAATACTTTCATAAAGAGTTTTACAAAAAGATTTTTATTATATATTCTGCCATATATATAAAAATCCTTTTATAATTTTCTTTCTCTTACAATTAGCGCAATTCATAAGCTTTATGATTGACGATATAACACAAAATACTTTGTGTCCATATTGTGATAAATTGGCGAATTTTGTTTTATCGAGGGAAAAAGTAAACCACGTACCTGAAAAGTGCTACACGTTGGCGACGAAGGTCTCGTTTGCTTGGGTCAGCATCTCACGAATTTCCGCTTCTACATGATGACGGCACGTTCATGCGTCGCGCTCCCTTCCTCAATTAAACACCCCTTGGGGCAAAAATGATGAAAGTATCCTCCTTCAAACTGGATATCGCGCGACCCGCTTTCGCGCCTTCATTTTTGCTACATTTTGTCGCGTCAAGAACACCGCGTCATGCTAGTTTTTCGCTTGGTCGGAATTTAAAGTCCCGTTAGCGCACACGGGGAGATTCGACAGGGGATTGCGAAACATTGACCTAATTCATGGCAGCAACAGTTGCGCCATTATTCCCATCGTGACGTTCGCGATTTTTGCTCAAGGCCTCATCGGGCCAATTTCGAAATTTCCTTTTTTTTTTTCCCCGAGCCCACCGGTTGACGAGATTTCACGTGTATTCGCAGTTCCAATCTTCCACAGCGGTGATGACACAGCCGGAGCTATCGGCCAAGGTTCGACCTGGATCGAGACTGTTAATCTAAAATTTTTCGAGTCCAACGCGAATTACATTAGAAATATCTTTGTGGCCGCGCGGCAATCTTCCAGTTCGTTAAACTTGCTCGATCGGCGAATCTCGAGTTTCGCGGCTATATCCGATTGTGCAAATTGCAGTCATTAATTCGATTCTCCGATATCTCCATCCTGGAAACACACACGTACACGTGACGTTCCAGTCGAGAGCGGCCGAGCTCTGTTAAGCTTTCCTCTCCCCGATTGCGCTCGCAATCTCACGTCCCGAGTCCCATTTCCGACAAGTCTGTTCCTCCAGAAGCATCGTTATCCGCGTGCAACGTTCATACGTTATCGCCAGAAACATATACACATCCGAGTTTCCGACTGGATCTTAGCTCCTCAGGATCGGCCGAGCTGCCAATCAGCTGGCAATAAGCGTACCCGATTTAACCGCGAGGCGATATCGAGCGCACTGCTTCCACTGGTCTACGTCGGGATCTGGACGACCGATTCGACCTTGACTGGGATCCTTCACAAGCTATACATATGCATGAGGGTCCCGTCCCGGAAGCGGGGGATACGTCGACCGGGGAGGCGCTGAATCGAGGTCGTTGTTTTTCGAGGGTCGTTGAAGGAAGGAGGAAGGGATGGAACGAGGGTCGATCCCGGCGACGCGGCTCTACTCGTCCCAATTCGCGAGTGCGTCCCGATGCCGTCTCATCCCAGTGGAACGACTCGATCCATCGGTATCGCGATGCGACATCCAGCTCGAATGCGGTCCCCGCATCGTGACGGGAATTTCGGCGGGAATTGGGGCAAGCCCCGAAATCACTGACGAGGGATTAATACCCCGAACCGATTACGGGAGGCGCGATGGCTGACGGCGGGGCCGGTGAGGTCGCAGCATCTGTAACAGATAATGAAAGCCGGTGATTGCGAGAGCCGTCGATATGATTCTAGGTTAATTCCGGAAGGCCCACGGGCTTCCGGCAGGCGCGCATTAACGCGATACGCGCGTTCGATGGGGAAACAATGAGCCTATAGACTGAAAAAACTGATTGGTAATGATTATCAAATATACATATTTAGTTGTGAATTTTAATGGAATATTTGATAAATATTACCATATTTGATAATAATTACTAAATCTTCAATTGGTCTAGTTGCAAACAAATTTTGTTTGCAATTGAATCAATTAAACAATTTAGTAATAATTATTAAATATTTAATACTTATTATAAAATCTTTGATGATTGTTATTAAATGTGTATTAAATTGTTGTAAATATTACTAAATCATTCAATTTAAGATTATTAGATATTTGATAATTATTATTAAATGATTTAGTTAGGTCAACATGTTTGATAAAATAATTGATAATTATTAACAAATTTTGGTAAGATAGTCGTGTAAAGTTTCGCGCGTTTCAGATATTAAATTGATTTTATAAGTAAATGTCCGGCAAATAAACAAAAATAATCCGTTCATTACCTATTTTAAAGTGCAATATGCAAGTATAAATTATAAATGAAAAAATAATAATTAAAAAATTTGATTTTAATTAATTTTAATTTTTTAATTTCTCGTTATCATGATCTAGTTAAAATTACCAAATATCTGATAATACTTATTAAATATTATTTTCTGCTACCAAAATTTGATTACAGTTATTAAAGTTTTGTTAAACGAATCAAATTTGTAATTGAATGAATTAAATTTAAATAGTCTAAACTAAATATTTTATTTACTTAATTAATTTTTTTTGCAATTGTTACCACACATTTAATTAGAACTATCTGCCCAAATCATTTACTAATTGTTATTAAATTCTAGTGTTTACTACTAAATTCTTTTTTCAGTGTATTCATCGGGGAGCGAGCAGATATTATTTATCAGGGCAACGTGTTTCCTCGTTAAATCCGTCAGAAATCGAACGGAAGTCGGAGAAACCGAGAGGATCGACGTCGCTCATTTATAGACGCTTTCGGCAAACTTAAAAGTTGCGAATCGTATCGTAGGATTAATGTCGTCGAGCTCCGCCGAGAGACATTACGTCGCGGATAAATTGGTTTCTCGTCGAAAATACGATTTCTCATTTAATAGCGAGTCGGGCAAACGTTACCCGGATATGCTGAAAACGCATCTTGGCTAAATTTATTACGGAAGTTGGGAGTGATTTTGCGGGGGCTATGAATAAAGATTGATACGCGACGCGCGTCAGGCAGCTGCAGCTAATGAAAGCCCGGGGCTTACGAGCCCCGATTAATCCCGGCTCGATCCTATCCCCGTTCCGTGTTCGTTACGTGTGATGGACTAAGGATAAGTTAATTAGCCTTCTGAGCCTAGACACGGTATTAAATACTGAGAGTGAATCGAGTATTATCCAACAGCAGCTACAGTTGTAAGTGACATTTTGCGGGGAAATTCGGTAAAGGCTTCACGTACATCTGCGATAGAATTGATGGCGCGGTTGGGTCTCTTGAAGCGCGATTAATTTTAACATGCGCAAGGATTTTTAATTATTATTCATCGTGTCAATATTAAAAGAAGCTTGTCTAATTAAACGATGCTCTCGTTTGCATAAAATATGTGAATCTTACAGCATTAACAATTATTAATATAATTTATTTACGTGAAGTTACCTCCAACTTTTTAAATGGGACACTCTATATACTTTTGTATATTCTTGTAGCTTGCCTCAAGAGCTTTCCAAAACACTATAATAAAGTATTTTTTTATTGAGTACTTTCCGAGTTATGAGGCTTAATATAATATCTTAATTTTATATAAACCATAAAATATCTAGTAAAATATTTATTTCTCGATTATCTTACTTTAATACTTTTATGTACTAAATAATGAAAGGAATCAATTGAGGTAAAGAAAACACATAATTGTTTCGAAGAAAAAATATGTAATTTGCAATTAATAATTCCATATTTTTTCTTAAAAACAACTGTGTGTTTTCTTTATACCAATTGATTCCTGCCATTAATTTGTACATAAAAGTATTCAGGTAAGATAATAAAAAAATGAATATTTTACTAGATATTTTATGATTTATGTAAAATTGAAAAATTATTTCAAGCCTCATAACTCAATGAAAAAATACTTCATTATAGTGTTTTGGAAAGCTCTCGAGGCAAACTACAAGAATATGTAAAAGTATGTAGGGTGTCCCATTTACAAAGTTGGAGGTGATCTTCACCTGATCTTCAGGTAACTCTTCAAGATCAAACTAATGGCATCTTATGTTCCCCTTCAAGCCATACAACTTTTGTCTAAAACATTTTTGTCTTAAACTTATGGATTTTGAGATATTTCAATGCGTAGATTAAAATGGCCTGTCCTATATATGCGTATGTAAATTCGCGAGGAACATTATCGAGAGATGTGACGCATTTGTCTTTTATCCCGAGGGGTCGATATGCATGGGCTAATTCATATTTCATGAAATGAGCTGCCGCGGAAAGACGGAAAGTTTGCGAATAAAATAAAGCGATTATGCGCATCTCGCTGGCCGCGATAATGAGCAAAGTTTTCCGATCGCGTCTGACAAGCGTGCACCTGTCACAGGATTGTGACAGCGGTCGACTTGTCCTCCCCCGCGAAATACGGATGCGCAACGCGAATATCGTTAATGGAAACGTGTAATGCGCTTTCCAGGACAAATCGATCCCGAAGCCTCGAATATCCCGAGCGAAGCTCTCGTCTTCCGTTCGTGCAAACTTGCCCTCCTAATGCGACCCTACAGCGTTATTAAACTTCTGGAAATGGATGTGGTAGCGTTTACAAGCGCGGCAAGGGAATATGTGACTCTTTAAAAAGGAGGGATATCTTTTTAACGAAACCTGTTCGATTAATCTTCTCATTCGAGTGCGTGGAATATAAATTGCACTAAAGAAGGGCTGTACGTCGATAATCCATTTAAAGCCGTCTCTTCACATAAATTAGATCGGAGAGCACAACTATGCGTAGTCCACGCTTAAGCCACCCCTTAACTCGGTAGTCGGTTAACTCTCTAAAGGATTAAGTAGATCGCTTAATCCTCTAGTCTAGTCGGTTCGATAAGAAACTCGTGTAACATTACTCCATTACATTTAAGGATTAAATCATTTGATGAAATAATATTGTATCGCATATCGCAATTCCCCTTTCATGGAGAATTAAATCGTATTATATTATAATTAAAAGGAGATTGACAGAATGTTTCAAAATTAAGCGGATGTCCTTTTAAATAAAATCTGATTAATTTCGAAGTGATTTTTCCTTAACAAATAATATCAAGGTATCAGTAATTTCCAAGCGATCCAAGGAGAAGAGCTTTCCGTAAACTGAATTTTGCAAAGTTAAAAGGTTAACAAAAACTATTATACATTCTTAAATCAATTTCAAGCAGAGCTCACTTTAATAGGATTTTAATTCCAAGCTTATAAGACGTGTATGATGAAAAGTTAGAAGAACGTTGACTTTGCTCAACTCTTTAAAAATGAATCGACCTCGAATTATATTTGAGAGAGAGAATATTTCAATCTATTAAATTTAATTAATCCAATAAAATTAATCTATTAAATTAATTACATTAATCTATCAAAGCGCCATTTCTCTCTTAAAAAACGAGCTTTCAACACGAGCACGAAAATTAATTTTCCAACAAGTAGTCAAACGTAAGAAATCGCAAAAAAAATTCGCTATGAAAAAAGGAAATGTCCCCGTTTCTTAACTTGAACATCCCGATGAAAATTACGAGGCGCGCGTATCGATCGAGTTAATGAAAATTAGTCAATTATCTGTGCTTGCACGACGGAATAATACCCCAATCGCGAGGCATACACGCTGGGCGACCCGCAAATTTGCCCCCGTCGAGATTTTCCCGCTCAATTTCCAACGTTGCGTCGCAATAGCGGTCGTGACTTGCTACTCGAACGGATTAAAAGGGCGGGCGCGTTTTCCCGCGCGACGAGTCGACGAGGAAACAAAAGGGAGCCTGTTTATCTCGCGACGCTTCTTGCGCACATTTGTATCTGTCCGCGTCGACAGGAAAATATCGTCAATCGCCGGCGAGACACCCAGACGTACTCTAAAGTTCTCGTCGTCCTCGATGGCGTAATCATTTAACGAACGCGTTGGAAAAATTCGCGCTCGTTTATCACAAAAAAAAAAAAGCCGAAGGCTACGACTGTCACAGCCGTGGCCCGCGCAAGATTTATGCGTAAGATGTTTGTTGCATTTATTTGTTTTTGTTGTAATTAAAAGTTAACAGTAATGAATAAGATTGTCGTTATTTAATTAACGACATGATTGCGATAATAATAATTGTATTTTTCTTTGTCTATCGGAAAGTGTCTCTTAATTAATCACGCCTGGGATCGGTTTCTGATAACAAGTAATGAATGCTGTCATTATTTTTCTTTTAATTATCTTGTAATTAATTTTATTTTGCTAACGAGAAAAGTATCAGTGTAACGTTACATTTACAACATATGAATGCGAAATATAAATAATAATTATAAATTATCATTTGCACACTGAGAAAAATCGTTTGATTGTATCAACAAGACGTATATACATTGAAGGCATTTTGGTTAAATCAAACAAGAATTTCTAATTATCATGATAAGACTCGATTTTTTATAACTAGAACGTTTAATATAGATTTTACTATAAGGATTTTTTTTTTATTTAGTATTTTCTGGTTGGATCTATCAAATTTCTTGTTACATTAATTTCTTTGCTTGCCGCTAGCCACTCTTAATTTAACTCGTATTCAATATTTGCCATAAAATGTATATAAAGAACTGTATTAACATTAAATCCAAAGTATATTTTTTTCTCTTACGAGCAGCAGTGCCAGAAAGAGGGCTAGCTCTCTGATTGTGTGTGTTTGAGCTGCATCCTCTTCTTGCA